CACAAATAAAACCAACATGAAATTGAAATACACAGAGCTTTGGGTTTGGGAGGAACTGGAATATTTCTCATCACATTTGTTCTTATAATTTTATGTTTGCATGTTTGTCATTTTTGTGATTCTAAGGAAGAAACTTAAAAATTTAAATTTGTTGGGCATTTTTTTAAACTACTACAAAGTTTGTGATACTTTACATCTCGAAATATGCTGGGTGCTTGCGGATCACTACCTGGAGATATATAAACCAAAATGCTGACAATGAAATGTAATGCTGTGTCTATCTTGCTTCTAGTGCAGTTTTACAACATTTCAAACTCACCTAAGTTCAACTAATGCATTCTAATATTTGTAATTGTTTTGAATAAGTGAGGGCCAAAAGTTCAACCAAGCTGCAGCAATGCATAGTTTCTAAATTAAGCTGGTGAAATTGAAGTTAGAAAAATGTCTGTAAATTCAGCCACTAAATTGTTCAGCTTTTTCAGAACTAAATATAAAAATTTAATGTGATCCAACATATATCATATATGAAGAAAACACTCTCTCAACTTGGAACAGAAATCTGAGACCATGATCCACCTCTTCCAAGTTTTCCAAATGTTCTCGTATACTAGGGCTTTAGATGACAGATCAAGCTCATGTTTGATATAAACACATTTAATGTCACACATGTCTAAACTCAGACTTCCATTTTACTTGGCACAGTCAGTGTTTAAATACACTTTTACAGTATTTTATGTGGGGTTTACAATAATAAATTGCAGTGGGGAAGGCTGATTACATGCTGATCACAAGAGAACCCAAAACAAGCCTAAGAACAGAATGTTCAGAGCTATTTGGTTGGTTTCAGTACCACTCCTGCAAGTTGTTGCTGTCCTCTCATGACCTTGATAGATCTTTGAATGTGAAGGGGTATCAGTCCCCTATTTTAAGAGTAAAAATAGTTTTCTGCACTAGTTTTTTAAAAGACAGTAATTTTAACGTCAAATTACAAGGTCCTAATTGTAAACAACTGCAACTCGAGGTGAATTCAGAAGCTTGATCAAAACTAGGAAAGATACCCTTAAAATAACTGCACTGAAGGTAAATTAGTTCACCAGCCTTTACCAGAATTGACCTTCTAAAACTGGCCCATAGGATTAAGATTTTCAATTCCACCAAGTTAGCAATTCAACATATAGCACCTTTCTTTTTAAGCTGTGTTAGCCATATCAGACAAGAACAGAAAGCACTCAGCATCTTCTGATGTGCAAATGGGCTGTTGATTTATGTCTTTATTCACCATATTATTCAGATTTTTCACCAAAAGCATAAGAATCTTGATCTGGTAGTAGACAGAGTACACAGTTTATATAGTACAGTATGCATATATGCAAAACACAACTAAAACCTCTAAGTACCTAGAAATCTGTAGATCTCTATGTATGAATACACAAAAGAAAATATATTATCAGACTTACAGAATGGTTTAGGTTGGAAAGGTCCTTAAAGCTCATCGAGTTCCACACCCCTCCTACAGGCAAGGACACATTCCACTAGACCAGGTTGCTCAAAGCCCCATTCAGCTTGGCCTTGAACACTGCCAGGGTGGAGCAGCCACAGCTCCTGGGCAGCCTGTGCATGTCTCATCACCCTCACAGTACAGAATTTCTTCGTAATGTTTAGCCTAAATCTTTCCTCTTTCATCTGAAAACCATTCCCCCTTGTCCTATCCCTACAGGCCCTTGTAAAATGTCCCTCTCTTGATGTCCTGTAGCCCCGCTTTAGGTATTGGAAGGCTGTTACAACGTCTCCCTAGAGAGGAGACTTTCTCTTCTCCAGGCTGAACAAGCCCAACTCTCTCACGATGATCAGAGAGCTCATGCATCTTTGTGGCATTCCTCTAAGACTCACTTCATGGCCCCCCCTTGTTATGCTGGGGGCCCAGAGCTGGATGTAGTACTGCAGGTGGAGTCTCACAAAAGCAGAGCAGTGGGGCAGAATCACCTCCCTTGATCTGCTAGTTACACTTCCTTTGATGCAGCCCAGCACATGGTTGGTTTCTGGGCTATGCGTGCACACGGAAGTCGGCTCATGCTGAGCTTCTCAGCAATCAACACCCCCAAGTCCTTCTCCTCAGGGCTGCTCACAATCCAGTCTCCACCCAGCCTGTAACTGTGCTTGGGATTGCCCTGACCCAGCTGTAGGACCTTGTACTTAGCCTTGTGAAACATCATGAGGTTCTCACGGGCCCACCTCTCAAGTGCATCAAGGTCCCTCTGGGTAGCCCCCTTCTCTCATGTGTCAACCGCACCACACAGCTTGGTGTCATCGGCAAACTTGCTGAGGGTGCATCAACCCCACTGTCCATGTCGCTGACAAAGTTGTTAAATCAGACAGATCCCAATACTGACCCCTGAGAAACACCAGCTGTCACTGATCTCAAGTTGGCCACAACTCTTTGAGAGTGACCATGCAGTTCCATATCCAGCAAGCGATCTATCTATGCCTTTGCAGTTTAGAAAGAAGGATGTATGTGAGACAGTGTCAAATGCTTTGCACAAGTCCAGGCAGACAACATCAGTTGGTCTTCCCTTACCCACCGGTGCTGCAGCCCTTCCATAGAAGGCCACTGAATTTGTCAGGCATGATTTCTCTTAGTGAAGCCATGATTGCTGTCACCAAACAGATGTTTCCAAGTCTAAAGTTAGCCCACAACTAGGTATTCTTGGGATCAGACCAAATATTAACAGGACTCAAAAGTTATGTAAGAAACAGGGAAGGGAAGTAGAAAGGAATCATTAGTTTTATTGAGCAGAGATTAAAAACAGATTTCATACTAAGGCCTCCAATGCACACGAATTGGAAAGGTGCCAACAATCCAGCAGCAGCATTTGCAAATTAATTATTTAAGTCATTCAGTTGAGAGAAGACATTAAAGAAGTTGGGAAGTCTTACACTCTATTAAATGAATACTCACTAAAATGGCAAATACTATAACTAATGACATAATACTAATGACAAATTACAGTCTTGCAGAAAAAAAGGAAGAAAAGTCCTTTATAAATACATGTTATGGGATTCTAAATTAGCTCTCTGCTAATCTCAAAAATGGAATTGGGCATTACCCCAACCAGTGTGATAACAGCTCTGTTCAGTGGGCAATATGACTGAAAATCACTGAGGTTTTAGGAAATATGTTGAAGAGAATGAAAAATAATTCTGAAGAGATCAGTCGTAGCTCTGGGCCACTGTGTTTTACACAAGCTTGACTGTGGGCATCTTCAGTCCAAAGAAGGGTGTTCTGGAATTTGAGGCTCAAGAGCTGAAACAAAGCAGGAGCAATTCTTAGGGGAATAATGAATGAAAAGTTTTGAACAGTTTGCCTCAGAAGTTTAATAGAATATGTAATAAAACAATGAAATGGTGTTCAGCAGTCTGAATAGGACTGCTGCCCATACCAGTAACAAGACATTATTCAACTTTAACAGAAAATTTTCAAAATCACAAATGGGAAATAGTTCTTCATGCAATAGTGACTGTGGAACTTGCTGACATAATGTAGCCATGAAGTCAAGGGTTTAGAAAGGTTTAGACAGAGGCTGCACATTTAATTGGAGTTCACAAAAATACCTGGTACTAACAGTTAAGGCTGAGGGTACCATGCCTTTAATACCATGTTCAGTTTTGGGCCACCACTACAAGAAAGACATTGAGATGTTGCAGCATGTCCAGAGAAGGGCAACAAAGCTGGTCTAAAGAACAAGCTTTATGAAGAACGGCTGAGGGAACTGGGGTTGTTTAGCCTGAAGATAAGGAGGCTCAGGGTAGACCTTTATCGCTCTCTACAGCTACCTGAAAGGAGGTTCTTCTTCCCAGTAACAAGTGATAGGATAAGAGTTAATGGCCTCAAGCTGCACTATGGGAGGTTTATATTGGATACTAGGAAAAAATTATCCATGGAAAGGTTGTCAAGCACTGGAACAGGCTGGTCAGCGCAGTGGTGGAGTCGCCATCCCTGGAGGTGTTTAAAGATGTGTAGTGGGACACTTAGGGACATCGTGGACTTGGCAGTGTTGGGTTAATGGTTGAACTCAATGATCTTAAGGGTCGTTTCCAACCAAAATGATTCTATGGTCCTTCTGTAGCAGGAGTAAAACAGCACACTTCAGGGTTTATGCTAACACTGACTGGGGCTCTAATGAGCAAAAACTGCTGCCTGCTCTTGGACTTCTTGCATCTTTTTGTTTCTGTGAAACATCTGATACTGGCTGTGCGAAGAAACTAGATTAGACTAGACATATGGTTCTGATGAAATTTTAATAAAATCCCACCCTTTTGTCATGAACTATTAGGGTTAGAGGCAGTTCAGCGCCAGGCCTGCAATGTAATGGCCTGATACTGATCCCACTTGAACTGAGGAATTTGGGACTGTTATCATTTAAGAGAACAGCAGAAGGCACGGGCTGGGCTGTATAAACTCGCTGCTCAGTGCATCTGGAAGGAGGGAGGGGATGTTAACACTTTTTTTTTTTTTTTTGCTGACAATGCATTTGTTTCATGTCAGCACTGGAATGATATTAGCGTTTGCCTGCCTTCCTTTTGTTTGTTTGGTCTGCTTTGCGAAAACAAAAAGCCCGAAAAATCAACACCGAGCACAGTATCAAAGGACACATCTGCCAAGCGAAATGTGCACTTCCCTTAGAGGGGAAAGCACAAGTTCTTCATGGAGAAACCCCGGTCAGGGAGCAGCACAGTGGGGTTAAGGGGCTGTCCCTCCATTACCGCTCTTCAGAGGCCACGGCCCCCGGTGCCGCGGTCTGCGGCGTGGCCCCTCAGCCTTCGCCGGGCGGGAGCGGCCAGCCCCCGCGCTCCCTCAGGCGGTAACACCGCGCCCGCCCCCTGATGTCAGTCCGCGGGCTCTGCGTGTCCCCTCCCCGCGGCCGCCCCGTCAAGGGCTCGCCCCGCTCGCTGAGCGCAGCTCCATTGGGACAGCGCGGCCTCAGTCACCCTCCGGCGGGCCAGCTCGACGCGGGGCCGGGGCCTGAGCGCGGTGGCCGAAGGAGCAGCGGGTAAGACTAAATCCAGTTCTAGCCCCACCTACGGCTTTTATATCTGCATATATGATTACATATCTATATGGGTAGAGGTACTTCTAAGGATCGATCCCACAATGAGAAATCAGCCAATTCCCGCCTGCGAAGGGGATATTATACACACGGATCTGCGGCACGCCTGTGCCGGCTGTGACTTCTCAGTCGAATCAAGGCACGGTACGAAGGCAGACCCTGACTTCTCCAGAAGAAGAGACCTGCCCAGTAACCCCTGGGCTCTGCACCACGCTGCGCATCTGCAAGGACAGCCCGGCCCCAGACTCTGCCCCGGAGAGTTAGAGCCCAAGGAGGAGTGCTGTACAGGTAGGTTTTGTGGCCGAGTATCTTCCACATGTGTCCCGCGTCTTTGCAGGGACGTTTCTGGGGAATGGGATAAACACAAAGAATGTGCCCGGTTGGCAACAGCATTGTGGGTGATACAAAACGAGAGCTTGGCTGACTGCTGTTTCTTTATTGCAAGTTTTTAGTGGTAATCTATCAGGAATATCTAGTTTGTATTTCAGTTGAGGAAAAGACACTACCAGATAGCGTATGTCTGGGGCTTTACTTGTAGAGCACCCCAAGGTGGTCTGTCTGCGTTTCATAGAGTGTTGACTCCTCTGCCCTTCAAACTTCCTGCAGCTTTCCAAAACGCTGACAAGGCATGGGAACAGCACTCACTTTCCTGGCCGTACCTGGGATCAGTGCTCGCTTTCCTGGCCATTCCTGCGCTGTGCACCTGAGCACTAAGCGCAGTCTAGCTCCTCAGAGAGGTGCCTGATGAAAGAGCTGGATAGCAAGATCCTTCATCATCTTCGTAGTGAGGAGGAACAGGAACTGAGAGTGACTTACATGAATTTGTAACAGCAACATTTTTAAAGAGGATGTAAAAAGAAACAATGCTAATTTTAAAGACATTTTGCAGATGATGCCATTTTTTACCACGCAGGTTGATGAATGAACCTGAAACAGCATGAGGATGTATGTGCTTTCAAGGTCTAAACCTGATGTTGTGGCTGATACAGCTTAATTAGCTTGGGGTAATTTATCAGTTAACCAGCCTTTCAGTTTGTGCTTACAGTTGAGCACACATAATCCCATTTATTTACATGCCTAAGATTTAAGGATGTGGGAGTGTTGTTGGATCACAGTTCAATTTCTGCACAGAAATCCTGAGTGTTACTTGTGTGCTACTTTGCAGGGATTTATTAAATTTAGTGTTGGTACAGTGCCCTGAAAAGGGAAAAGCTTTATATGCCCATGAGTTGTATTGCCCTTGCATTGGGTGTTGGGTATTACAAGCTTTTACAATAGATTAAATATGTGGAGCACTGCAGTGTTGGAAGTTTCAGTGTTTATAAAATAAATTTGGTTACATACTTTGGCACAGTCCCACTGGTCTAGTGACCCAGTTACTTTTGGCATTTTCACTGCTAGAATTACATTGTAGTGATGAGACTCCCAAAATATTTCCTTCACTCTCATGTTTGAAATAAAGCCAACTGGGTTTCATTTCTGTTAGAAATGCTGGGATAGTTTGTTGTTGTTGTTGTTGTTGCTTCAATGCTTGTTTATGTGTTGTCCAGATAAAAGACAAGAGCTGTACTCTGCAGAGATGAATGGGTGTAACATACACTGTATTTATAAACGCTTTTGCAGGCTGTCAGCTGAGTTTCCATATCTGAAAAAAAGTGTATGAGCTTATAAATCTCATATGGCATGCTCTAACCCCACAGTGGGAGCTGTGTAGATGGAATTGCTTGGGTATGAGAATCCTTTCCACACTGGTAAGAAAACTGTATTTGGAATCTGTTAGCATTGAGAACAGTAACTGTTGCCTTAAAAATTTAGGGCCTGATTCTGCACAACTGTGCCTGGATGAAGAATCCTTGCTGTCATAACTGGTGCCACTGATGACAGTGAAATTATTTATGTGGGTTATGAACTATGTATAAAACAAAGAATGTGCAAGATAGGAGTCTTAACCCAGGTTCTCATCTGCTTGGCACTTCCACAGACCTCTTACTGAGGATCAGCAGCACAAAATATTACAAGCTTTTTCTGTACATCTTAAAGTTGGTCAATTTTGTGAAGTTGGGTGCCTAAAGTACTGTTCTGGGACATCTCCATTTTGCTTGTGTCATCTTACTTAAGTTTTGGCAGAGGAAAGCCTGGCTTATGTCATGAGGTCACTGGGGACCTGAGATGTTGGCTGGCAGCCTCACTGCTCTCTTGCTTGGCTTGTGAACTGACTCTGTATGTTGCAAAGTTCAGTGAGTATTTATAAAACAGAAACCATGGTTCTACTGCAGGTTTAGGAAACCCTGCTCTAAGCCAGGAGGGTTTTACTGTTTTTTCGCTTCCTTATAGATGAAAATGGTCCATCTCTGGAAATACTGACAGTTGTATTTTGTATCAAAAGCCAGAAATAATATTTAAACATGAGGCCCAGCTTGGACAGCAAAGTATTTTTGTTAATTTACTACATTTCTTCACTATTTCTATTTCTTTTCTTCCTGTTACTGCAGTTTTATTATCTGAAATGTAAGTAGTTTTCTATGGTTTTGCAGCATAACAAAAATTGGTTTTATTCCTACATAATTTAACTGATGCTCGTTGAGGTAACATGTTAATGGCCAGATCTTCAGCTAGCATACTGAGAATGATTCCTTTTTATTTTAATGGAACTATACGAATTTCTGGATCCATGTCTTCCACTTACGTGGTAGTTCATTGGTGCATTCTTTTTCTTCATGTACACTGCCACAAAATTCCAGGCACAATATTTTGTCTTAATGTGGGGTTTTTTTTTGGTAAGTAATGGCTGTAAACAACATATATTCATAAACGGCAGAGGCAAAGCTCTCCCTTTTTTCCTCAGTATTTCAGTAATGCAAAACTAGGTGTGGGGATGTAGCAACTAAAGTCACAGTAAATCTCCTTCTCATCATCTTCCCTAGTTACGTGTTCCCATTGAGCTAATTTGCATGTGAAATAAACAAAATGGCAATGTTTGTTAGGTGAAAGAGTTTGTTGTTATTGCTTAACTTTATTTGGTTTGAGTGCTATGACTTGGGAAACAGCGATCTTAAGTTGTAATATCAAAATGCAGAGGTGTTTCTGCTTTTTATTTTTGCAAATTATAGCAGTAATATATAAAGCTAGTGAAATTCATGCTATAGCACATCAAAGGGACCCAGAATAGGGGTTGTGATTAGTTCATCACACATTGTCTCTGCAGCTCCTTCTTCTTCAGCTGAGGACACCTCACTCTTCCCTGGCTGCAGTGTGGGGTCCTTCCCTCAGGAGACTTCTCCAGTGTGAATCCTTCCCACAAACTGCTCCAGTGTGGGTGCCTTCCATGGGGTGCGTCCTTCAGGAACAGGCTACTCCAGCGTGGTCTTCTCTCACCATGGGGCCACGGGTCCTGCCAGCAGCCTGCTCTAGCACAGGCTTCCCAGAGGGTCACAGCCTCCTTTGGGCATCCCCCAGCTCCACCATGGAGCTGTGCAGGCTGCAGGTGGAGAACTACTTCACCATGGACCTCTATGGGCTGCAGCGGCAGCCTGCCTCACCATGGTCTCTACTATGGGCTGCAGGGGCACAGCCTGCCTCACCATGGTCTACACTATGGGCTGCAGGGGAATCTCTGCTCTGGTGCCTGGAGTGTCTCTTGCCCTCCTTCTGCTCTGACCTTGGTGACTGCAGAGCTGTTTTATCACATATTCCCACTCCTCTCTCCAGCTGCAATTGCTGGTTTTAGGGGGTTTTTGGTGTCATCCCCCCACCTTTTTAAACATGTTCTCCCAGAGGTGCCACTACTGCCACAGATGGGCTTGGTCTTGGCCAGTGGCACCCATCTTGGAGCCGGCTGGTGCTGGCTCTGTTGGACATAGAGGAAGCTTCTGGCACCTTCTCACAGAAGCCACACCTCTAGCCCCGCACTACCAGAACCTTGCCATGCAAAGCCAGTACAAATGTGGAAAATAAAAATTGTTGTTTCTGTGTTAGAATTAAAAGTTTTCTGATGAGGTGCAAAAGGGATTGCTACAAAACCCCCAAAACTGCAAGTTGATATTTTAATTTAAGGAATTTTGAAAAAAATGTATTTTTTACAACAGGTTTTGTTATCAGGGTTACATCTTTGTTTGCACTTATGTACTACTGGGTGGAGGTTTTTTTTTTCCAGGTTTTGTGTGGAGGGTCCGGTTTTGTAGGTAAGCCAATTTGAAATAACTGATTGCAGGATTGGTAGTTACTTGTAAAGAGCTATACAAATAATACATAAAGTTGTTGGAATAGTAGAAGGTCGGGCAAGATCCAGTGGGTTGGCAAAAGGCCTTCATAGAAATTCTCAGTATGCGATTGTTGAGAGAAACAACACAGACATGAGAGTGCTGCCACCTCACTGTTCAATGGAACTCAATTGAAAAATAGAGTAAGACACACCTATTGCCAACTCTGTGGTGAAATATTTGAAAACACAGTTTTTCATATGGCTTTCAGTTAAGCCTAATTTTAAAATCTAATACAAAGCTGAAAGGAGAACACCATGTAACATGTATAACTTTATATTTCATAAGGTATTAGGTTAATTTACTGGAAAAGTATTTACAGCTTTCCTCAATACTGACTGGCTAGTCCGTGAGGAAGGTATTGGCTAGTCACTGAGCAGAAATTAGAAGATCTGGGTGATGTTGCATACCTCTGACACCACAAAGAGCCTAATTCCATAAATATCCACTCAGTTTTGTGATTGGCTAAAGGGGATGACTAACCAATGAAAGTGATCTGAACAGGACACAAATTTGAATGAGAAAATCTGTTTCTGTACTTCCTTTCTAGGATGGAACCCGTTGCTAAGACTGGAGGAGAAAAATAGGATTCATGTAAAAGAACTGTAATTGCTGTCAAACTCTGGTTCCTGCATTTTAGCACTTTAATGCATATATAAAGTCAGTTTGATTTTTAGTTTTGATGCACATTCAGAACTTTCACTGGAGGCAGTCATCCTGAGTGATACAAAACCTTCTACTGTTATTTTTTACAGATGTAGGTTCCTAACTTTAGGTACAAAAATGTGAAAGTGTTTGGCATGAATAGGGATTAAAATGTTTTCAGACTTCTGGCAAGCTTGGTGATAGTGAAGATGCAATGGAATTTATTTTCTTTTCAATCTGAAAATGCAAAAATTAACTGTATAAAATTCAGAATTAAAAAAAAATTGTTGAGATCACAGATCCTGTATTAACTTCTTAAACATTTGAGGGGGTTTTGCTTTGCTTCGTGAGGAATAGCGGCACAGCCTTATCAGCCACATATGGCATAGGACTTCAGGCGTAAGACTGCCTGAAAATTTGGAGAGAGATTTGGGCTCATACCCTCTCTATTGTGTCCTTAGCCCTCAGAGGTTAAAGATCATTTACATTTCCTCTGGGTAAGATAATACTAATAGGAGCAATAATACTAATAGGAACCCTAATATTTTCAAAACCACCAGTGTCCCATTTATTTTTTAATGTTTGTGAAACTTGTACAACTTTTTAAAAAGCAACAGCCATGAAGAGTGGAATATCACAGGAAAGGCTGAAGGACCCATGCACCTCATGGACAATGCTGGCTTTTGGGGCAGAGAGCTGGTAAAAACCATTTTACATTTGCTCTGGCATGTCATTTGGACTAGTGCTTCCTAGGCTTAGGCAGCAACCAGCAATTACTTTTGCCCAAACCCATCTCTTATTTTCTTTCAAAAACAGCTTTGTAAATGCAGTTTCCATCTGGTGTACAAACAACTGTAACTTGCCAGTAGCCTGCATACACAGTGCTAGGCAGAGCGGTGGGGCAGGGACGCCAGCTCCGTGTGAGCAGAGCAGACAGAAGGCCTGAGACCCGGGTGCCTTCCATGTTGTGGTTTGGTAGCACTTCTGCGCAGGACAGGAGGCTGTGCAGATAAGGTCTCAAACAAGGGAACTGAATGTGTCTTTCTCATGTGTCTTCTGGGCAAGGGCTTATTTTGAAGAACTCCGAATGCAGCAGACTTTAGGCCAAGATCTTTCTAACTCAGCAGCTTCAGGGGACCTGTAGCATGGAAAGGCCCAGTCTGTGGTGATTATTCATGGTCAGGCAGGCAGGTTCTAAGCCTGGAGTCTTGGCTGAGGCTGGTGGATTATTCCAGGCCCTGCAGCCTGACACAGCCCATTTGGCAGGTTTTTCTGGTAACTTTTCCAACAGCCTCTTTCATCCACAAGTACCAAGCTGCTGAGGGCTGGAGCAGCCCAGTCCTAACCAGGAACTAGCCAGCCTGTGTCTGTGTCCTGTTGGCAGTGAGCAGGAGGGGTGGCTTCAGCACACAGCCTTGGCTGCTGCTGCCCCTTCCCTGTGATAGTCAGGCTCTGCCTGGGTTCCCCCTGCGTTTCCCTGTGCACAACCATGCACCCTGGCAGCCGCAGCCTTAGTGCAGAAACCAAAGGAGAGAAATGCAAAGTTGCTCATCAGTGTTAAAATCAGCACATAAACATGATTGTGGTAACTCCTTGATGGCCTTGTTGCCCTCACAAGTAATTCTGAATTGCTTTTTCTGCTGGGATCAGCTGCAGATACTTTGTTGAATAGCTGAGAAGTTTAAAATGTAATTGGAAATTGGGGCACAAGAAACATAATATATTTGTTAACACAAATATAGTTGTAAAACTCCGTTATGAATGGGATGATTGAGGAGTAGGTTTTGCTAATGAGCTGCATGGAATACTTTTCAGGAGTTACAAAAAGGGTTTCTTGATTTGGGTAGAAGCAATAGAGAACCATAAAAATTATAAATAACCGTGGCACCATCAGCGACCTCTTGACATAATTTAGAGACAGCTTTGGCTCAAAAGTGGTTGATATGATATACCTTTTATATTTACTGCAATATCAAAATGCTCATATTTATCTTTTTAAGGTACTGTTATGCCCTAGCTTTACATCTTTCTGTTGGTAATAAGCCACTTATGCATTTTTTTTTTCAGGAACTTTTGGGATTTAAACTATTACTGGAATTTTGTTGTTTAAATTGTAGCAAACTTTCCTAATTCCTTAAAATTCCCTACAGCCTTTTAGCTCCAGCAAAAGTTAACTTTTTGATAGAAAGTCAGTTCCTTTTTCACAGCAATTCAGTCATTGGTAATTCCTGCTTTGGAGTAGTAAATGTACCTTTAAAAATATTGCTAGCTTCTGAGTTTGGAGAGGTACTGTGGAGACCATGAAGCCTTCTGTAGTCATGCTTTAATTCTTGTATTTTTCCTTCATTCAGTAAGAATACAAGTCGGTGGTGGTTTTCTTTTCTTTTCTTTTTTTTTTTTTTTTTTTTGAGGAGGTAGGGAAAAGAAACCCATTATATTGAATAAATCACACTGCAGTGAAATGCTATTGTTTATGTGTGCCACTTCCCCCTAGTGAATAGAAGTGGAATTGCTCCATCTCATGCCATGCCATGGACCGCAGCTTCAACCGGATTATGGAAACTTTCTTGAACTTTCAGTGACAGAGAAGTATCTTTCTTTGCAGTTAAAAAATGTGAACTTTTTTTCTGCTTTTTCTATTGAGGACAAACCAGACCTTCATTGCAAAGCATGCCAGGTTTGCTAAATTCAGTCCTTTGCCACACATAATGCCCAAATAAATACACAATTACTTCAACAACAGCAAAACTATATTAGTTATTACTGCTGTGTCTGTGTATCAGTGTGATTGAGCAGTGCTTCCTGCCCGTTTACATACGTGCAGCATTTATTTTAACAATATTTGCCTTTTTCGTGATTGTTTCATATATGTTTATTTAGTAATTATAACTCCTCCATGATAGGTTTATGTTTATGTTATCAAGCCTTTATGTAATTGATACCAGTGCTAAAGTGATTTGGTCATAAATAGCTATGCAAACCAAGATAAAAATGTTGATCCATATATTTTCACTTGGATGGTTTTGTTACCTGAGGTGGTAACAGGAAGCCAGTGTTATAAAAATGGTGTGCACATGATAAATGCTCTGTCAAGTGTCAGTTAACAAAATATCAAATGTGGGATTTCTCTGGCCAAAAGCCAATCATATAGCTCAGTAGTCACCCTCGTCTGCCCTTATCACCCATGGAAATCAAGCTAGCATGAGGTGAATCCTGTATGTAGTAGTCTAAAAAAATTATTTGCATCTGCTTCTTTGGTTTTTAATTGTGTCATTTATTGGTGTAATGAATGTGTCATTAATTGCTGGTACTGGTGAAAACAACTTCTTTTACACTGACAGCCAGAGTTGTCCATTATAGTTGTACAGGCATGTGAAGGTCTCATTCTTAGCAAAGTAAGTTTTCCAAAGAAGCAGTGTAAGATGTAGAAGTAGTGAACCCTAGATCAGCATAAAATCTGATGTCAGGAAACTGTGTTCTGAAATATGCTTCATAAAAAAAAAACCACAAACAAAAGATGGATCCAAAGTTGGTTTTAGACATAGCTAAGGAATGCAGAAGTATCCCTGAAGATAGGAATTGTTCTGTAGAACTTGGTATGTTAATATATCGTACACATTTTAACTGACATGAGGCATTCACCTACCTGAAGCCTAAAGAATGGGAAGTATGAAAGCATCTGAGAGGCTGAGTGTAACGCATTTCCTTGCTTTCCTTTTGGGATAATTTTGCATTTCATGTCCTTGCAGTTTTCTGAGAACTAAAGCTGCAGGTCACCCCTATTCTTAGAGGACAGCAGACATTGTTTGTAAAGGTTAAAAGTACTTTTTTTTCTTTTTAACTAAAAGTAGTGTAAAAAAACATGAGGCCATATCCTGTGGCATCTAGTTAGGCAAAAATCACACTGGGATTTGAAGACTGCAGCTTTTCTTGTTTTTATGGACTGTGCTGTACATTACTGCAAGTTTATATTTTCATCCTTTGTAACAAAAAGATAAAGTCCTGTTTGTTTTTGCTCAGCACTTAGAGAACTGTGGTTGAGAAATGCTATTACAGAATTACTAACAAGAATGATCTCTTTTCCAGAGAGACTGGTGCTTGCCCAGCCAACATTTGTTTTTGAAAGGAAGGGCCGTCCTTTGAAGGTAAAAAACTTTTTTTTTTTCATAATTGATAAAAAATGCTGAGAAATTAGTATTCTGTAGACAATGATCCTAGCAGTAATAAAAGATTTTAGCCTAGGGTAAGACTTGTAATAAATGATTTCAGAATGGAGTAAGGAAGAGTCGAAATAAGAAACAAGACTGCTTTTAATGCATGTACATTGGATTGATATACTTTGTGTCCCGGTCTAGAAAATGGCTGTTCTGTTCTCCTTGACCTTTCCACACTTATTTTTTTTTCCAGCGGCCTGCAGAAGACCCAGTTTGCAAAGCTGAAAATGGTAATAACCATCTTCTTGAAACAGTATAGTACACTGGGCTATTCATAGATCTGACTGTTGCTGATGAAATAAGTGGTTGGACCCTTACTTTGTATGAGCAAGGACAAATCCCTGTTAGTAGGTGAAGACTATGTGGGTTCTAGAGCCATCTACTGCGTCCCAATATACATGGTTGGATATAAGGAAGAAGTTCTTTACTATGAGGGTGGTGAGGCACCAGAATGGGTTGCCTAAGGAAGTTTTGAATGCTTCATCCCTGGCTATGTTCCAGGCCAGGTTGGACAGTCTTGAGTGACATGGTTTAGCATGTGGTGTCCATGCCTATGGCAGGGGGGGCTGGAATTCGATGATCTTTCCAACCCTAACTGTTCTGTGATTCTATGGTTATATGTACCTGTCTTACCTCAAGAATTCTTCCATTTTAACCCTTATAGTTGCAAGAAAGCCAAACTCCAAAAGCCCTGAAAAGTGTCCAAGTATATTAATCAGCTGTATGAGCTCCTAGCTGCCCTTTTCTATTTGCTTAGGCTGCATTATAATGTAACTTCTCATTCTTATGTCTTCTGAGCCTGTGGGCTACGAACTGATTCTCAGTGCTTGATTTATGTTCCCTGAACTTAGGGAAAAAGAAGAGTCCCTGGGGCTTTGTGCCTGGTGTTGAAAGATTCCAAAGCCCTCTTGCTCTTAGGTACTGCCTTAAAGATGTTCCTATAAGTCATTCCTAGAATTTAGTGTATTCAAGTTTTAATTCCGTATCATAACATTATGCTGAAATCTCCTCCCAAGCTGTCCCTGCAGAACAGTGTATCTACTTTTCTCTAGATTTCATTAGTTGTTCCAGAAAACGCGCAAGATCGTCATCTTTTACTCACCAGAAGTCTGACTCTCAGTTTAACACAGGTATGATGTTTAGCTTCAGTCATGTTCTAATTACTGTAGTTTGTGTTCTCATCTGGTAAAGAAGATAAGTAATTTTTCTGTCTAAGAAACATTTCAGCACGGTAGGAATACCGCAAGTCATGAAAACTTAAAACACCGATACCAATTTTCTGGTAATTTCAAATAATTCCCTTTTAAATAAAAATATATTAATTTTCTATGCTTACATGGTATTACATAAAGTAGTGAAAAACCTGTATATTTTATATTGTTTCCTTGAATTACAAACACAGTCAAGGAAGGAGGAGGGCTGGAAAGAAATGAGATTTCCTGGTTTGTGGAAGAGATCAGTGTTCCCTAGGCAACTCCTGAAAATCTGAATCAGTTTCCAGAAGGGCCCCTCCTTCCATCCAGCCACCAGCTGATCTGAAAGGCCTTTTAAGGACTGTGTATTACTTCCATATGAAATGCACACAGGTCATTGAGGCGACTGAGCAGAAGGACTCATTTGGTATTTACAGTGTTTATTTAACATATGGATGGAACCAGAAAGTTACTTCTGAATTTAGGCATTAATATGTGTACACTGTGCTTTGTTTTATCTAGTCTTGTGACACATCTGATTGTAGGTACAAAAATTTAAGATAAGCTAAGTCTGTTTTACTCTGAAAATTATACCAAGATCATAAATAAAAAAATCACAGATACGGTAAAAATTTTAGGGTATGCCTATACCAGAAAATAAAGGTACAAGAGGAAGCACAAGTGTTTGACCTCTTGGTTGTCCACGCTGCTTAACTGATAGCTCACTTCCTGGTTCAGTTTTGAACCTCTCCAAGTGGTGGTCTCCAACTGTTAGAGGGTGGACTAGCCGTGAGCAGAGTGCCTGGGCCAGGCTGTGCCGCTTGGTCTCAAGTACCTCTCCAATTCAGCACATAACCTAACAGTCTAATTCAGAAAGCTGGTAGCTAGCAGTAATTATTTATTCTACTGACAGTGGTGGCATAACATTAAATGGGCTAACTTTACAATTAATATATTTTTTTCTCCAAACAAACGATAATTTCAGTCTCTGACCCTTTCAGATCCAACTTGCACTCAAAAAAGAGGGAGATCGTGTTCCTTCAGCATACTTCCTACTTTCCCTCCCTCCCAGCCAGGTAATTAAAAATAAAAAAAAGTAAGAAAATAAACTAACTAACTAACTAACTAAATAAAACAGGTAAAATAGTGAGCTGTACAGAAATGTTTTTTTTTCTGCAGGACAGAGCTGAAATGCATTGTACTAGGCTCATATTTTGACAGAAGAAAGAAATGCAAGTTTCACAAAAGGGACTAGCAGTTCATTAGAAGAAATGTTTTTTCATTTGGTGTTAAGGAATCCTGCAATGTTATTGAGGAATTTTTGAATAATTTGCAAATATGCATTTATACAGTACAAGTACAAGTTACCAAGTACAAATTACACTTGAAAAAAACAGGATGGAGTTGAAGTAATTACATGAGTTAGTTTGCTTGCAATTTAATAGTGATGGTTCCTATAGGAATATAATTTTCTGTCCTAGGAGCCTGTCTTCCACCTAGCCAGTAACCCTGGGAGTATTTTCCCACTTAACATTAACAAGAACAATGGAGTGCTCTTGAATCCTTGTCTCTTACCAGAGACAGGTGCTTTATGGACTCTGACATAAAGGATTTCTAAATAATCTTAAGGGGATGCAACATTGTTATAGGAACAAACCATAATCTTTCTGCAATGAAAAAGTAGTAATTGTGTGTGGAGTATTAGTTCTGTTGTTTTACAGGACATGGTACATGATTACCATCACTTCCTGGCTGCTGTTTGGTATCTTTACTAAATCAGTGAAAGCACCAGTAGTACACTGCCATCATGATAGCAAATTATGAAAGCCTTTTTACCAGAACAGGGAGGTACACTTATTTTATTCCCATGTTCTTGAGCCTCATTTACACACCTAAAAATTGGCTAAGACTGGACCAGATAGGATTGCCATTTCAGTGGATTTTGCAAGCCAGCAACATCTGGTTTTCAAAGCTGAAGAAGGATTTTATGAGTTTAAAACATTCATTAGTATCAAAAAGATTTCTGTCTCTGATGTAGCCAGAAAATCCATGGTGCTTTTGGTGCTGAAGTCTACCCACCTGTAAAATGAAGACAGTAACAGTTATCTCAGTGATTGTGTTTAGATTGATGGAATATTGCTCAGGTACTACCAAAATAGGGATGAGTAACAGAAACATGAACTATTAATAGAAGTTTATTGTTACTCTTTATTAAAGTTTAAATTCCTTGTTCTGTAGTAAAGAAGAATAACATATTCATGACCTCAGCGCTTCTTCAAGGAAACACTGATCTGATCAGCAGTACAAAACAAGGTAACCATCATTGCAGTATTTTTTCACTGTAGTTCCACAAAGACATTCTTAACAGATGTAAAAAAACGTAAAAATTACACCTTTTCTCTCTGTGGGATTCATAAGTTATTTGTTTGACAGCATAGATACCCTGTAAGCTCTGTTATAAGCTTCTGCTCTGACTAGTTAATTCCTGAGTAGAGTGAACGTAACTTTGAATAATGAAATTCCACATTTCTACCTGAATAACTGCACTCCAGGAGAAGGCAATAAAGAACCCTCTTGGCATCTGCAGGTGCAGGGCTAAATTTGAAATATCAGAAGACAGATCTAGCATAGAGCAGTAAATATAAATGTAAAGAAATATTTAAATAAAGTACAACTTACAAATATAAGTAAGTATATTTATACTTATAACAAAATACCTTTTATTCTGATAGGATAAAGGGGTTGCTGTCACTTCAGAGTTGTGTATTTTAGCAGGGATTACAATTTTACAATTTTTCAGAATATGTAGCAAGTAAGCAGCAATAAATGTTATTTAAATATGCTTTGCTTCTTTAGTTAAAGAGGCAAAACACATAAGTATGAATTAAGTGTGAAAAAAAGTCTTTGTTTAAATATTTTGTCTTCTGTGTTTTGCAAGGATCCTTGTCTCAAAGTCAGTTGCGGAGCATCATTAGACCTGCCATTTTACAGCCCCCACAAGCCCTGACCTGTCCTGAAAGTCCTGTAGTATCTCTTGTGACTGAGAAAGAAGCACTTGTTAAGGTGAAAAGGAAAAGTAATTATTCCACTGCATGATTTTCAAGAAAGTTCCTGTATCAATTGCAGTGGAATTGCTGGATCACTGACATGGTGTGAACTGTTAAACTCATTCTCACTATGTTTGAAAAAAACATCTCTTCTCTGTGGGCTGTCTCAACTTTCAGATATCAGGGTTCTGTGGGCAAATCAGCTTTGGGGGTCTTTCGGATTTTGTTTATTTGGAACATAGTATTTTAGCATTTTGATTAAGGGTACTGGCTTAGTACACAGCTGGAGGCAGCTCTGCCAACTACCACATATATATACATACAAACATCACATATACCTCAGTAACTCTGGACTTCTAGTGGATATGTTTATAGCAGAAAATTACCTTAGTCTAATTAATTCATGTAGTTTTATTATTCCTAGGTATCTGAAGACAGCTCCTACTGTTCAGCTGAGAATTCAGTAAGTTCCAAAACAGCAGCAGGATCATCTATTACTGTGAACCTTTCTAGCTCTACAACACCACCGTAAGTTTTTATTTATTATATTTCTACACCATTTCATCACTTGGTCTGTGGCATGCCTTTCTGTCCAGCGTATCTAACATGATACTAAGCCCGTGATATATACACCCACACAGTGCTCACTGGTGCTTGTGTGTGGTGCCAGGATTTGTAGGTGCTGACATGAGCTCCATATGCCGTAAGAAATGGACTCTGCCAGGAGTTAATTTCTGTGGGATATTTTGTTTCCCACTAGCAACCTCCAGGCCAGAAACTATTTTGGTTTGCCATCTCATGCAGCTTTGGCAGTTCAAAATCTGTTATGGTTTTGAATGTTTACAGTCATCTATGTGTCCTTTTGGAGATCTCCCTTCCAACTGCATAGCTGCTGCATCTCATAAACAGATGCAGAGAGACTCAGGAGTTAGCACAATATACTGGACATATTAGGAGATTAGGACATAAGAGATGTGAAGAAAACCATACAGGACTGATTTGGAAGACAAGGTGAATGCTACACCTGATGCTCTGCTTGTGCCCACACCAGACTGTCTGGTGTGAACAGTGATTGTGGTAGGGTGCAGTCTTTGTGCAGACATGGGTTCAACAGCATGGACTTCAGAAGTTCTGCATGAGGAAGCTGACTTCCTTGGATTTGCCTCTGTATATGACTGAAAGAGCTCATACTAGTGCAAAAGTGGGCTGTTACCTCTCTCTGGAGACATGCTTATGAGAATGTTAGGTCTGTGGTTAGCCACCTTAGTGTTTGGCAGGTTATCGTGTGGATATTAATACTGCTTGCTGATGGTTGACGAGGGTTATTTACCTGGAAATTGTGAGCATCAGGAATACACCTGATAAGTCAGTTATGATGAGGGAATGACATTTCAGAATTGCTAGGGCCACATATAACACATTTGCCATTCTCCCAAGAGAACACATTAACTGCAGAGGAGTCTACTTCAGCCTTCTTCATCTATGGCCCATCTTCTGCACCCACCATTTGGGATTCATAGTGCCAGGGTTCTGAGGAGGTAAGGGATTTTTAGATTCATAACTTGGATTCTTCAGAATATTCGAGGGCAGATGCCCACTGTGATTTCAGAAGAGCCAGCATGTGCTTTTCTATCACAACTCATGCTGTAATGATGCCTTGTGAGAATAACATGGAGCCACAAACATGCTGGATTTTTAGCTAATTCAGAATGATGGCAATGCGTGTTGAAAAGGTGAGGGAAGATGGTACTGACCTCAAAATCAATTGGTATCAACACTCCGCAAGTCTATTTACCTTCTCTCACCTCTATAATACCTAGGAAAAGATAGCTGAGAGGCTTTTTCCTGTGGAGTAGATTGACAGAGACATGCAATTCAGTGTTCTGGTGTCAATAAGTTACAAGACTTAAGAGTGCTTATGGTATTTCTTTTCCTTCTTTAAAAGAGAAATTGCTAATCTGCAATTGTGGTAAATGTTGGTTTATTTAAGAAGGTAAATCTAATTTAAATACAACTAGGTGCTTATTGCTCTGCTGGGATTGCAGGGGGGTCGTCTTCTACAGATGAGATTTTTCTGATCCATACTAAGTGCCTGAGGCTTTAAAATGCTTCAGTAAAATCTTTCTGGCATAGACATTTTCTTACAGATAACCTGACAGCAAATATTCAAACACACAACGTTTACTAAACTCCATGTACATGCTAAATAGTATTGAACATTGCAGCCAGACCTGCTTATTGCTAAGAAAAGAACTTTTAGGTGTGTTTTTAATTATTAATCAAGGTGTAACTATTGATGTTTATTTACAAAATAAAATGCAGAGAGACTCAACAGCAAGATTGCTGCTGCATGCAAATGTTCCTCTTACTTTCTCTTCCACCTCTTCTTCTCTATGTGATACAGTTCTGTAGAGAGATGAATGGAAGTGGTTTTTTACCCCTCTGCAGTTGCTGCAGCTGTTTGTGTCCCAGGAAACTACCAGTAGTTCCATTTCCTGAACAAACTGTAGTAAATTAAAAATGAGAAATTTGCTGTTGTGTGATTCTGATTAAAAGCAAGGAGTTTGTGTTGCAAGTGACAGAAATGTAATGCTGTGAAAATACAGGCTTCTGGCCACGTATTCAGCTTTGCACAAGGATTTGCTTAGAAAACTGCAAGGGTTCAAGGCCAGCATTAGACTTAGGAGCTACTCAGACCCTTCCAGACACTCTGAGAAGGACAGTACCTGTCTCTCTTTCCTTAGAACCTTTCCAGTATCTTACCACATTTCTCCTGCTCCCATTCTTCCTTGTTAGTGGTCATTCCCTGAATTCAGTGCCTCTGTTTTTCATCTCCATGGCAATGTCATCACTCGCACATTTTGTTCTTACCCTGAAGCAACACAAGGGTATTGAGGTTTTAATAGCTTTCTAAGGCTGGCAGTTCCAGTTAGCCTTGAAGGAAGGATCCTGCACTGATTACTTTTTTCTTACATTTCTGAAAATAATAAATCCATTTCCCACGTTATTAATTTCAAACAAGGCTCTAGTTCCTGTTTTTTATCTCTTCTGGAGTGTTGTCCTTACTGACTTGTTATGGGAGTGGCCTAGATGTAGCAGACAAAATTTTAGGATGGAAAACAATCACAATTCTGTGAATTTTAGTGGAGAGTTTTCTTAAGGAATAAGAAAATTATTAGTTTAAACACACATTCCCTGTCCATAGCCCCAGACACATATGGAAGTCTTCAAGATTAAAAAGAGATGGATCCTCTGATTTCTCTTTCTTATTTGCTCTTAATCTTACCAACACATCAAGCGTGAGAATGCTAAGGAATATTTTTTTCCTTTCATGTAAAATGGAGATAGCTCATACTTGGAAAATCCTTCATGCTATATGAAGAGGTATAGTTGTGAACACAGAAACTAAGTTTTAGAAGCAGTCATCAAAGTTCTGGCCACAAACTCAGCTTATTAATAGGAGCATCCTCGGCATGACATACGTGCCGGTAAGCCCTCCAAAGGGTGATAAATGATCTGGAAGAACAGATAAGTGGTGCTGAATTATGCAGTTTGTGACAAAATATCAGATTATTCTTCTGCCAAGTCATCCTACTGGAAACAGAAAGAGACAAGAATTTGGATGGTTTTGCCTTTGCCAGCAAGGGATACATTAATTAAGCTCTACAGAAAGTATGAACAACCTCTAAGCTGTTTGTTAAAGAAAAAAAAACCAAACTGGCATCAGGAATAACTTCCAGACAAAGAAGTTTACATTCTAATGATTTTTATGAAAAATGGGTCCTGTTAATTTAAGTGGCTGTGTAATTAGCAGGTCAGATCACAACTGTACTTAGAAATCCACCATTAATAACTTTTTACAAGTTGTGAGTGTCACTATTTAAAAACTCATTCACCTTCTCTTAAAATCTCCTGAGAAGTAAGAGGCTAACTGAGACTAATTAAACTCAGGGTGACAATACAAAAAAACACTTAATGTTTTTTATCCAGGAAGGAAAAAGGGACAGAAGTGAAGCAGGACAAGTGTTGTTTTAATGTAGGTTTTCCCAAAACCAGTCACACTCCAGATCCTAAATGTGAAGTGATTTATCTAGTATGAAATTTTCTCCCCAAATCATATCCCTAAGCTTAGTTGACCAGTAACAAAGAATTGCAAATATTTAGTTTTCTTTACTTCTCATTTTAAGGGTATCTATGGAACAGGTGATTGAAAAGTGGAAGGAAGGTGTTTCTTTTCAGTTGTACCTCATCATAAATCGTCTGCTATCGTGCTTTCACATTTTTGCAGTATTTAAGTGAATTGAAAATGTGTGCACTAGAATACACTACCTGGCTGCCTTTCCAAGATATTAGGTGTATGACCAAGGACGACCTGTAGGGCTCTGGGAAGTACAGTCCTCTGAAGAGTATCAGAGCTGCATCACCATGAAGGTATAACTGTTAATAATGCATTAAAGTTTCCGGAGTAAGACATTTCCCTGAGGAGGAGGAAGAGGTGGCATGTTGTTTGCCTCTATTTCTTTGTTTTAAGGAACATCCTCAATAGTCTTCATGAAATACAGTATGATACTCTGTTCATTTTTCTGAAATGTTATATGGAGAATATCCTCAGATTTTAGAATCACAGAATCATAGAATAGTTAGGGTTGGAAAGGACCTTAAGATGATCTAGTTCCAACCCCCCTGCCAGGGGCAGGGACACCTCACACTAAACCATGTCACCCAAGGCTCCGTGCAAACTGGCCTTCAACACCACCAGGGATGGAGCATTCACAACTTCCCTGCGCAACCCATTCCAGTGCCTCACCACCCTTACAGTAAAGAACTTCTTCCTTATATTCAATCTAAACTTCCCCTGCTTAAGTTTTAACCAAATTACCCCTTGTCCTGTCACTACAGTCCGTAATGAAGAGTCCCTCCCCAGCATCCCTATAGACCCCCTTCAGATAACAGAAGGCTGCTATGAGGTCTCCACGCAGCTTTCCCTTCTCCAGGCTGAACAGCCCCAACTTTCTCAGCCTATCTTCATACGGGAGGTGCTCCAGTCCCCTGATCATCCTCGTGCCCTCCTATTGACTTGTTCCAGCACTTCCATGTCCTTTTTACGTTGAGGACACCAGAACTGCACACAATACTCCAAGTGAGGTCTCACAAGAGCAGAGTAGAGGGGGCAGGATCACCTCCTTCGACCTCCTGGTCACACTCCTTTTGATGCAGCCCAGGATACAGTTGGTTTTCTGGGCTGCGAGCACAAACTGCTGGCTCATGTCCATTTTCTCATCAACCAACACTTCCAAGTCCTTCTCTGTAGGGCTGCTCTGAATCTCTTCTCTGCCCAACCTGTAGGTGTGCTTGGGATTGCTCCGACCCAGGTGTAAGTGTCTGGATAGGGATGTTAAGGATAACAAGAAGGGATTCTATTGCTACATTATGAATAAAAGACAGACTAGGGAGAACTGACTGTCCTGGATTTGGAGAAGGCTGAGGTTCTCAATGACTTCTTTCCCTTGGTCTTCACTGGCAAAGGCTCTGACCACACCACCCAAGTCTTGGAAGGGAGATGCAGGGACTGTAAGAATGAAGACCATAGGCCCGCTGTAGGAGAGGATCTTAAGAACTTAGGGACCATAATGAGAACCTGAACGTGCACAAGTCCATGGGACCTGATGAAATCCATCGGCGGGTCCTGAAGGAGCTGGCAAATGAAGTTGCTAAGCCACTGCCCATCATATGTGAAAAATCATGGCAGTCATGTGAAGTTCCCGGCAACTGGAAAAAGGGAAATATAACCCCCATTTTCAATAAGAGGAAAATGGATGACCAAGGGAATTATAGACCAGTCAGTCCTGCCCTGAAGGAATCCTGTAAGTTTGGCATCAGCCCACCTCACAAGCATGTCAAGGTCCCTCTGGACGGCATTCCTTCTCTCCAGTGTATCAACTGAACCACACAGCTTGGTGTCATCGGCAAACTTGCTGAGGGCGCACTCAATCCCACTGTCCATGCCACCGACAAAGATCTTGAACAAGACCGGTCCCAACACTGATCCCTGAGGGACTCCACTCGTTACTGTTCTCCAGGCGGACATTGAGCCACTGACCACAACTGTGTGTGTGCGGCCATCCAGCCAGTTCTTTATCCACCAAGTGGTCCACCTATCAAATTGATGTCTCCAATTTAGAGACAAGGATGTCATGTGGGAGTGTCGAATGCTTTGCACAAGTCCAGCTAGATGACGTCAGCTGCTCTACCCCTGTCCCTTAGTTCCATAGCCCCATCATAGAAGGCCACCAAATTGGTCAGGCAGGATTTCCCCTTAGTAAAGCCATGCTGGCTGTCACCAACCACCCTGTTGTTTTTCATGTGCCTTAGCATGCCTTCCTGGAGAATCTGCTCCAAGATTCTGCCAGGCACAGAGGTGAGACTGACTGGTCTGAAGAATTTCTTGAAGAATTAAGTTTCTGATTATTTAAGTGGTCATTTTTTGTTTGTCTTTAATGCAAGGTGTGCTAAGGCAAATGCATGAACTTATTTATACATTTTACAAAATTTTAAACACTTCTATATCACATTCTTACGTTATTTTTTTCCACAGAATTCGGTTGTTTGAAGACAGGAATGTACAAAACATCAGGAATTCTGATTTTGTGTTTGGAGAAAACATGGTTGAGAGAGTTTTGGTAAGATCTGTAATTGCTGGCAGATGTTTTATGAAGGTTAATGTATTTATGAGTATAATTATTTTCAGATAGTGATTCTGTTTAGCTCCTCATGTTCTTTTAGAGATGTAAATAATCATGATTCAAATGACTGTTGAGGAGAAAATCTCTAAATATTTGCTATAGGAGGGTTAGGCATCCATATCTTCCCCATCCAAGATAAGTACTCTAATTAATAACTTGTACCAGTATGCGCTTTTTCTCTTTAACTCCTTTTTTGATCTGAGAAGGGTTTTTTTAATATTCCACGTAAAGCATGACAGCCGCAAGGCAAAAGAATGTGGTCCCCATCACTCTAGTGGTTTTCATTGTAACTTAAGAGGTGGGAGAAATAAGTATGCTGGATAGTATCCACGTTAAACTAAATTGTTGTCCTGGGTTCAGCAGTAGCAGTCATTTTTTCTCCTTCTTCATAGCTGGTGCGGTGCTGTTTTTTTGACTTTTGGCCTGGGAACAGTGCTGATAGCACCGATGTTTTTAGTTACTGCTCAAATGTTTGGTCTGGCCAAGGACTTTCTGAGCCTCATGCTCTGCCAGGGAGGAGGGGAAGCTGGGAGGAAGCAGAGACAGGACACCTGACCCAAACTAGCTGAAGAGGTATTCCATACCACAGCACGTCATGCCCAGGATGTAACTGAGGATTACCTGGAAGGGCTAGTTCACAGTGAGGTAGGACTAGATATCAGGTGGTGCTTGGCTGGCTGAGGGGGGGAGTTATCCGTCAGCAGGTGGTGAGGTGTTGTATTCTCTTCCCTTGTTGTTTCCTTTATCATTATTATTATTGGTGGTAGCAGTAGTGATTTGTGTGACACCTTAGTTACTGGACTGTTCTTATCTCAACCTGTGGGAGTTGCATTCTTTCGATTCTCCTCCCCATCCCCCCGGGAGGGGGGGCAGGAAGGAAAGAAGGGGGGGGGGGGAGTGAGTGGTGAACGAGCTGCCTGGCTGGGTTTAAACCACAACAGTTGTGCATGCTGTGAGACAACTTAACGGATCAAGTCCTGAAGGAAATTTGAACAAAAAGGTGGTTGACAAGCTGAGGAGGACTGCACCACTCAAAATGGAACTGATACTTATTTTCTAGCAGAAGTAGAATGAAAACAGTATGCGTATCTGCCAGTGAAAAAGCTTGGCCACCATAGGGCTGGGTTATTACGTACGACCAGGATTTAGCTACAAGGTAGATGTTGAGCCACTGAGCATTGTAGGGAACCAAAAGCATTTATTTAGACATGCCTAAGAAATTTTATGTGCAAAAACTGAAGGTCATGGAAATTTTTAATTCCCCTGCTTTTAAATTTTCATGTTTAAACTATTCTTCTAGGGCTTAAGTGGTTAAACCAGAAATTAGCTGGTACATAAACATCTAAATCCTTCAGTGGATTTAAATCTTAATCTGGGATCCATACAAAGAGGTCATTCTTCTCAGTGGAAAAATTACATACTCATGATAATAAAACTACTTCCAGTAGAGACTGAAATTGTATCAGCTGGGTCAATTTTTATTCTGAAGATACAACAATTGCTGAATGATTCAGTGTTCTGTTTGATGTGAAGTAACATTGCCATTTTATTTAAACCGGAATTCTTATTTCCCCTGGGTTTTTTAGAGTCCTGAGAAGCGTCCCAAGGTGTATAACAAAGCCAGTTCATACAAAGGGGAAATAACATCCACGCACATAGAACCTTGTCACATCAGTCCACAAACAAGTAAGCAAACAAGTGCAGTTAGCTTTATTATTACGTTTCACTGTGTTTTAAAGGATATAAAATAAGTGCTGGTAAATAATTTTAATCTACTCTCAAGTTGTCAGGTCAATAGCATGCTTGCAGTTTGTGCCAAAACCTGTGTTCAGAAAGAAGCTACAGTTTGGTTTATGACATTTGAACTGGACTAACTTCAGAATGAATCATCTAAGTTATTCAGGAAAGGTTAGGGTTTTACAGATTGTTACCATTTATTATGGATTGTTATTGTTTATTATTTGAAAATGCAGTGAACTTTGTGAATGCCTTCTAGACTGCATTTTTAACTAGGATTTTAAGCTGCTTGTATTTTGTGACTGCTCAAGTAGATAAATTACTTTGACAGAACTTAAGTCACAGGCCAGCATGTGCTCTAGTTTTATTGTCCTGGATTTCCTTTTTTTTTCCCTACAGAAACATCTCTGTTGAAGAATGCAACACTAATTGAATCAGCAGCCGCTTGTATTTCCAAGCCAGTGGAGAAAATTCTGTTAGCTAAAATTGAAGTTATAACTGGAGAAGAAGCAGAACACAATGTATTACAGGTGTGTATTTCATAAAGACTAGATGGTGAGCAGTTTTATTGTTGAAAAGAACATTGAGATCCATTACAGATTGCAGCAAGCTGTAAATAACTTCAGTTTATATTTTGAATTTTCACTTTTTAAAGATATGCCTCTGCTAACCAATTATTCTGTAAGTTGATGTTTTCTTTTTCGAATCATATCTGTTCATTTTGTAGTCCTTTTCAGTAAGTGACTGCTTCAGGATTTCATTCTGCGGTTGCATTTTATAAGCAACTGTACAGCAGTAACCAAACCATCAAAATTTAAAACAATATGGGTAAAGACTTTTTTATCACCAGCAATGTGCTGTTAGAGTATCCTGGTTTAACCATGACACAAAGTAATTAGTTTTATCATTCATCTAAAATATTAGTTATTTTTCTGGCCCAGCAAGACACACCTTACTACTCTTCACCTTAAAAATGTAATGTTCTTATGAAATAGCAATGACATATAATTTTTAAAATCTCAACATTGAACATTATTTTATCATAGAATCATAGAATGGTTTGGGTTGGAAAGGACCTTAAGATCATCTAGTTCCCCCCCTGCCATGGGCAGAGAAATTTTATCATTGACTAAATCTTCTGTCTTGTCAGAACATGGAAGTTTTACTCTCTTCCTAGTAGTATTCTCTTAGTAGTGGTACTGGTATCCTGGTCTGTATAATGTTTCTGATAGGTGGGGGAATAAGATTGTAGAACATTTGCAACAAATTCAGCTGTTAGTGGGTATTACAGATGAACAGTTAAGACAGATGAAATAATCGAAAAGGTAAACTGGGATTCATGCTGAATGTTTTTCATGACTAGCAGAATGTTTAGCACAGATCTGGGAGCCCATTTCATTTTAAGTAATTGTGGTGATCTACCTGTTTCTGTCTTTGTATGCATGCATATGGACATGTTAAAAGCTGTATCAAAAGGTTTAAAAATATGAAGTTTTAGAACCAATAAAAATAACATTGGCTGGCAATTTTCATCATGCATTTCTTTTTCAGATCAACTGCAAGCTCTTTAAATTTAATAAGCTTTCTTTAACTTGGATTGAAAGAGGCAGAGGCTCCCTGAGGCTTAATGACACTTCTAGCAATAAACATGGAATGCTGCAGTCAAGGCTAAGTAAGAATTAAATACCAAAATTACATGTACACACAAAACACTAAATAACTTGTACTGTTGCTAGCCAGAATAAGTTTATTTCAGAATATTAACACTGAGTAGCTAGCTTTAAGTCAAGTTGCTGAGAATCTTTTTAACATTGCCTGATAGAAGTTAGCTGTATTACAGACTGAGGCATTGGGGATTTCTCACTCAGATTGTACACTCATGCTTACATATGTTGTTAGCTTCTGTGTATTTTTACTGCAGTGTATCATTAGCTCAGTCACCAGCCTGACAGTTTGCTCTTTGTTGATTCTGCTTTTGCAGGAGCAGTGTTTCAAGTCACTTCTGGAATGTTGTTTTTACTGTGCTGTCAATTTTTTTGTACTGTATTGCACAGTTTCAGCAGATTATTTGCTTTGTATGTATTGAAAGAAGCTAATGTCTTTGGGTATTTAAAAATAATTAAAAAAAAAATCACCATGTCAGGTTTTAGACCAAATTAAAAATACTTATTTGTGAAAATATTAGTTGTATACAAGCGCTAGAGAAAACTGCTGCAGTAAAAATGGAGATGGCTCCAATGACTTATCATATAAACCTTTTATTTTAGTTATGCGAAATCAAGGCAGTTTGAAACTTATTCTCAACACCCGACTCTGGGAGCAAATGGTTATAAAAAGAGCAAACAGAAAGAGCCTGTGCTTCACTGCAACAGCCCAAGAGGACCACTCTGTTCAAGTATTTCTAATTCAGGTAAGCAAGAGATAAAAATGCCACACAAATACACATTTCTTTTAGGATTCTGAAGACCCATCTGAGGCTTTGGTTTTAGCAAATGGCCTTCTGTGCTTTGTTGTGCTGTGCTTAGCTTAGCTGTTACATAGCTTTTATTATGAAATGAGCTATCCCCTGGTATTAAAAAAAAAAAAAGGTGTGAAGATGGGATATGGCCTTAGGACAGACATTTCCAGACTGTGATTCACATACCACTAATGGAATGGATATCAATACCCAACTTGATGATGCTTATCTGCTCAGCAATAGCAGCAGAATTCATGGCATCTTTAAATTTTATAATCACAAATAATTTTCTTTGTAGTTAGGTTTTAAAATTCTTATTTATTCTGCAAAACAAAATGCAAATTTATTCTTACTTCTAGAAACATATTCAGGAAATGGAGCCATTCTTCAGGGGAAATAATAGAGAAAATAACCAACAGCTACATGTTACAAAACACAACCACGTAAAGTTGACATTATTTGTATTTGATTTTATTTTCTTAAGTGTGAATCTTAAATGGATTGTTTTGATTTAAAAGGACAAAATACAGCTCTTTCATTACTTTTGAAAATTTCTCAGTCAGCTTCTCTGTGAAAAATGAGATTTTTTTAGTTGGTTTGGACTGTGTGCATTTTATGTTCTGCAGGCAAGCTCAAAAGACATTGGATACCTGTATGCAGCAATTCATCACCGCCTTGTGGCACTGCGAAGCTTTGCTGAGCAAGAGCCAGATGCTTATCAAATAGACACAGAGTCAGAAATTGCCTTCCAGCCATTTAGCAGTGATGACGAAGATGATGAAAAATTAACTCAAGTGAGCAGCAGTGGATCTGGTAAGCAGAATTTTTCCCAGGAACACTGTAATCCTTCCACAATATTTTCTTGCGAGCAGTGAAAATTGGTTTGGTTTGGTTTTTTTTTCATGCTGAATGTAACTTTCATCTGTTACAGATACCCCTTTTCAGGTAGAACAGGGTAATTCCTTTTGGTATTTTGACTTACTACTGTTAAAATGCAAGGCTTTGCCAGATCATTTATCCACACATCTTTACAGCAGTGCAATACTCTTGAGAAAATGATGAGGGTTAAGGAATTTCAGTATTGTCAAGCTTTACTTAAAAGTATTCTAGAGGATTCTTCAATATATTTCAGTAGAAATTACTAGAGGTACTGAGATATTGATTGTTCCTTGAGTAAGTGAAAGCTGAGAACATTCACAACATCACCAATGGCTTGAAGCATAACAAGTTTATTAAGGTATTTATTATTAAGGTCCAACCCTAACTATTCTGTGATTCTATTATTCTATTATGCAATGGTTAACTTAATTTAAAACACAGATTCTTAATCAGCTGGAACAACTACCTCACTAGGAAGTTTGCAGGTCAAGATTTATACAACAGTTTTGTAAGCTTTCTTCAACATAATACAAATGTAGGCTCCTCAAGTGGAAAATTGGGACGAAAACAAGATAAAAGGGGCAAGCTGCTGACTTCATCCTTCTCTAGAAGCTGTTAATACAGCTCACAACAAGGCTTGGGGCACATTTGCAGGAAGCAAGGCAGAAACAGCTGTCAGACTTAAAAACTCTTCTGTCTTAACAAAGGACATTCCTGGGGCAGATTGACTTGCTTGTGCCAAACTGCCACAGTGAATACAGGAGCTGCCTATTATGATTGATTTTGTAATAGAAGGACTACAGCAGGCATGTTTTGAGTTGTTGCTCATAGCATTTGTTTCCCTCTGCAACTGAGAAACATACTGTCCTAGTATCATAAATCCTTCCTTTTAACAACTATTCAACGAGAATCAAGTCATGTACGAGTAATAGCTACAAGTAACTCTTTCCTTAATTAAACAAGGGATTTATTTTTCCTCCATAAGCAAGTAGGTTGCAGTTTACAGTACTTGTTCTCATTATTAATTGTTGTTTAGCTCCATTTCAGTAGCATCCACTGCTCTAAACAAAGCAAAATGGTCTTATACAGCATTTTCTCACAAACACCTTTTTCCTGTTTAGGAAATGAGAAAATTGCTAGTGCTGAGAACTCACTGGATTGCTCCCAGAAAATCAAACATTACCTTTGTAATTCCTAAAGAGTGTCTGCTGACTTTACAAAGAGTTTCCGGTAACTTGAAAACTGAATAGACCTTGATACCTTTCCAGAACTAGAGATGATAACAAATTTTGGGGGATTTTAGGGAGGGAAAAAAAAAATTGGGGAAAAGGGGAAAGGTGATTTCAAAGCAGTGTAGGAGCACATATCTGCAAGTTAAAATATTTATTTTGATTTACAGAGACTCTGATACAAATATTCAGATGGCAGCGAGCAAACAGATTCTGAGATAGGAGTGTCAGGTGCTGTTTGATCTTAACCTTTTAATTTGAGCATCTGTCCTTCATTTATGTCCATTACTGACAGCAGTTGTGGCAATCTCTTTCAAGTGTGTTTTCGATGACTTCTAACATTTCCTGCTTATCTTAATCTTGTCGGTTATTCTCAGAGCCAGAAGGTTGTAATTTTACATACATTTCAGTTACTCGTATCCAGCTCCCACCCGCGGACATTAACATCTTACACATGCTTGTCCCTCGAGCTCCAATTTCCAAAACAGGAAGGAAAATAAACCCAAGGTTTATTTACACAGGTTTTGAACATGGTGAGGTCAATTCTAAATACCAGCACAGAAACATCCCCTTGGATGCAAGAGATCAAATACTGTTTCATTTTCATGCTTCCATTTTTATTGAAGGATGTGTCTGAATAAGTCATCTTCTTTTTATCAATGTAACTCAGTTTCAGAGATTACCTCTCCTTAACACCACATAGATGCTAAGAAGTGTAAATTCTCAGTGACTTACACTTGTATCATTACAAGAAATACAAGATAGTATGTCTGCATTTCCTTTCATCCCATTCTGTTTTGTCTTAAAAAAAAACCAAACCGCTCTTTCTTGTCTTAATATCAGGAATTTCCTTCTTGTTAAACTGAGCTAACACAATCATAGAATCATAGAATAGTTAGGATTGGAAAGGACCTTAGGATCATCTAGTTCCAACCCCCCTGCCATGGGTAGGGACACCTCCCACTAAACCATGTCAGCCAAGGCTCTGTCCAAACTGGCCTTGAACACTGCCAGGGATGGAGCATTCACAGATTCCCTGAGCAGCCCATAACAGTGCTTCACCACCCTCACAGTAAAGAACTTCTTCCTTATATCCAATCTAAACTTCCCCTGTTTAAGTTTTAACCCATTACCCCTTTTCCTATCACTACAGTCCCTAATGAAGAGTCTGTCTCCAGCATCCTTGTAGGTCCCCTTCAGATACTGGAAGGCTGCTATGAGGTCTCCACGCAGCCTTCTCTTCTCCAGGCTGAACAGCCCCAACTTTCTCAGCCTGTCTTCATGCAGGAGGTGCTCCAGTCCCCTGGTCATCCTCATGGCCCTCCTCTGGACTTGTTCCAACAGTTCCATGTCCTTTTTATGTTGAGGACACCAGAACTGCACACAATACTCCAAGTGAGGTCTCACGAGAGCAGAGTAGAAGGGCAGGATCACCTCCTTCGACCTGCTGGTCACGCTTCTTTTGATGCAGCCCAGGATATGTTTGGCTTTCTGGGCTGCGAGCACATACTGAAGCTGGCTCATGTTCATTTTCTCATTGACCAACACCCCCAAGTCCTTCTCTGCAGGGCTGCTCTGAATCTCTTCTCTGCCCAACCTGTAGCTGTGTTTGGGATTGCCCCGACCAGGGTATAGGACCTTGCACTTGGTATGGTTAAACTTCACATGGTTGGCATCAGCCCACCTCGCAAGTGTGTCAAGGTCCCTCTGGATGGCATTCCTTCCCTTCAGCGTATCAACCAAACCACACAGCTTGGTGTCATCGGCAAACTTGCTGAGGGCGCGCTCAATCCCACTGTCCGTGTCACTAACAAAGACGTTGAACAAGACCGGTCCCAACACCGATCCCTGAGGGACACCACTCATTACTGGTCTCCAGCCAGACACTCCAGTCATAGGAGCCATCCCACCATGTTTCTGTGATACCTGTTGTATGATATCCCCATAGATGTGCACACATCTCTAATTCCTCAGTTGTTACCCATACTATGGGCGTTTGTATAGAGGCATCTGCGCTGAGCTCTAAAGCCGGCTCACTGGCTGGAGCAGCTGAAATATCTCTACATCGCTCAGAGCATTTATTATAGGTGCTGGCAACTGACTGCATTTGTTGGGATAGAATGATGACCCCCTCCCCCAACACATCTAGATTAAAGCTTTCTTGACCAGCCTGGCAAGCCTTCTACCAAAACTGCTGTTTCATTAAGACCAGCTCCACCAGCCTCCAGTAGAGCTGTCCTCCCAAATCGAGTTCCCTAGATTATGCTATGCATTTCATAGCAGTGTAACAGACATGAAAAATTAGGTAAGAATTACCTTTTGTGCTAGAGGCTGAAGAAAAAAGCAAATATGGTATACATAATAAGTGAAGCATTACAAACATTAAAGAGATCCTATATGTTTGCAAGACATTTCTGTAAGATTTTTTTACATAGAATTCTTCACTATAGCATCCACAGGATGTTAGTCCTGTATTTGGACAGTATACAAGGTGGTATAGATACTTCTGCCTTTTTACAAATTCGCTATAGATATTTATTCCCTTAAATTTTTAATTGAATTGCTTTACTTTGAGGTAGATTATTAATTTCACAAAGTCCATAGAGAATAAGTTGCTGTACCTGGTATTTTTATGAGATCATATTTCACCAGTTACAGCTTGGGTATTTTCACCCACAAATGGCTCTGTAAACCTGAGTGGAGAGATATAGAACAGTTCATCTTCAAAGAGATTTTGAGAGTGGGTGGGATGCATAACTCTCTGTGAAGTTGTCCTGGGTTCAGAAGTAACAGTTATTTTTCTCCTTAGTAGGAGGATGTATTTATCTTTTCCCACTGACTACAGAGTGATCTAAGGAGATTAATCCAGACTTGACAGCAAACTTCTGGGCTGACCAAAGTCAAACAAATCTCTTTTTCATCTTTTCATTGCTAGTTCATTTCTCTAAGTATTGTAATATATTTGCCTGCAGTTATCTTTGTAGTATCTAGCTGAAGACAGATCAGCAGAATTCTTTATTATGCATATGAAAATTTTTCTCACTAAATACTTTAACAAAAAAACCCAATGAAAAATGCTGATATGACAGCATGTCAATGATGGGATCAAGAGTGCTCCTTTCTGAGGGAAATGTCACTGGCCTCAGCTGCATGACTCCCCTTTCATTTTTCTTTCCTTGGACTTGCAGGCTTTACATTCTTTGCTGTGTGGTAGATCTGCTTCAACATACAGAACAAAGAATTACACTTAGCCAGGCTTATAGAATAGCTAATTAAAGAAGCATGGTCTTCTGGTAGGCAGTAAGCTGTACCTGACCCCTGTGGATGAAGAGGACCTAGCACCCTATGGGTCTGTGTCTGGGCATGTTCTGAAATGACTAACATGTCAAACTACTGCCTGTACCTCCTCCTGCTTTGCTAATAGACCTGAACCATTGATTTGGGCTTTCCTATATGTTGGCAGACCTGTGTCAGGTATCTGTGCAGACACAAGTTCTGACTCCTGTTTTTTAAGCACCTTGACTACAGCCAGTTACAAATTCAGCACATGGGAGTACTGAGTTGCACTGCTAATAAGCGTAACTTCCACATGCAGTTATTGGATATGAAGTTCTTTAACGCAGACACTGTATAGGGTTCCCACCTCTTCCCACTGGCAGCACAAATACCTATGCCAGCCTCAAAAAATCATCCTACCAGAACATGGATCTAGAGCCCTAATGCCTAAGCTTGCCATTGGTAGCAGCTGATCAGAAGTCACTACATAGACCCGTAAGTGACTAAGATGTCTCTGAAAATGTTACTCCTTGCTTCTGACACTTCTGAGAGATCTTCCATGTTTTGTTCATAGCCATAAGGAGATTCTGTCCATGCTCCAAAGGAATGCATTTTACTGACATTTAGAGATCAGTCCACCATGGTGATCAGAAATAGTAGAAAGTGTTTGAAGTGCTGTAACCCTGTTAGCATTTAGAAAGAACTGTTACTCCTTCAGAGACACAAGGCGTTTCTTTCACAGGGGGTACGAAATGCCAGTCATAGTAGAATAGCATGGGGCTGTAAGTAGTATGGTCCCCTCTCCTGATTTTGCATGAATTTGTTCGTTTGTATCCCTGAGGGGAAACAGAAGCTGGAAAAGCACATGTGAGAAGCAAGGGTGACAGTGTCACCAGGCAAAGAAATGTTTTATGCATTATTCCTTACACTGCACCTCATCAATGACTTTCTTAAATCCTCTCCTAACTTCATCCTGATTGAGGGATCTTCTCTTGTGATTGTGACGTCCTCTGTTTCTTGACACGGAATTTTCTTTCAGAAGCTATCAGGGTGAATTCAAAGATGCTGCGGTCTAGAATTTAAGTCCCAAGAGGTGTCTCCATACGTAGCCACAGACCTAGAGAGAAAACAAAACTGTGCCAAGACATAACGCGTCCCATATGGGGCTACCAAGAATTGCATGAATTTTGGACACTACAGGTCTTGAGAACCAGACAGTGTATCAGAGAAGTGCAACTTCTGTTTTGTTGTAGAGACCTCTTCTAATCCACTATAGGTGTACCTCCTGTGTTGGCCTCATTAGGGCTTTCATCTGTTGGTGTATACCAAGATTTAAAATGTTACAAGAGTTTTTTTTAAGTAAAAAACTTTTAAAGTTCTTGAAGGAACTACTGTTCAGCAACACCACAGGAATTCCTGAAAAGCTGCTATTTTTGTTTGATGTTTCTCATTAATTAAATTCTTCTCAACCATTAAGGATTCCACTTTATTAATTCTAACACACACCTGATAGGGATTAAAACTGGGGAAAACTTAAGAATTTGATTCTTTGTGGGACTCCAAGTTTCTGTATGCTTTCCAGCAGATACCAGTAACTTCTAAAGCAGAGAAGAAAAGAACTCTCTGAGTGGCTTTAAATGCTGCTATATCAGAAAAGAGACAGGGGGAAATCAAATCTAATATTCTGACAACTGCAAGGTCTTTCATTTCACCTGCTAGAGGTTTAAAACCATTAGTAAGTATTTAGTGGTGGCCAGATGGTAGCAGCAATTTTTAAACAGATACTGTGTTAGTCTGTTTTGTATCAGGCATTAGTCAGCTATATCTGCTTTCTGCAGATGAGTCAAATCATAGAGATTACACACAAAGCCACCCCTGCATAATTTATCATGACCAGTGAGTTGTTTGAAGATAGGTAGTATTTCTCACAGTTTACTGAGCATCTATTACCAAGTGTTCAGACAGCGTTCCCCTTGTAAAGTGAGACTGTTTGCATCCCAGACACATTGTCTGACCTAGACATTTGAATCCTTAGACTTTATGTGCTTGTCTTTATTGACATGGGGGGTCACAGGATTCATCACTATTTGCATGCTCAAATATTTGTGAATAATCCTGTGTTATCTAGTTAGATATTTACCTAAACCAGGAACTGATCATATCCAAACTTTAACCTTCTGCTTCAGTATTATGAAATTCCAGATTGTTTCAACACGAGTAGGCTCAAATAAGCAATATTGTTTAAAACTCTTTTTCAGATCATACTAGATGGAACCACAGGCAGTCAGTAGCCTGCTCATGACACCTACCAGAATTTACAACAGCATAGTTGAGAACTCATCTTCCCAAATTGTCTAAACTGACTCACTGAGGATGGAATCAGGTCCTGAAGGAATGAAAACAAATGCATTTTGCTTATGACTTTTAATCAGAGATTAATATTAGGGACACCTTAAGTTTAATACATTGAGAAAGAACTTGAGATGCACTTTTGGGGATTCTAATAAGCTGGCTTTGCACTGAAATGCGAATGACAGAACGGTATTGAAGAAGTGTTACAAAGGCTTCAGATTTTAGAATTAAATATATTTAGATGCATTATTAAACTAAGGAATTACATAGAGAATAAAAGATTTATTCATCATATTGATGGATAAAACCACATAACCATAAACTAATAATACATGTGAAGAGATTTTCATCTTTATTTAAGGGATACAGTTTAAGACCTTTAAACTGGGCTTCTCTGCAGACATGTATTAAAAACTGAGTGGCAGTGTTCAGCATCCTGCCTATGGTACATGAAGTAGAACTGTGAGTGGCAGTTTAGCATGGCCAAGGTCTACAGAAACCAGGTCTATAGAAATTAGGGATTTTTGTCAGTTTGTTTTGAAAATATCTGGAGTTGTAGGGTGTTCTTACAGGGTAGAGAACCATGGTTTGCCTTTACAGCAGTAAACACCAAGAGAATTCACCACAAAGAACTGCAATCAGGGTCTAGGGGGTGTATGAGCTTTAAAAACTATAAAAGTGTATCTGCCTTTGCTCATGAACACCTTTTCAGTTGCACTGAAAAGCAGTTGCACTGTTAATTGTCCTTTTGATACTCACAAATAAATGCATGCACAGTATAGCTGGGTATCTGCATAACATTTTTTCTTAAACATGTGAGACTACCTGAGATTACTTCTGCCTTAGTGATAGCTATCCCTAAACAGTGTCATTCCTTGAAATACATGAATGTTATACATCCTGATGTGTGCAATAATCCAAACAGTGCCAAAGACCTGCTCACTCTGTGAAAGGGATTGCACAAATTACTGCCTAACCATTCTCATGAGGAATTAGGAAAATTTTCTCGAATGCCACCTGTGAATTAAGACTTTCCAGATCATTCATAAGCCTGTGCACAGTACAGATGCACACACCATTTATGCTGTGTTGTCTATTCATTGTCAAAACATAAAGAAAACATGTCTGTAATAATTCTGCTGCCATTCTGTGCTGTCTTGTGTGCTGTTGGTTATCAAATATTATTTGTCATCCTCAGAGATGAAACAATGTTCTGAAATATCTGAAGGCCTATTTATTAAGGTAATTGTAACAATTTCTCATTCTTAAAAGCTGTATCACACCTGAAGAGTCAAATTACAATCTAGTTCTCCCATCTGAACATATGTATGAAGCTGGGAGACTAACAGCTTCTTCACAATTTCTCCATGCCCTGTCAAGATGAGCGTCCAAATGAAGCTGAACTAGCATCTAGATTACACTGAATCCTAAACAGCCTGCTGAAACTAGCACTTGTCTGACAGTGATTTAGCATCTGGATGACAGTAAAGTGAAGTGAGACTGGAATTTTGCCTTTAGGAAAAGAGAAGTGCTTCATAATAGAGGACCTGTGTCAGACAGCAAAGCACTGGGATTCCCTTTGACTCTTCAGTTTGCCAATAACAAAAATGTTCTTTCTGTAACTAGCTGTACAGTGTGTCTCTTCTCACCCCAACAGTATTTGCATTGTTGATCTTCATATTTAATTGCTGCAACTCAGGAACAAAGCTCCACGTTATAAAAATGTCAGCAGTTGTAAAAGCACAGCAGCCATATGTATTTAGCAACAGGTCATGGTGATAACTTTGCCCTAGAGTTCAGCTGGCTATGCACGGAATGCAGACTTTGATTTCAAAGTCTGTTCTGATAATCAAAGCCTTCAGTGAAACAGGATTTAAGCACCTGAGTGTCATGATACTCCTCTAAATTCTACTACAGCTGTAAAATCTTTGGGAAACGGAGTGCTCCAGGGCAGGCACAACAGAACTTTTGCAGACACAGGACTTAAACTTTGTCACTTGCTCTTACAGCATAAGGAACAAGGCTTATGATTGTTCACAATAAACTATTCCGATCTGCCTCTTCCCCGTGTTGTTACATATGCACAAGTATACAAACACACACACGCATGTGGACATACACATTCTCTAACATGAAGCTATGTCTCCTAAAGCTGAGGAGAAAAAGAGATATTTATTTTAAAGAGTTTGAATACTGTGATAATGGAGGACATACAAACATACAGACGTGTTTCTTATATGAATTTTTACTCTTGAGAGCCTAATTATTTATTCTATTTAGTCTCATTGCACTAAAATTCATTGTTTCTCAAGGCAGAAGGTATGCTAATATGTGATACATTAACTCAGTTTTGAAAATGTAAAGTTTGTCATTTTTGGACAGCTGGAGCAACAATTTCTACGCCTGAACAATAAACAATTTTCTTACAGATAGCTCTGTTATTTTGTGTCTGTTAGAGCTTTCCACAGACGGTTCCTTCCATGCTGCAGAATTTCAAGCCTGCTTTCCTAGGGAAATGAGATTTAAACCACTGTGTACCTCATCCACCAGTGTGTCAGACCCACTTCCAGCCCACTGTTCAGTTTCGGAAAAATCAGATGGGAGGTAGAAAGCTCAGATACAACTGAAGTTCTTCAAGGAAAATGGCACTTACTGAGTGACAGAACTCAGGGGAAGGTATCCTTTGAGGAAAAAGCTTCTGGGTAAGCTTGGTTTGAGCTTGGTATTTCCTGTTAGGCTTGTGGGGCCGAGTGGCTCATTCCTGTTTCTGAGCAAGCTGCAGCATTTTCTGAGAGGGAGGAGAAAGAAATAGAGGGACGTACAACTGAGATTACTATTGCTGTGGCCTGTAGAGGGTTGTATGGATATGACCCAAATCCACATGAAACTAGATGTCACACATTTTGCTGCTTGTGGAGCAACACGTTCTTCTATATTCTTTTCGGATGAATGTTATTTATTTATTTATTATTACTTATTTCTAACAAATCCCAGTGATTAATTTATATACATAATGGACTGAAAGCTCTTCTGTATTAGTGCAGTAATAACTTCCAAAAGCAGGGAAAACTAACAATTCCCAATATAAGGACACATTTGCAGATATTTGACACTAAGATTGTGAGTTTCTATCAAAGTCTACATGGATGGGATAGTTTAAATGGTTTCTTTTCATTATGGAGGTAGTTGTATCTCTTTCTAAATCTTGTCACTCAGGTATTTATGTTACGATCTTTAGTGACTTCTGAATTAGTTTTTGCAAAGTGAAAAGTTGAGAGTTTAGTAATGTCTCTAGCGAATGAATGAGTACACAAAAAGCCTTCAGCACATGTGATACAGCTTTCAGAGCTACTGACAGCTTGTCCAACTTGGACAGGGAGGGAAAGAGCATCCTCTTGTCGCTAGCTGGGTTTTAGAGAACCAACTGCTGGGGCATGCTGGCAGGAAAATACAGAAGAACCATACATAGTCTGTTGCACAGCAGTTGCCTAAAAAGTGGAGTTCAGATACCAGACCTGTCTTGCACAAACACTTTACAAAACAATGTTTCTGCAGCTGTTTGAGCATATTCAAATTGATTCTGAAATGGTGAAGTCAGTCATGTTAAGTCTGCATCAGGGATGGTGTAATTTGCTTTGCATTAGCAAGGAGTGGAAAGAAAAGAAGAAAAGTAAATTTCTGAAATTAAAATGTGTGTTATGAAAGTGTGGACAAGAAAACTTGCCCCACTCATTGGTTCTGTCTGAAAAAAACCCTCAATAATTTGCATTCATAAGTGTATTTTTATTTAATTTTCCTTTTTTTTTTCTGAAGCATTCTCTTCATGCTTAAATTCCTCTATTACAGAATTTATGAAGCAAATGACCCAACTGTATAATCAGATGAGGGACGTAAGTTGCAAACAAAATGCAAGCACATACGAACAGAATCCGGGATCAGAAAATCAGTCAGAATACATCAGCTAATGTGTTAATCCACCTATAAGAGTCTGACGTGTCACACAAGTGACGTGTTCTCTAAGCGTTAGTCTGGAGTTCTCTTATGAATAGTCAGAATTAACAGATGTTCAGCTGGACTCAAAATCTGAGGACTCAGTGAAAGGTTACAGTAATGGTCTGTTTACCTCCTCTTCTGTGAACGCAGCTAACACTGGCAGCATTATCATTTTCAACACAAGGACAGAACTATCATTTTCAGGTACCAGTAGTACTTAGGGGCATATAAAGGAAGTTTAGGGAATGCCAGTGGTTGGATTAGTTAATTATATTAACTGGTTATTAATTAAATGATCATAGAAAGGCATTACAGACTTCAATAAGGAGTAGAAATGAACACTTAGATTGTAAGTGCACTGGGAGCAATATATACATTCTTTGTGATGAAAGAGGGCTACATTTGGTACAGTTGTACATTGCCAGTTCTGCAGCTAGTATAATAATTTAGGAATAATTTAGCATAACATGGAAATTTCTGCAGTTACATTGTTTTGTAACACAGATTATTAGAATCATAGAATAGTTAGGGTTGGAAAGGACCTTAAGATCGTCAAGTTCCAACCCCCTGCCATGGGCAGGGACACCTCGCTCTAAACCAGACTACCCAATTTTACATTTATTTCACAGTTTTTTTGTTGTTTTTTTTTTAAAGTCCACTATATAACTGGAAGAATGTAGAGCTAAAAATGTCCATTTTTCTATGGATTTATGTGTTGAAATTTACCTCATGTATTCTGACTCTGGTGTCTAAAATGGGCATTTTCCTTACCGAAGGCAATACTGAGGTGTCTGTTTCCATGAGAAATTTTGAAGTATTCCAGGTCCAAAATAAAGTTGGCTGTTGTCAGCCAAGGGTTTAAAAAGTTATTACAGTGGGAATTCACCCCTGCTCAGCACTTATATGCTAGAAGAGTACCAGAGTAAAATGCCTGTGCTTATTAATTTAATTCTATATTAACAAATCTGCCTGTTAAATCACTTGTGTATGTTGCTCTGAAGTCACTGAAGATGGGGCATGAAGCATGTCATATGTCACAAACTGTGAACATGTCTCAAAATAAGTCGAATGTCATCTGACAAGTAACATGTGTCTTGTTCCTGTGTACATGTTCAAAGCAAAAGGTACAGTAAGGGAGAACTTAATTAGTGTCTATCAAACATTTTGTAAGTAGATTCATTTACAAAGTAAGATATCTGAGAACCCCAGATGAATCACTTCACACTCCATGCCTCAGGTCTGCTTCTAGCGTATTAGAATGTCATTTACTGTTTTGAATTTACATTTTAGAATATATATTTAATATGTTATGCTTATAATGCTTGCTGTGGTCATTAATTCAGAAGATCTTGCATAGCCTCAGAGTAGAACACTGCTCCACATTCAAGCTTGCCTTAGTGGTTGATGCTGATTTGTTATTCAAAGAAGGATTAAACCAGTTCAAAGAGGTAATACATGAAGCACAGAATACTAGAGTAGCAGATATAAGGTCAAATAAGCTATAAAACATTCATAACAGCTGTAAATTTTCAAAACCTCTTACATCCTTTTAATTTCCAGGAACTTGTATTACCTACTGCTTTGTGCAATCCAAAAGTTAATTGTTATACAGAATGAGGCATTTTCTGATTAGCAAGGGAATTAGTTCTGTTTAATTACTCCTCTGGTAATCTGGTTTATGGTGGTTTCCTTCAAGGCTGAGCTAATCAGTAGATAGAAAATCCTCCTACCCGTCAGTGAAGACCAGATGGAATTCTTATACAAGAGTAGGGAAGGGCTGGAAGGCTTTAACTACTCTCATTTCCTAAGACTCTCTTAGGAAAGCACTGTAGAAGGGTGCTGCACTGACAGGTAAAAGCTGCTGCTCCAGTCCCTCCCACCCGAGACAGGCTGTGACTTCCCAAAGGGAAAGCACAGGCACAGGGTGAGTAAAGAGACAAAGCTGTAAACAGGCTTTCAGTGCAACAGTGCTGTTTGTGGAAGCCAGTACCTGAGAAGGCAGTTATTACTAATGATGTAACACCCCCACATTAAAAAAGTAATTAGATCGATTATTTGGTGGGTTTTTTACCTGCGCTTGCCAAACACACTCACATGGTCTCACAGTGCTGCTGCACAGGTCTCTTCCAGAACTGCTTTGGTAAGGTTTCTTTTACTGTGCGTCCTCAGACATTGCCATAAATACAGTAAGGCCAGAGTAGTCACAAATAAGAGATGAGCTTCTCAAACTACATTTCTCGTAGTACTTAGTAATTTTAAAACACAAAACCTGTTGTGTTTTTCTAATTTTCAAAGGCCTTTTCCTCAGACTGTTGCTCACAACTACCTGAAAGGAGATTGTAGTGAGGTGAGGGTCAGTCTCTTCTCCAGGTAACCTGATAGGACACGGGGTAATGGCCTCAAGCTGCACCAGGGGAGGCTTAGATTGGATATTAGAAATGCAAAGGCATTGCAACAGGCTGCCCAAGGCAGTGGTGGAGTCACCATCCCTGAAGTATTTAAAAACCATGTAGATGAGGTCCTCAGTGACAGGGTACAGGGTTTAGTGGTGGGTTTGGCAGTGCTCAGACAAAGGTTGGCCTTTTCCAACCTGTGATTTGAAACAAGTTCTGCTATTTAGACCAGTTTAAGCCAACTTCCCAGTGAGACACCATATCGAGGCTCACCTCAGTACACTCCCCTTGTCCTCATCAGCTAGAACACAGGACAGCATCTGCCTTCAACGTGCACACTGCCAGCGTACCAGAAAACCGAGTGCACGGCGGGGCGCTGGCGGCATCACCCTGTGTCGATGGAGCCAAGGCACTGCCTCGGGAGACCCGGCCCCTCAGTTAAGTCCGGTGGCGCCAGACGTGAAAGCCGCACACCGGCCTACGTGCCCTACGCCCCGTCCCGCCCGCCGGACGCCGAGAAAGAGGAGGAGGGGCAGCTGGGGGAGAAGGAAGGGGCTAGGGAGGGCTACCAGCAGCGCGTCCAGCGCATGCGCAGTTCTGAGTGCCGGGGGAGGGCGGCAAGCGGGGGAGCCTTAGCCAAGCGCTGTGCCCGCCCCCCTGCCTCCAGCCGGCGCGGTTCGCGGAGAAGCGCGCATGGGCTCCCGGCGCCCCGCCACTCCCGCCCCGCCCCGGTGGGGGGGTGGCGGGTGTTCTGGCGGCGCTCTTCGCTATTGGTGGAGGCGGCGCCTGCGCACTGGGGGGGGCGGGGCCGCGCGGTGCGGCCGTGCCATGTGTGCTGAGCGCTGCCCGGGCGCGGAAGCCGCCTCAGAACGGGGCAGCTGGCGCCGGGCAGCGCTGCGCCCTACCGGGCGGGCGGTGAACCGGGACCATGTCCTCCGCGCGGCGCTTCTTCTGCGGCTATTTCTGCCTCGCCAGCCGCGCAGCCGCTCGCCGGTCTCTGCTACTCTGCCAGCGGGCGGCGGGGCTGTCCTCCGCCCTCCTGGGGCTGTCGCTGCTCGGCGGCACTCGCCGCCGCCTCCTCGCCCTCCGCGGGCTGAGTCCCGCCAGCGGCTCCGCGGCAACAGGGCAGGGGGTGGCGTCGGGCGGCGGGTTCCGTCCGTCGCGGGTGGCGGTGGTGGTGAAAACGACGCGGTACGAGTTCGAGCAGCAGCGGTACCGTTACGCTGGGCTCTCCGAGGAGGACCTCAAGCAGCTGGTGAGCAGCGGAAGGGGGCGGCGGTCCCGGTCTGCCCTGGCGCTGCCGCTGGCGGGGCCCCCGCTACGGAGCGGCCCGCCGCTGGGCCGGGATGTCCCGAGCGGGCCTGGGGCCTCCCCTGGCCTTGTTTGGTGAGATGGGGCGCGGCAGGGCGGTGGTGTCGGTCCTGCCTCCTCCCCAGGCCCCAGAGCCCGACCTGAGCTGGCGCGGAGAGCGGTGCAAGCGGCGCCGCTTAACTGCCCTTCGTTCATCTGTTGCAAGCTGTCGGGGGATTTATGTAGTAAGTGTGTTTGGGTTTTATCCTCGGAGTGATACCAGCAGCCTTCAGAAGGCTCCAGGCGTTTCTTTCTAATATTTTAGAGACGTGCATTCTGAGGAAAGCCCCGTGTTGTGAAAATCCACCCTGAGACTTGGAAAGGAATGTTCTGCTCCTTCGCACCCCATCCTTGTGTTGCTTCCTCACTTCATCCTTAAGATACTTGTCTAATAACTTTTCTAGTTAAATAGACAGATCTGTCATTCACATCCATCTTGTCATGCTAGAGTTTTTAGAAAAGCCTTTTTCTTAAGTTGCTAGGAAGCACTCTGTACAAACCCAAGTGACTGTTCCATTAATGAAGGTATACAAAGGAAAGAGTTGATAAGCACACCCAGTTTTTATAGCTTCATTTCCACCAAGCTCAGTGGTACCATCGTCCATACATCCTGTGACTATTTCAGGTGCTCATCTGCCACTGGTACCTGCTTGGCTTTGGTTGCCAGCAGTCTCTGCAGGCAGGTCATCAGCTCATATTATTGTCTTTATTCTGAGTAAGCCCATTAATTTGGGTCTGTCTAGTCTGCTGTCTCTTACAACTGTAAATGTTTTAGACCTCTTCAATGTTGGGATTAAGCTTTCAAATGTTTGTAACTTATGTGACAGAGACAACAGCTTTTATTGTGTAGCTTTGATTTGTAAAGCGCTAGAATAAAAAGTACAGTATTTAAAGCAAGGTAGTTCTCACATTTTTCTGCATACTTAAGTTGATCATCACATTCTATGGGATTCCTGTCCAAACATTTTTACATGATTTGGAAAACTCTCTAGTCAAATTCCCTGGGGGCACCAAGTTTAATGTGGAAACATCAGCCTGTATTCTTACCTACATACAGGTTCCTGTTGCTGATATGTCCCTGTGCTTCCGTTCATATGGCTGCTGTGGAATAGCAATAACCCTCTCACAGTTCATCTCTCTGAGCCTCCTTTTCTGTCCTCATTTAAGCTTGAGGAAGCATTTCTTGCTCTTTAATGCAGGGAATCAGTTCTCAGTGCACAGAGAAAATCAAGAAAAATGAAATGGTGTTTGGTCACCTTTCCCTAAGTGCTTGTGTACAGGCAGGTCCGGGACAGTGAATCTGTGAGCTACGTCGTTAGTGCTGTATGTCCCTAAAGGTGCTGTCAACTGAATGCAGTGATAGCTGCTGTTTCTCTTCTCACAAGGATGCACGTTTTGCATTATTGGCAACATCTAGAAATCTGAAGATGCATTTAAAGTAACTAAATGCACAGTGTCGTAGTAGTTGCAGAAACACTGTATAGGGTTTGTCCTTTAGGAGAGACTTGCAGGTACAATTCTCCATAATTGGAAGAATTCTAGAATGTTTATTCTAGCACTCATGCTTCTTTAAATCTAGTTTTCCCCTGAAAATACCTCAATGTGAGGAATTGCAGCAATAAAACTCCTAGCAATGCCAGGTAGATAAAGCCTAACTTGCCTAAGTATGTGCCTAGCAATATTAACTTAGGCTCCTGCCATATGGGTGGGAATACAAAGATTTGTGCAAGAACACACTGTAAAGCTCTTCCAGAGTTGTATTTTTGAAATAGGAAATGAGAGAATGAAGAAATACTCCTTACTGCCTGTTTCTTTTTTAGCTGACCTGTAAGAATGTCTGTGTTTACATTCTGCTGGGGCTCCATCTCATGTTTTTTTCTCCCTCAGGCTTTCTGTGCTGATGACAGCCTCAGTAATTATTAGGTGAAGGTTCAGGGGACTCTTATGTTCTCTCTTGTGGACAGAGATCACTACCTAGCAGAACAATTGCTGAAAAGTGTCCTTCGCCCTCTGTGCCAGTCCTTTGCAGGCAGCTTGGGAACATGGCAAGGAGAGTGATGCATTCTACCTCCTGAGGTTAGCTGCACTCTGTGCTCCCTATGTCCCTGCTTCTCCTGGGGAGACTTAAGAAGCTGGTCCCAAGGCTGCTGGCCTCTGAGAAATGAGGTCAGGTGGACGTGCAGCAAGTCCCTATTGCTGCTACCCTGAGTGATGCCCAGTTTATCCTGAAGATTTGTGAATTAAAGCGGTTGTGAGTCTTGGCATTTGGGCTCAGTCACCCGAATGGCTGCACAGAGGGCAGGGTGGAAGTAAAGGCTCATGTGGAAAGCCTGCTGTTGGGATAGTGGCAAAGAATGAAAGCCAAGTGCACAGGAAAGGCTTGGCTCACCTTCCTGTTAGCTAACTCAGTTTGATTAGGTATTTAGGGAAGATGAACAATTTAGCTGTCCAAACATACTTTAGATACAGTTTTAATTACCTTTGAAAATGTCATGTCAGATGAAAAGTTATGCGGTTTTTGGTCTTAATTGAAGGAAAATGATTCAGTTTGGACCACAGCTGATACTCTGTTGTGGCTGGTTTATGTGTCTGTTTGGAGTGGGGAGGGAGAGCAGGATTGAAGGTTTGGAAAAAAATTTGGTTCTTTTGGACCACTGCAACGAGTTGGCAGGTTTGATCATCTTAGAAATGTGGATTGATATAGCTTTCTTAAAATCTGGTATTTGAATGGAGAAAAGGTAACCTGTTAGCAGGATATTGCCTCCTCTGAAAAAGGTCCAGCGTGAAACTCATCTTCAGTGTAGGGCACCAACAACATACTGAGCGTGGCTGGTCAGGAAGGATTGTCTCTCAGCAAGTTGGAGAGCTTCAGTTGGAGGTGGCATGTCCTTGTATACCAAAATAAGACCAAAGAACTGTGGAGCTTGTTCCTTCTGTGTTGTTTTTATGTCATAAAAGGAGTCTGGAAAATGATGGAAACAAATAAATGGGTTGTAGTAATTCCTTTTTCCATGACATTTTGTTTTCTAGCCCACCATTCCAGTATACTCAGCTATACATAGCAAAGAGATGCAAAAGTAGGGCATTTCAGTGTACATGAATTAAACTTCATAGATTATCTCATCAAGCATCTGGTACTTTATATAGCTGAAAGAGGTTGCATTTTGGAAGTGACTTCAGTACTGGTTTTATGTACTTAGAGAGTTGTGATTTATGACATCATTTGGTGCCCTGCTGAATTAATGAGAACTGAGGGTTGCAGTGGGTTTTACAAAACCTGCTAGAGCAGAGTTACTGCTCTGTTTATAGTTAACACAGCAATTTTCTCTGCATTTGCCTTTGAATTACAGCCTTATTGTTAAAATGGCAATAATACTTTAATGTGGTAGATGAAGAATGAGAAAACAGTTTATGGTGTTTTTATTTTTGTTCATATACAGATAAAGCTCTTGCCCCCAAGCAGCATTTCTGTAAAGCTTCAGGAACATAATATTGCCAGTTTCATTTACCAAGTGCAATTATTGATGTCAGCTAATACAGAAGTAGTGGCATACAAAATGCTACAATATGCAAAACACTTCATAATCATTACTCTATAGCAGATATTAAGGCAGTATTTGAAAGGCTGCTCTAATGAAAATGAAGGGTCTAAGTTGCTGAAGGAAATGATGAGGAAAGTATAAAGAAAAAGATTTTTCTAGTTAAAGCATCCCACTGGGCCTCTACAGAGCAAGGGGTGACATAGCAAACTGGTAGAAGCCTAGCAGATGGCCAGGAACAGTAATGGGAACAGTTCTGAGCAACTGAGATCTCCTGCTTAGGACATCAGTAAACAGTAGACAGGCAAAGTGTTAGTCAGGTAACACCACCCTTGGTTTTACAGTAGGTAGACCTACTGCATTGGGTAACCTGCCACATTTTTTATAAGCAAGCAATTAATGGCTTGTATGGTACAACTGAATGCGTTTAATGTTTCTAGTGCAAAGGCAGGTAGAACACACTCCCTGTTTGACGAAGTTTGAGAAGTTTAAATCAAGCCACTTCTGTGAAAGCATAGAATGGTTTGGGTTAGGAGGAACCTGTAGGATCATCTAGTTCTAGCTCCCTGTCATGGACAGGGACACCATCCAGTAGATCAGGTTGTTCACAGCCCCATCCAACCTGGCTTTGAACACTGCCAGGGATGGGGCAGCCACAGCTTCTCTGGGCAACCTGTGCCAGTGTCTCAGCACTCTCATAGTGAAGAACTTCTTCCTAATATCTAATCTAATAAATCTGTTCTCATTTTAAATCCATTACCCCCTGTCCTATCACTGCACTCTCTGATAGAGAGTTCCTCCCATCTTTCTTGTAGGCCCCCTTTACATACTGGAGGGCTTTTACAAGGTCTCCCCAGGGCCTTCTCTTCTCCAGGTTGAACAAGCCCAGCTCTCTCAGCCTGTCTTCACAGGAGAGGTGCTCCAGCAAAGCTGTTTCTAGTTCAAAATTTAACAGTTTTGGAAAAAAAAATAATTTCCATATTCCTGTTAAAATAAATGTTTGTTTCTTTTGAAACTGAGAGCAGTAACTTGTCTGTACTTGCGGTATGTGTTTAATATAGAGTGGCAGGTTTTGAAAATACAGGATTTTTAATAGTGCTGTACGCAGCTTAGAAATGGTTAGATGATTATACTTGTAGTTCTCATAGTATTTTCCATTGCTAGTTTAAAATTCAAACTTCTGTGTTTAGCTGGTGCTCTCTAAATCCATTTGTTTGGTGGTTCTTTTTGTAGATATTGGATGGATGGGAAAGCAGTGATGTGTTCTTGTTTTCCTGCATGTGTGGGCAAGTTCATTGTGGAAATTTGTGAAAGTAATCATTTCTAGATCAGTGGTTTTTATTTCACTCTGGACAGCATCCACGTTGCTGTTTTGAGAGAGCATACTGTTTTATCCTAATGCTGAGGTTAGCAATGTCAGTAAGACTTGGCTATGACTTCTCTGTCTTCTGTATCAAGGATCATAATCCACATATGTGGACAAGAGTGGGTGTGTGGATGTTGCTTGGCTTCAGGTTGCTTCTGTATTTGTGATTAGATGCCATCTTCTCATTGCACAGCATTGTTCCTGGAGGGCCAGCATTACCTGGGGGCAGCAGACTCAAACCCAGTGAGGTGAGACTTGGCAGAGGTGAGAGCTGAGACTCCAGAGGAGGGCAGTCAAGTCAATGTGTTTTGCCTAAACGACTGTTAAAGAAGCTCTGTGAGAAACAACTCTTTCACTAAAAAAGGATTCAGGCCAGAAGATACAAGAAAAGATTGTTTCGGGCATTCAGTCTAGATCTTTTCTCCTTCAGACTCCTAAGGAAAAATAACTCCCATCACAGAACATGTTCTGCTCACCTGAGTGTGTTTTCCAATGCAAATTCTTCTGGCAGCCTGCTTTGCATTTCATTTCTGATGCGAGGTTTAAGAACGCTACTAAAGCTATGCCTGAATTTGTTTTTGGCCAGTTTGTTCCTATTTTCCTGTGCTAATGCGCTTTTAGCTAGAATAGCTCTTGTGTATATATTCATGCATATGATTTTACAATCTTGAGGTCAGATTAATAGGCCTAAGGTTGTACTTGTTTCTTCTCAGTCTCCATGAATACTTCTGCTTTTGTTTGCTTGTGCTAATGCCGCCCATAGCTGACTACCCTTGTGCTGTGATATGACATTTCCTGTATGTTTTATTCCTAGTTTTTCCTGTTCTAGGAGCCTCAGCAAATGGGACTCCATAGCCAATGCTATGTTTCCTGTGTGTTTATAGACACACAGCCAGTAACTTCTATTCATCATGACTTTCAGTTTCCTTTCTAGTCAAGAAGAAATCACATAACCTGCATTGCAGGGCTCCAGACCTATGTGTGGTCCTTCAAGTAGGCTTTTACAGCTTCCACACTGGGAAATGCCAGGTACTCCAGTTTGAAGATTCAGAGCTCTGTAGAAATACAATTTTTATTTTCTAGCCCTCGTCTAGAAAGTCAGTCTGCAGTCTGGCAACTTCTGCAAGAAAAGGCTCAAAAGCCTGTGAGAGATTCATTACACTGCCTTTGCTGTGAGATAAAAGATCTCTTTGACCAAGTTGAAAGATAGCATGCTGACAAATTAGCCAAATAAATGAGCTACATAAAATTGCAAGATGGGGTTTGCAGTTTTCGTTGTGTGTGAAATAGCCTGTAGAAGTAGCAACTTGACAAACATATACTGCAGCAGCAGTTTGCATATCAGGTGCTCATGTTTCATTCACAACAGATAGTTCCAGAGAAAGCTTGAATGGGAACTCTGATTTTAGTAACATGGTTGATTTTTTTGAGATTATTTGCTGTGGGTTTCTTGTTCTTTCTGGTGGCAAAGCAAGGTCAATTTGAGCTTTGTGCAACTGAAAATCCTTCTTCTAGCAAATTAGATCTGTGGTGCTCAGCAGCAGATGTTGCCTGTGGGTTGTGAAAACCTTCTTTTCTCCTCTCCACGTTTTCCTTTCTGCCCCAGACAGATCATGAGAGGCTGACAGCAGGCCCAGCAACAGGTAGTGCTGTAACTGGTCATAGCCTTGTGATCTCTTTTCCTTTCCCCAGTAGCACAGCGGCACAGTTCAAGCTCACAGTGCAACACTACCAGGCGGTGGCAGAGCAAGAGGTGTATGGGCATGTGCAAACATTGTGGCTGGGAAGTAGAAACAAAGAGTTGGAGTGTGTGAGGCAATTAATGTGATATGACACCCCATACCTTAGTAAACCAGTGTTAAAAAGCTTTGTAAAGATGATCTGAAAGCTTTGTCTAAGTGTTTTTTCATCACCCTCATGTTTATCTGCGTGACCAAGGACAGCTGACAGCTGCTTCCACTGCCGGCCTGTAGTGCTGTTGGTGGCATCCAGGCAAAGTCTGTGAGCCCTTCTGTTGGAGGTAGTTTCTTGGTCCCAGCTGTGATACCACCTGAAGATTTTGTTCTGCAAGTTAATCTTGCAGATTCTGCTGAGCAGAACAGCAATACAACTCCAGAATGGCCAGTTCCATTCTTTACTGCAATTTCTTCAGCACTGGGTCTGTCTTTGTGCTTAGCTCATGGTTAGATTTCTTGACATCAGAGGGTGTCAGATAAAGGAAGACTGCATTTGTTGGGTTGCAGTTAACTGTAATTGTCATATCCTGCCAGTCTTCTACCCTTTGCTATGGAGTTCTGTGTTGTGTGTCTATGGAAATGGGGTTAGATGAGGCTGTGTGGCACCACTTTCTTTTGGAAAGGGTATGCAACTTGAAGTAAATGCACTTGAAAAAACTGCTGGAAGTGCCTATTCAAAGTTTCTGGCACAGATGAATTTCTCTACACAAACACTAGAAGTTTAGTTTCTGTGATGGTAAATTGGTTTTAACAGGTTGGAGAAAAGGAGGTAATGATTGTAGAAATTCAGGCTAGAAGGAGCCTTAGGAGATCATCTAATCTAGCCTGCTGTTTAAAGCAGGATCACTTTTGTTATGAATATATGTTAAACTCCTTTTGCTTCACATCCTTTTCACCCTCTTTCTTCTTACTTGATCTCCATGCAAACACATATTTGGCATTCCCAGCCCCAGATGAGCACGCTGAGGTGAAGAATGAATGCATGTAGATGGTGGCCGAATTACTCGCACAAACACCTGCTGCAAAAAAAAAAAAAAAATCTAATCTTCAGCTATCAGTCTCCTCTGCCTGCTCAGAAGAGTCTGTGTGTGCAAACTGCAAAATATTTCCGTGGTCTAACAAGTGTGTCAGGATTAAGTATTTAAATTCTCTGGATTCCAAGAAGAACAAGGCTAGAAAGAACTACTAAATACAGTTTGTCTTGTTACTGATGAGAGTTTGCTTGAAAAAACTGGTTTGTGATCCAAGGGACAGTGTCAAATACAGTCTGATAGATTGTCTGTAAGGTTTTTAGACACAGGGGGAATGTCACCTTTGTCAGCCCTTGGCAGTCTTCTGTTTTAGCTCAAATACAATTTGAAAGCTAATGCTCTATGTCAAAGATTCTTGTTTTCATAATTATCATTCCTGTTGCTTTTTCTGTTGTTCTCTTTCTCTGTAGCAAAATATTTGTAATTCTTAAAATAATTAGGTAACTATCTGCATGCTTTTAGCATATGACAGGAGTATAGTTAGTATAACTATTTATGTACATTTACCTACTCATAGATTTTACTTAGCAGATTCAGGGAAAGCAAAGTGTCTGAAGTGGTATAATAGCATACTTGTTTTTAATGCCACTACACAGTTATACAAGGTCTGTGATTCTTGCCTGCTGTGGCCATGTAACTCATTTAATGAACTAGTCAATGTAAGCTGGCTGGTATGTATGTAGATATGTAATTAATAGAATGCTTATAAAATACATGTCTCTGCTGAGAAGAAATACATGCTTTTTTACTGCTTCTTCTCAAGAGCACTTACTGTAGCGATTAAGGTCTACAAAACCAGTTTGTGTCTTACAGCTTGCCTTGAAGGGATCTAACTATGCTGGTCTGCTGGAGCGGCATCGCATTCATACAAAAAATGTGGAGCATCTTGTAGACAGTTTACGGTAAGAATGAGAATTTCAGACACGGTGCAGCTATACCTGGATTGTGTAAAATAACAAAAGGAAAGACTCACTCAGACTTTTTCTGCACTTTGCAGGAACGAGAGGATAGAAGTTCGCCTTGTTAAACGTCGAGAATATAATGAAGAAACAGTTCGGTGGGCAGATGCGGTTATATCAGCAGGAGGTATGACTTTATAAAAGGAAAGCATTCATTTCAGTATACACAACATACGTAATCTCTTTTCACAGATACATTTTCCAGAAATATTTTGCAGTGTGTGAAGCATCTGAGATATGCGCATTTTGAAATCTAATTGCTTATCTGATTGTCAGGAAATGTGACAAAATACAATGCTTGTGACCATCTTCTCTAACTGTAAGGTGTAAAACTGTAGCACTAGGAAGTGAATCCCAGCACATCGCCACTTTGGAAATGCTTGTTTTGTGCATAACAATATAAACTGTGTGATTTACTATAGTTTTCAACCAAAGAGGTTAAAATACTTGCTGTCTGATTCTAACTGTACTCTTTGGTTTGTGGAGACTAGCATACTACCTTTTCCTTCTCCTGGCTCAAACTGTCTTTCTTGCTTTCACACTTAATTCCAGTGGCTGGAGTATCTAGTCTGGTGGTAGAGGTAAAAGTATGCAACTACTGAGCAGCCTGATTAGAGCTTTTTCAGTGAACCAACAGAGCAACTAACATGTTTATTTTTAATGTTGTTTTGCAGTAGTTAATTCAATGTTATTTTTGTGATTTGCTGCAAAAAATGCCCAGTGTGTTGCTGGGCTCAATGTTCCATCTTTTGTGGCAATTAGACCTGATCTGACCTGATTAGACTGCTCTCCCTTTTTCTTCTCCTCACTGGGTCCACTTTGCCCTTAGCTACTGGTTACCATGCCGAACAGGTAGAAAAGGGTATGTGTGCATTCCTGAAGCATCCTAATGCACTCCTGTGTATTTCAAAGAACTCCTTTAAGGTGGAGATTAAAGTGCCAATGTGACTCTGGTAACATTTGTCATGGTTGTGAAACAGCCAGTTTTAAGAGCTTACATCTTGGTGCAAAAACTAATTCAGGTTAGTTTGTCCTTGTGTTTACAGACAGGAAAGAATACCAGTACCTGCAGAAGCTAGTAACACATAAGATTTCTACTTCACAGTTTTATCCAAGACTTCTTTTCCAAGGGTGCCTGTTTGGGTTCAAATAAGACCTTTAAACTGTGCCTTCTAGAAGAACAACTGAGATAGAACTAAGTCCTTGGTTTTATGTGATTCACAGTAAAATTGGTATTGTTTCCTGTGTTCTATGTCTTTGATTAGCAATACTTTTTAAATTTATTAGGTCTCTTACCAGCTGATAAACACACAAACATTTCCATAGATCTCTTCAAACTTACTTCTGCCAAATTCAGCTTCCTGGGCATGTATAGCTGTTAAGTAAGTTGTACATTTTCCAGTCACATTTGCCCTCTTGAATTCAGTTGTCACTGTTCTACTTTAAAAAGCACCAGTAGTTTTGTGCTCTGTTTTTGGCAGCTTACCTGATCAGTTGTGGAGATAAAGGCACGCAGTGGTAATACTGCAGTATACCCGAGACTATTTTGGTTGTGATCCTAGAATGTGAAGTGAAACTAAATTTAGTTTTGCTTTATCTGTAGGTGATGGTACAATGTTGTTGGCTGCCAGTAAGGTCTTCGATAAATCCAAACCCGTGATTGGAGTAAATACTGATCCTGAAAGGTAAAAGCACATTTGCAAAAACAATGCTTTGTTTAATATCAGGCACAACATGCATTTGTTTTATGATGCATGGAGACATGCTTGTAGCACTTGGCAGCATAAATAGCTGTTCCAGTGGATTGCGGATATCAAGTGAACCTGTTGTTTTAATAGAAAAGTTTCCACAATGAGTTATCCCATCTCATCTGAGGGGAAATCAAGTAGTATTGAATAAGCATGACTCTGTTAAACTGCTGCACTTGTTTTCCCACAGCAGTGTAACAACACTTGCACCTAGTTAACTTGTATTACTAACCAGATATTTGGGGCTAGGTGTGGCAGTATAGAGCAGAGAGAGGAAAAGGGATGTAACAAAACAAACCAGATGTGGTTCCTGAACACACAGAAACTTGGCTTCTTTATGGAGAAGGTGGGTTCTATTGGAAATCCAGTAGGGCCTCAGATTAAAAAGTTTGTTTTGGTTTCTTCTTGTAAACAATGTCATACCTCAGAGAATGCAGTCTCTTCAGCCAGTTAATGACAGTTGTCCTATTATAAACTCCACACAAGTTGCATCCACCTAGCGGTAAGATTGATTTGGGCAGGTGGATGCAGTGTATTAGTACTGCCTGGTTGGTATAATCTTCAAATGGACACAAGTAAAACCCAGAATTTACTGAATTTCTGTCTGCTGAAATTTTCAGATTTAGGTTTCGGCTTTTGATGTTGCCGATTAATGTAACCTTAGGAGATAAGAGTGGTGAACAAAGGTTTGAATTCCTTCGGTACTCTTTTCCTCTTCCAAAACTTTTCAAATGCAGTGGATACATATTTTTACAGTGTCAAGCCTGAATAGCAGGGTTCAAATAACAAGCGCCTGCAAGTTATCAAGTGTCACTCATGAAAGGGGAGTAGTATTTTGTCTTCTGGCTTTGATGTGAGATGTTTTTGATCTTAGGAATGTTGCCTACCTGTCTTGTGTCACTAACTTGTGTGTAAACGGAGGAAAGTTTCTTCCTAACTTGCAAGCTTTATTAAGCTTGAATTCCTTGCCAGAACTATGATGATAGGAACTATATTAGTACCTACCTATTTCTGCAGGATTACTAGTTGAACAGCTATTTTTCAGGGGAAATGTGAGAGAAATATGCTGTGACACACACATAGACCCTGGGAGCTGAAAGAGGTTGTATTGTTGCTGCTGTGCTAGAGTAGCATAGATCAAAGTGTAACTTTGCTTTATGTTGGAGAAGGAGATGTTTGTTTTGTTTTTTAAAGGAATCAAACCTTAATAGATACCCTATCATTTTCATTGCCCTTTTTTGCTGCCAGATCGGAAGGTCACCTATGCTTACCTGTGAGATACACACACTCATTTCCTGAAGCACTACAGAAGCTTTATCGTGGTGAGTTCAGGTAGGATTCACTGATCTTTGGTTTTCCAAAACACATTACGACTGGAAAATACTTAACGATTATGAATTCCTAAGGAGCAGATAATGCTTAGTAAAATCATTATGCCTCAAATTGTAAATGTTTACTGTGCTGAAAAGAGAGTGTGTGTTTGAGTGAGACTGGAATACAAAGGATAAAATTGACTGGCAGTTACAGCAAAGACTTTTGTCATGACCTTCAGTAATTGATTTTCTTTTCTGACTTAGCAAATTCATAAATGAGGAACTGCATTCTTGTAAATGGTATATTGGTTTACATCCTTTAAGACACAAAAGCATATGTAATATAGTGATGGTCCATACTAATAGAAGCTAATGAAGCCTATATATTTAGGAAATGGGCAGTGTTGCATTTGGGTATTTGGTGATTAAGGTAGAGTGGCTTAAATTTTGTTGACAGATCAAGTGTAAGGCAAAGCTTTTTTTTATGCTGAAGACAGCTTGATGTTTTCAGTACAAGATATTCTTAAAAGAATCTCACTGGAATTAAGAAACAACCTGAATTTTAAAGGACAGACTAAGGAAGAGGTTTTTATTAACTATTTAAAGAGATGTTGTTCTGTGGTATATTAACATTCCAGAATACTTTTATGTCTGCAAACCATCAAACAGAAATAAGTAATTCATTTGGAATGTGTTGCAGTTGGGTTTTGTTTATACTTCTAGCACATTTATTTTGCATCTTGAAGCATAACTGTATTCATGCCATAGATAAATTCTGAAATGAGGTGAACACAGTAATCAGGATCAATTTTAAGTAACTGAAGGAGTTTCAGTATGTATTGTTAAATTAAAAGGTACTTTCAACTTGCATATTCAGAGACTTAGAAAACAGAGGCTTTGAACACTTATCATGCTAAGCTGCATAGGTAAAGCTGGTCCTGGTAATGCAGGTAACCTCCCTTGATAATCTAGGCACTTCCAATGTTTTGTTGGATGCCATTTTATATTTTTGTTACTGACACTCCTGTTGTTGCTCTTAATGGAGCTGAAGCCTCAGCAGAATGAAACGTAAAGGATCTCCCTGGTTATTTTTCCAGAACAACAGGAACTGATGTTTGTGAGCAGGGACCTGACTGTTTCACTTGGCAGTTCTGAGATTTATATGGCCCTAGGAAACTTTAACATATGTGGGTAACTGGATTAGCCCTTCTGGAAGAGCTTCTGATGGCTCAGAGTTATGTAAGGGCAGTGAGATAGCAGAGACTGGAAAAGGGAATTGTCTTTTCATCTTATCCTTGAGGTGTCAGTGCAACAATATGTGTAAGCAGTTACCTTGTAGTCACATGAAACAGCCAACATTACTGAATTACAGATTTATGAAGGACAAGCTATGTTTTTTTTGTTTTGATGGTCAGTGGTGTAACAGGATCTCAGAGTACGGGTATTACAGGAGTATAGTCCTATTTTCTAATTTTATAAGGGTTTTGTCATGTTCTAGTATGAGTATTATAAGGAGGCTAGCATAATGATACTCATTACATGCTGTCCGCCTGAATTTCTAAAACCATGCTTTGAATCTAAGGGCAGATAGGTAGTTAGACTAAGGATGTGTTGAATAAGGCAATACCAGGATGGCAATGAGGAAAAATGAGTAATCTAGTCATATAAAGCACAAGTCTTCCTTGTTGTAATTTCAGGAAACCTGTATACTGTCATCCAGCTGTCAACATGTGAACTGGGAAAAGATGTGCTCATAACACTTCCTTGCGATTTGCTTTCTTAATCAAAACTAGTGTTCTGTTTCGTTTTATATAATCTCTAAATTGTCAGAGGAAAAAAATTAATTGATCCCTCCCCTAGAAGAAATAGGAAATCTGAATTGTTGTATGTTAAGGAAGAATATCTTTTATATCATTCTCTTTCTTAATTTGAATTCCTCTTAAGTTCCAAGGCTAGGAGAGATTCTTGAAATACGAGGATACTTGTTGCCCTTATGTATGAAGGGGTGGATAGAGTTGTTTTTCTGGATATCTACAAAAACAAACAGAAGATGGTAAAAATACACCATTTATTGCTGCATAAATTCTGAGTTTGTTGTTCTCAACATCACTGCATCAGTCATGAACTCATAAATTAGGATCACATGTCTAAAAAGGTGAGTTGTTACGTATAATGTTTGTAGACTACTTTTGGCCAGTGTCCTCTTATTTTATACATACAAAAACATGAGCTAGCAAATTGGTAAGTGTAGCATACTTACATTTTAGTATGATTAATTTCCTGAATCTAGAAATTGTAGTGGAAGCTATAGAACTTGAAATATGACTTTGAGTATATTTAACTTAAAGGTGCTCTGCTCTGAGAGTGAAGACCCTGGTCCTAGTGTTGTAACAAATATTTCATCTACTGACACCAATTTCTTCTCCTCTCTAAGGTGGCAGTGGCGGCAAAGAATCCGACTGTATCTTGAAGGAACTGGTATTAACCCCATCCCTGTAGATTTACATGAACAACAGCTAAGCCAAGAGCAACACAGCAGGGCTCACATAAATGAAAGATTCCAGGATCAAAGTAGGTTAAAATCTGACAAGGATATAATAATTTTGCTATGATAACTTGGAATGGGAGATAAATACTTGTAAGAGTTGAAATATTTGAAGTCTCATTGCTGTATTTGAGAGGCAGAGACAGCTGTCATTAGTTGAAGATCCAGATTAAGGATTTTTAGAAGGGAGTATTTTTGTTTCTGTAAGTTTCTTCTGGGCTAAACTCTTAGGATCAGTTTTCAGTCTTAATAGTTAATTTAGAGATGTTTTTATGTAGTATTATCTGCTGGCAGAATACCTGAGGGTTTTTTTTTTTAAATGCTCTCTTTTGGAGTTACTATAGACACCACATGAACATTTTACCAAGGATTTAGCTGCTCCACAGTTAAAGTGTGTTAGTGTACCTGCACGCATGCTCTTAACTTGTGCTACATTTGATAGGTTACTTTACAATTGAAAAAGCTGGTCACAGACTGGCAGAAAGCAAATGAGAAATTACAAGTTATAATTAGAAGTGAGAATTTTTCCCTGGGTAAATCTTCAGTTATCAGACACCTTTGACAGTTTTTTTTGTCATGGATTGAGGATGCATGATTCTATCCTTAACCTGTGTCTAGCACTTTCTCACTGAGAGGTCTTTTGTCAACATGAATAATTTGTTAATCCCCCTTAATTAGCCTGTGATATAAAGTCTAATTCCTTGAACTTTATCAGAATTTAACAAGGGTAAGTCACTGGCAGAAGACTTCAGTCTGTCTGGTTACCCTGAGTTTTCCAGGAAAGTGTCAGAACACAAGTGTTGTCACCTTATTGACCTTGGTTTGAGTATGTGCAGTCTCCAGTAAAGGACAAGGACTGGCTGCAGACTAAATTGGTGAAAAATTGAGTCCTTGAAGAAGATGAAACGCTATATTGAGAGTACAAACACAGGCAGCAGAATGTGTCCTTCAGTGAGTTGTGAATTGGTTTTGAATATTTGGGTTTTAGAGCCATGATTCAAAACTGTTACATTTTATATCTGCAGGATCTGACATTTCTGGTCCACATCTTTTACCAGTGAGAGCCCTCAATGAAGTCTTCATTGGGGAATCTCTTTCATCCAGGTATGTTTAATTATTTGTTGTTGCAGTAAGCCACAGTTGACTTAATTTATTGTTACAACATAGCAATGAACAATCAATGATGTCTTTGCTGTCAGATTTCAGTTCTAGTCCATAAATGTATTGTTGGTGATTACAAAGTGTACTTTCAGAGATGTAAGTGCAGTGATGTTAATTTGTGGTTTTCTACCTTGCTGTCTGGCCATTCTTTCATCTTCCCTTATTCCTGGCTATTTGCTTCATTGGTTTACTCCTTTCCTGCTTTGTTCTTAGGAAACCAAATGCTTTCACTTACTGTCTTTACAGTGGATTGGAGATCTAGTTGTCTGTGCTGAAACTGCCTTATGCATCTCCTGTTAAGTATCTTTTCATAAGCTTTTAGCATGACCAAGTAGAAACAGTTTTTAATATGACCAGGTACTCCTTTCCCTGCCTCTCTGTCATTAGACCAAAGGCATCAGCCTGCTTTTGTGAGAAGCTCTGTTATTGTAGGAAAACACTTACTTAGTTGTTTTACGAAATTAGTTTGTATCAAATCCTGGTACTTCATTATCCAGCATACCTTTGGCTGTCCTTTCTGTCCTGAAGATCAGTGCATTTCTGCCAGTAACAAGAAAGCTGAGGACAATATGGCTCTGTAGGAAAGGAGTTAAAACATGATCCTTGGTCAGGATTTGGCCAAACCTGTATCTTCTATCTCTTTCCCCTTTTTTCTGCATCTTTAAAAACCAAACCAACTTAAGTTGTTTCGAGTAACATCTTGTTGTTTGTGCAGTGCCTGGGACACTGTGATTGCTACTGGAAACAATGTAAATGTTCCATGAGTGCTTTATCTTCCATCTGGACTGCAGCCTCAGATGAGCAGAATAAATTAGTCTCAGAGATAGAAACTTTGCTCTGTATTAAGTTAAACCTAATTTTATCAAGATTTAATTTTAAAAGTTTCTTTAACACACAGTGAGAGAGGAAGACAAAGCTGCTTCCCAACGCTTTGTAATAGCCCTCTTCTGAGTGTCACAGATATATTGTGTTCTTTGGTTCCAGTATATTTAAGAACCATTTAGGAGCACAGTGCCTGTAGGAACAAACCTCAGTAAAAGGACTTTGTACTTGAAGACTAAATAATGATGTCACTCAGATGACTTTTCTGTAAGGCATCAGTCTGCTATATATTAAGACAAAATAACCATAGGTGCTTCTTCCAAGGTCTTATTCTGTGTGTTAGTTAAGAAAACAAGGAAACTGAAGGAAATGGAGAGGGGAAAAAAACAAACTGAAGTTTCATACCCAGCTTGCAAAAATTAAACTGAATTAAGCTGTGCACCTGCATTCTTAATTTGCTTCCAGTTCTTTCATCTTCCCATGTTATCAAGAGCAAGTACACAAAATCTCCTTGGTTACTAAGGATCTAACCTGTGACACCAAATATTCAAGAGGTGTATTTCCTAGTTGATCCAGACTTAAATATTCATCATATAAGACAGCTCAGTTATGCTCTTCTACTAAGGTGAAACTTAGACATAGTGAACACAGGGAATGTAGTGTTTTTCTAAGATGGTATCTTAATCTGAAGACTACATCATACTGTTTGAATTAGGCACTTATGAACATCAACAGCTTTAGTTCATAAATATACTCCTGGATGTTCTGAAGCGTTCAGAGAGACTAGTCTCTCTACGCCTAACATTAGAAATCTGCTGATAATATAAGTAACACCTTGAAGAATTATGATTATGCCCCAAGACTTACTATATCTGAGTTTTATGAAGAATTTGCCCTGGAGAGAAATGTAAGCCTTCCGACTGTTGTAAAACTAAAACTGTGAAGAATCACAGTGGATTTTTAATTACTAGAGCGATCAAGAGTTCAGCTTGAAACCATTTTATTACTTCCTGATGATGGAGTACCTTACTTCTTAGTGTTCCCTGGTATAATTTTATGAGACCAAATCACAGCATAAACACAGGTTTTCAGTAGTTCAACAATTACACAAGGAAGTTAATGTATTTGTAGTTTCATTTGTAAGTCCAGCAAACCCTGCTTGTATATGAAGCTATTCCCTGATGAACCACAGAGGTTTTTGTGTATAATTTAATAGGAAAAGTGGCTGTAGAAGAACTGCCACTGTTCATGCTGAAAATCACTTTTGTCCATTATAAAAAATGCTGTAAAACAGTGAATCAAAAGTGGCTGCCAAATGGGAAACACTGCAAAGACTATGAAATTGTCCAGATTTGAAACTAGCTGCTCTAAATTTTTATGTCCCTGATAAGGCTGTGTGTTCTGTCTTATTCAGGGAGAACTTTAAATCCTGCAAACCCAGTTTTAAATTCTCGCTTCATAGGGCCTCCTATTATGAGATATCAGTTGATGATGGTCCTTGGGAAAAACAGAAGAGTTCGGGACTTAATGTGTGTACTGGAACAGGATCGAAAGCATGGTAAGTACATGTTGCTTCTTTGATATAAAACATCACTTCAGATAAGCTAGATGGACCTATTTTGTTTAAGCATTTTGTCCATCCTGAGACTCTCCTGAGCTATGACTAAGTTAGTGCTTATATTCAATATTCAAATATTCTCACTGCTGGTATGGTCCAGAGCTGTTTCTGGGGTATGAAAAGAGCAGAGCACCCCTCACTTGTGTGTATGGGAGGAGTTGAAAGGGTGAGGAGCTGAGGCATTGAGATAGAAGTTTACCTTAGGTGTAATTTTGGTGGAAGAGGTTGCATGCCTATGAGATGAATGGTTGGGGTGGCAAGGGAAAGAGATTCTGCTCTTCCTTGCAGAGCATATTGGGGGGATCTCTGGACTGCTCTTGGTGGCTAAAATAAAAATGCTTAGATGAAGTAGCATGGAAAACTTCTAAAAACCTAACCTCTAACAAGAATGGGAGAAAGTGTACTTGGAAAGAGATTTAAGTGTTCTCTGGCACATCTGCTGTCCATTCTCCTTCCAAGCCTCTTGCCTGTTTGAAATTTAATTAAAATGGCACAGTCTCTTTGCCAAAGTTTTCCCCTTAAACAAAGACAGCATATCTGAACAGATCTGTGCTAGCTTAATCAGAGGGCTAAATTAAACAAGCTACGGTACTGCTTATAAGTCTAAATCAATTTAGTTTTGAGATTTCAGAGACCTGTACAGTGAGAGCCTCTTTCATTTGGAAGTCTGACTGTGCTTAAAGTTTAAAGTTGTACAACACATCTTGGCTTTATGTGGCAGGCTAAGATGAGCTAGAACTGAAGCTTTTAATGAAATTCAAAAATGAATAGTCATGTTGTAACCATGGTTACTGGGTTTTACTCTTCATTGTAATTCAGAATTTTGTATTCAGTCAGCATAACATAGTCCTGGAGGCTGCCAAGGATGAAATTGGCAGACTGCTAGAGTAACTTTCCTAGTGTTCAGTACCTTGGGACTGTATGATCCTAGTTCAATGCTGCTCTGCATTTCATTTGCTCATATACTCCCTACTGAGCAATGCCAGAACCAGGGACCAAACTCCAGGGTTGCCCATCTCCACTGCTGTAATCAGTGTATACTGCTGGATGTCTCTAAACTGCGGCCAACCCTCAGTGATCTTCCTTGGCCAGCATTTTAAAGGGTCTCCTGGGATTTCAGGCTTCAGACTGAAATGCATCTAAATATCCAGGTGCTTCCTTCAGCTGCAAAAACTTGCATAAAAGGATATCTAGTTGAGAGAGAGAACAGTGTCAAACTGTGTGTCTCAGTTTCTTGCTAGCATCTGCTCAGGCTTGCTGGTGGGCAGTAAGTGTAAGAGAAAGAGTCTTGGACAACCACCCTCAGCAGTTCTATAGCCTGTTAGATATACAGTGGTTGTCTGTTGCAGTCTGAAGTGGTTTAGTGCCATGACAGAAGTATTTTTAACCTGTATTGAGACCTGGGCACCTGAGATGTGCACAGTAATGCTGTACAGAAGCTGTGATTACCTAATCCCAGTTGAGCTTGGGCACAGGAGGGAGACTTTTGTTGGAGTTCAGACGTAGTCCAGACCGAGGTTTTATGCTGACTTGCTTTGCATCCAAGTATGGCAAATGTAAAAATGCCTGATCTGACAGTTCCTTTTTTCTATACACAGATTCTTGTGAGATTAATGCCCATGCCTTAGGATATAGAAAAAGAGGCATATTTGTAAAGAAGTGTTGGGTCCCATAAATAAAAACTAACAAAAGGTATTCATTAGCAAGAGGTGGATAGAAGGGATAAAAACGCATAAAGTCTGTAAAACTGTCATGCAGTGTATTTTTTAATGGAGACTTAAATCAGCAATTATTTGGGTTTTAAGGCAGGAGGATTATTGGTAAGAATACTACATCCTGTGTGTTATGCTGCTCTTTCCTGAGGAGTTACTTAATGATTTATTAAGGTTTACAAAGCCACGGGTAGATGTAAAACCAAGAGTCAATTTGAAGCTTTATTTATTTATTTGTTTTTATTTCTTCCTGATGTTGAATATAGTTTTTTATGCAAGATTTTTTGTTTTGGTTTTCTTCCCAGTTGTACTGTTTAGTAAACAAGACCTGTGATTCTCTGTCTAGGTCCTATAATATTAACAAGATAGCACAACAAGCTGTTGAAGAGATTCTTCATATCGGTGAGTGAACAGAGTGAACAGAAACTCGCCAAGTTTATATAAGGATAAACACATATAATTGGGTCTCTTTCTTTTGACTCAACAGCAAAAAAGCACGGACGTTTGAATATGCCATTGAACACAGAACTAGTACAGAAAGGTTAGTGCAAAAGGCAAGATTTCTTTAAGGTATTTCAATTTTGACTAGTTAATTTTGTTTGTGCTCTTAATACTGCTTTCAGTACTTAATACTTTTGCAATATTAGTCTTTCTTGCAAACATTATTTAGGCACATTTGGTGAAAAATGTCTGACTCGATATGAAAGCACTTATTTAGACTTTCATATATATTGATCTTCAGGAGAATTTCTGTTCTAAGAGTAGAGACACATATTTAATCACCTGAAGAGAGCTGTTGAGTGTCATGCAATATAATTAAAAAGAATTTTCTGTAAAATTAATTTTTTATTTGCAGGTGAAGGCTATTAAGCATCTGTTGAGACTCAGTATTCCATCTTGTAAGGGAAGCTGCTCTCTCCTGGAGGATTGTGTGTCTCAGAATTACTGATATTTTCAGGAAAAACTAATGCACGATTTCTCTGTTTACAGTAACAAATGATTACAATGAGTCCTTGGTCTACAGTCCAGAAGAACCAAAGATGTTTTTCAGTATTCGAGAACCTATTGTAAACAGAGTTTTCTCAAGTAGCCGGCAGCGTGGCTTCTCTTCAAAGTAAGTGTTGGCTGTAGCAGTCACTGAAAAGGCTTCATTCTGTGTATTTGTCAAAGTAGGAGTAACCTGGGAGTTTCCTTTGAAGTGTTTCAACATCCAATTTGTGTTGTGTTTTGAGGGCTTGAGTATTGTTCTTAAAACAACAGGAAGAAAATGTTGGCAGGTTATGTTATGCCTTTTTAATGTTCAATCCAGGCACAATCTTACAGAATAAAAGAATCTCACTGTGCCCACTTTTGGGTGAGTGCCATTTCCCTCAGTATGTGACGCAGGCATTGACAAGCTGGAGTGAATTCAGGAAAGGGCCAGTGAAATGATGAGGGGCCAAAACACGTGATCTATAAAGGAGAGGCCTGGGTGAGACCAGACTAAGCAGAATGGATCCAGTTGCTGTCTTCAGCTACCAGTTGATGGTTACAGAGGAGACTGAGTTAAACTCTTTTCAGAGCAAAATAGGAGGCAACAGCCATGATATCAGAGGATGATATATTCTGACTTAGAAAAAAGGAAAAATATTTCAGAGTGAGAAATGTCAAGCAGTGGAACAGGTTGCCCAATGATTGTGCTATCACCACCCTTGGAGATACTCAAAACTTGCTTTGGCAAGGCCCTAAGCCATCTAGTCTGCCTTTGAAGTAAGGGCTGCTTTGAGTGGAAAGATGGACTGTATGCCCTTCCAAACTAAATTAGTTGGTAATTTAGTCACTTTAATGTATGTCTGAATACCTGTGAGGCATATCTTCCCATTTTTTCCTTTTTTAAATAGAATTTGCTGCCTGTTATAGTTGATCGTTAGCTCTTGATACTGCACATCTCCCCGTTGCTGTTCTTTACGTGTTTTGACATAGTAGCTGCCCAGAGTGAAATGGAGGAGTGGAACATGCCTCCAGATTCTTCTGCAGTGTCCAGACTAGGCTGTGTTTTAGTGATGCACGTACCAATTAAGCTTTGACACTGTGGCTGTGCCTCCCAAGTTTTTAATATTTGTGAAAGAGGTATCTTCCTGAAAATTTTAGTTACTGGCTAACTGTTGATTAAATTTGGGAGATAACAACATTCTCTAGACCAAGGCCCAAGTCAGAAACACTCAAGCACATCCACGTAATAAGACTGCACTCTTGCAGCTGCTTTGGCATAATGACTATTGGTTCCTACCTAGCAAATTTGGAGAACTTTTTACTTTACTTGCTTTCTACATATATGAAAGGACAAATTACAATGGTCAATTTTCCTTTTAAACGTAGAGAAGAGGAAGATCCTGAGTAGCTTTATTCTGTTTTGTCCAACTCTGAAAGAGCTGTCTTATAATCGATTAGCCTGAAGATATAGTAGTCAAACTCTAATACTGACAGTAAAATGATGTTTATAGTGTTGCCTATATATGATGTTGCCTGCCAAGCATTCTGGCTTTCAACTTTGTGTTTGAAATTACTTTCCCTTCTCTCTGGGAATGATTCATGTAACAAAATTAGACCATATTAATATCCAAAATTATTTGAATCTTAAGCATTGAAACTGCGTGTTCCGCTTCAATTTATGATTCTAATGTTGAAACTTTCCTGTAGAAGATTAAGTAAACAACTATTAAATGGCATCATCAGTAGCTTTATTTAAAACATACACCTAAACTACAGCTTTCACAATATCAAGTGTTATGTTACAGACTGTCCTGAACCTCTTGGAGCAATGGTCTCCATTTGAACAAGTCCTGCAGTCCTCTCTGGACTCTTTGCTGGACTCTTTGCTAAGTCTGTACAAAGTATTGATAGGTTAGGGGATTGTGGTGCTAGTACCATGATAAATTCTTAAGTATTCTCCCATATGGTTAAGCATTTACTGACCCACGCTTGTCCAAAAAATCAGTCTTACTGTTCAGATAAGTGCTTCTGTTAAATACTTAATTTTTTTTTTTAAAGCTATTTTGTGAGAACTTACTTTTTGTGGTTTTGCAGGGTCTGTGTCCGTTCCCGCTGTTGGGATGCGTGTATGGTTATAGATGGAGGAACATCTTTTGAGTTCAATGATGGGGCTATAGCTTCAATAGTGATTGATACAGAGGACGCACTGTGCACTGTTCTGCTGGAAGAATGAAGGACACTAGTGTCTTCTGCTGAAACAACTTTGCATCCAGAGGGAACTCCTGGGGATAGACAGCACATCATAATGCTGCATTATGTTGGAAGTTGACCTTTCTGGATGCAAGAGTATTTGGAGGAAGTTTGAGATGCTTTTCATTCCTTTGGGTTGGGGAAACATTAGCCTGATTTTTAACTCTTTTTGCATCTGGTGTGAAAGAAATATATCTGAAGTCACACCACTAACCTCAGTGAAAACTGACATTGTCACTTGTAAGGCAGACATGAAAGAATATACTTTTAAACACAGGTAGATGGATTCAAGTATTAAGTCAGTAGCATTAAGTATCCAGATGTACATTTTTTTAGTAACAGTCTGGGACTGATGAAACTAAACACCTTCATACATATACTTTTATAGAAAAGTTGACTGTCAATCTAGCAATTTGATGCAAGGATATATAGATTTTGGTAAATCCTGATGTTGATGTAATAGAAATGGAAATACAGACTTTTTGTATACTTTTCAAAAAATTTACAACTTTGTAGTTTCTTACAGCTTGTGACATTTTTTTTTTTCTCTTCCAATATTTTTTCTACTTGTAGATTAACATCAGAAGTAAAAATCGGGTTTAATCACATCTTGAATAAGGTAGCTCTTTTCTTTTTGGCTAGAGAGGGAACTGAAACCTAAGGGCTTTATTAAGCCCTTTCATAAAAATACATAAACTATAAGAAACATCTTGAAGTGAGATATACTCCTTCACTGAATGGATTAGTTAGCTCGTGGGTGTTCAGTCACAGTGTGTTCAGTAGTGTATGTAGGTAGCTATAATTAAAAAAGATATTTGGCCTTAGTAAGTTGAATGGTTTGGAAGTGAAGAAGAATGAGATGTGCTGGGTGCTAATAGTTGGAGCACAAGCTCATACCTGTATGTTCCTGGTTTTCCAGTTATGGGTTTTTAAATTCCCCAGAAAGTTTAGATTTTGAGTCCTATGCAGAATTTTACTGATACTTAATTGGCAACAGGTTAATTTCAATTTTATATGCCTCTGATCATGAGATAGGTAAACAGGTTGGCAATAGTAAAAAAGCTCAAATAGAAGAGGAGGAAGTGACTTTAGATAATGTTTTAGAGAAACTGTGAACTATGACTGCCTTTGAAAGTCTGTGCTGATAATTGCATAGATAAGGGGGCAGAATTTGATGAAATGAAAATTCCTACACAGGAACTCTTCTGCTACATGACTTGAAGCAAATTTATTTTCCTATCTACTACCAATCTAGTTCCAAAAGTGAGTTTTCTAACTACTTTTGAATGAAGAGACTTCTGTAACAGATGTTCTCAGGGCTAATGGAAATGTTCTCCAGTGTGGCCAGTATTTATTGCCGAACAAAATGTAAACTGATATCTATAGGTAAAGAAATTGGATAGACTGTTTTTTTCCTTCTACTGTTTTAAGCATTTGTATTCACTCTAAACCAGAATTTAAAGAAAATTGATTTGACCAGACCATTCAATTTTAGGAAAATGTGATACTAATGGAGCTTTTTGAGTAAGCTATCACTGTTTGTGTATGTTTCACCTTTTAAATGTGCTACAGATTGAGTTATTTACACTCTCTGCTAATCACAATTGCAGACCAGAAGGGGAAAATCAAAGTAGCCAAATAACTCTTTAATAACTTTGTAAGTTCAGGAACTATCAGAATAAAGCTCTTAATGCCTAAAATTATTTGCAAAACTGATCTAAATGTAAAGATGCAAAAGGCTGATCTTTTAGAAAGTTGTCTGCACGGAGACTGGGGTGTTTCAGTTATTCCTAATCCATCTGTAACCATTTAAGGATGGTTTATGTGCCTCTGTCTAGTACACTAGTCAATATACTGTTAAGATTCAACACCCCTCTCCAATACCATTGTGTTGAAAGTCATAAATTAATGACTTTTATGACCAATTTATAACTTTCTAGGACTTTACCAGTGTGTTAGATCAGAGGTTTAGGTATTGAAAGTGTACTAAAATACCTGCATAGACATTCATGGCAGAGACCTTGGTTAGAGACATTTGTATGCTTTAATGTATTAATGGAGACTGATTAGTCTGATCAAGGTGTATATGTTCAGACTTAATGATGCCTGTCATTCCTTGTTACCAACATTAAGACTAAAAGATGATGTTTTCAGACCCTGCAGACTCAAAAGTATGATCTGTTTAGGGCTTAGTAAGAGATTTCAGAGTCAGATTCCTAATTTACATAGCAAAATGCAAACCTGACCTATTCATGAGTGGCCTGTACTGGTTTTGGCTATGTTTAATTGCACTTCTGTTGAAGCATTTACTGGTGAATGCTTGATTTAAGTAACCACAATGATTCAGAGATCTATAATAGATAAACAATAAGCAGCTACCCTTTTTCTTAAAGAATTATAGAATCCTTTTTAAGGTTCCTTTATTACAAAGGATTTGCAGTACAGACACCTTACCTGGTAGACAGTATTCTGTGACAGGACCGAGTGTTAGTTTAACACTTATTTAATCTACCTGGACTGGCAGTGAATTCTACACCTTTTTTACCTGCAGAATCAGATACATGGTCTTTTCATTTAGTGCCAGTCCACGATGTGTTCTGCTAAACTAAACCTGTCATTCTTTGCTTTTTTAAAAAAAGTGGTGTTTATGCATTATGTAATAAAAAAACATCACAGATGCATGAAGTTGTCCTGTGCTTTATTTCAACTTTCAGAACTGTTTCAAGTATTAAGCTTTTCATTTATTGTGCAGCTGTAAATAACAGTTTCTGAGCCTTTTATGCTTTAGTAAAACACAAACCTATCACTGTAGCAGCTTTAGTAGGCATTGCTTAGAGCTACTGCATAACTTTTTTCACTTAGGAAAAGGGCAGTGGTGTACCTCACCCACAGGGCTTACATTGCACGTTTGCTACAACTGCCATCATAACCCATAGCCCTGCAATAGAAATGTTTTGACCTCTTCTAACACTGAACCTCATACTCAAGGACTGTTCCTTCTAAAGGCCATACTACTGTCTCAATTCTGTACAGGGTTTTAAGGCACAGCCTATTCAATTAAAAAAAAACTGGTGATAATGCCCTGTCCTATAAACCCTGATTTTCCCTAAAAATTCCCCTGTCCTTAACCCATGACAAAGTTGATGGCAAGTTATGGATGGAAGAAAATTTTCCTTCACTTTGTACAGCATATCACTTCTTCAGATCTTTATTAAATGCAAAACAAGTTGTATAGAGTTACATGGTACATAGGAAGAAGAATTTACACTAGTGCTGAGCTGCAGAGATTTACTTTTGAAATCATTAAGTTAAGACATAAACTTAAGGCTGCAAACTTTGAAGCAACACAATATCCAATATCCAACCTCCCATTGCTTCTCCAACTCCAGTTTTCACAAGGCATATTGCCCATTAACTCCTTTGTGAGGGGCACAAGCCCAGTAGTGAGTTAAGGGACAACATGGTCTAGTGTAAAGCTCATGGCAGGAGTGTTGGATCTACGTAATTTTAAGGTGCCTTCCAGATCTAACCATTCTGTGATTCTAAGTGTCACCAACACTGTTAAAACTTTGTAAAAACCAAACCAGAGCAGGTTAACAAGATAATGATGCATTTGCTGTACTATAGAAAGTAGAGTTAATTTCCAGTACTCATACAATCTTTCCACAGTAATGAATCTGTTCTGTACTACCAGGTATTTATTCCTGAGCACTTCAGATTGAGCTGGGAAACACTATAAACTATGCAACAACCCCAGAGTAATGCTGTAGGCTCACTTTAAATATCCATGAATAAATACCATCTGCTTGATTGCTGCATTCATGGAAACAACAGCAGCATATTTATGTCCTACACAGGGTGCAAGTTTTACCCCAGGACTTCTCAAGTAACACTTATATTTGCTGGAACATTCCATGCTTATACAAAAGGACCATCATAATAGACATAGACAGAAGTTCACAATCATACTCTTAGTTTTGTTTTGGACAATTACTCATCTTTTCACAGGACTTAAACAAAACCCCAGCACTAGCCAGTACTGGTTAGTGTTACAGATACAAGAGAAGTGATACTAGAAACATAAGCTATTACCAAAAAAAAAAAAATAAAAAATTGATGTTTCTTAGTATCAAAGCATCTACCGCTTTCAGCACTCACTGCAGTCTGAGGTTTTGGTCCAAGATCTATAATCATTTGAGTCCTCCTCCTGCAAAATTCATAGCAGTTGAAATATCTTATTCTTTAAAGGAAGTAAGAGAATATTTTTTACGAGTTTTTATCAAGCTCACAGAAGTTTGATCAAGGTCACAGAAGCTTCAATATTGCAGAACCTTATTGTATCAGAAAACAGCACCACACCGTGAAAGAACTGATACCTACATTTACAGGTGCTTGTTCTGAATGGGTTTTTCAAAGTGTATTTTGCTAACAGGAATATTAAAATGGGTGTTATCTTTATGCTCTGCTCAAGAAAATCTTCTTTGGCCTCTTTATACTACTTTTTCACTTCTGCATTATTTAGCTGCTTTTCTGTAAACATCCTTTCTCTTATTTTCTGTTTTCAGGCTTGGTAAATTCAAATTCGGTACTCTGTCTCTCACAAACCGTGGGTAGCTTCTCATCTTACATACATTGTTCAACTGAGCATTTAAATGGGTTTAACACCATAATTCACCTTGAGATCCACAAACTCAGATGAAGACAATTCCTTAATAAGCCTTATTAAACCATCTAGCACCCCTACAAGCCATTTCAAGAATTGTAGAACTGGCAACATTAACCAGAACCACCTTTAGAACACCTGAAAGCACCAAAAGCTGCATCAGAACATGCAACAGTCACTATAGGCTGTCACTGTTTGATTACAACAGCTGTTTCACAGTACTTCTGAAAAAATATCCCCAGTTACAGAAAAAAAAACATCCACAATCACTCCCACATTGTCAGGTTTCCAAAGGGTTTAAGTAAAAAAATACTGTGAGAATATTTATGAAACTACATTAAGGCACAAGACCAAGTCAGAATGCGTTTTACAATAACAATACTATCACTGAAAGTGCTCCAGCATTCTGGTTCTTAAGGAGCTTCACTACACACAGTATGTTCATTGCATCCAGTGCATTGTACACAATCATAAGCCAACGATTAAATTAATTTCTCAGTGCCAATTTGCATTTGATGCCCCAAATCTCATGGCTCCTTTTCCTACCAACAGTTGGCCTTGCGATACTTGTAAAGTATGAACAATTGATCTCTATGTCAGGAAGAGATTCCTTGAGGATCTCTAGGGAGCCATCAGTCACAATTCCAAATACCTGAAGAGTCTTTAATGTTGGAATTCCACCAAGTTCCCTAGAAAAGAGGGGAAAAACACCCAAACACAACCATAAAATTAATAATGAACCTGATTTTTTTTTCCAGTCTGTACCCAAACTAGATAACTGTATTTCTACTTATTTTTAGAATTATGGTAAGTACTTAAATTCATTTTCCTACTTTTTAAAAGCACATGTTTAATTAAAACTAGTTCTCTGCATGGATAATTCTGGAAATAGGCTGAATAAATTGCTTCTTGCTGCTCTCTCTCTCCTCTCTCTCACATAAGAGTGAAAATGAACTGTTTCCTCCCTTTTGACTTCGCTGAACTTTAGAACAAGTGTAAGGAATTGCCCCAGTTGAAATTTCACAATGTGGCTCAAAGGACACAAGCCCCTGTGTACTATCGGTCTCCAATCTGTTATCATGTTTTGGTGAATAGCCAGCCCTGGCTTCTTGATTGCCCAGTCATCAAGTGAACTGTGTATAAGCAAGTACTGGACAAAACTGAAAGGCAGAGACACACAAGCTACCATGACAGCACACACTCTAACACTCTACAGAAAAGGTTCTTTAGCTTCCTATTTTGATAGTCCTGTTCCTCACACAACCTTTTATCTTGTTGATCATTTCCTTAGGATTGACATCCTTCCTGAAAGGATTAAGACAAATAGCTGCTATATTAATAAAAGGCAAAAAAAAAAAAAACAAACCAACCCACCACCTCACAAGCGAGTAAATTTAAGCTGTGTTTCAGTTGCAGGCAATAACTGATACAGGCACGGAAAAGGCGAAGGAATGTAAACAGGTTGTCTAGTCAGCAAGTACTGTTAACAGCTTTTCCAAAGAACTATACTCTCCTTGCTGCACACCTGAAAGCCTAATACTGACACCAATACTGGCAGGACTGGTACCTGTACCTCATGGTAATGAGTACCAGTAGTACAATGCCATTAAGGGAAGACATGATGCATGCACTGAACTGCAAGTTTTGCAAGTACACATCACAGAAAGATTATTGCAGATGCTTTTGGTTCTACTCTGGACTCTCAAAGGTATGTGCTGTAGCAGTCAGGTTATTTTACCCCAGCTCCTTATTCCCAATTCCTCACACCAGTAAGTTTTTCAAAAGAGTGCTTGCAATTCTAAGTCTAAAATAAATCAAGTTTAAATTAACTTATCCTCTGAGTAGTAAATCAAAGCCATTTAGAGATTACTTACATTAAGTCAGCAGGGGATATCTGATAACATCGGCTAAGACACAGATGTTGTAGACATCTGAGTTTATGGAAATACTTGAAACACTCAGGGTCTAACATCACGCTGTCACTGCAAACAAGAGCACATGAAAGTTTAAGTATAAAGGGGCAGTAAATCTGCCATTTCAAAAATTCAGGCTAAGAAACTTAATGAATATAAACTTCTTTTTCTACCACTGAAGTATTTTTTTTTGTATGAATAACCCATATCTAGTGTGTGTGTTGTGGGGGAGTGATTCAGTCTTCACTGAAGCAGAAGTTTCTCTGCAGGCAGATATTCTGCAGCAGAACTCATGCCATAAAAAGGCATAAAAATCACATACCAAGACTTCAAGATATTTTAACTGACTAGGTCAAAACCAAAATACACCTTCCCCCCCTCCCCCCCCCAGGTTCTATGGCCAAGTAACAGATTTATATTAGAGCTGAACTAATCTAGCATCTAGGATGCTAGACTCATATACTGCATGCACCTAAATGCTTTCTTCCACTCTACCTATTGGCTACAATGACTTACTAGTTTAAAAATCCTTTACACAACATTTATGCTGAGGTAAGAAGGAAATATTCAAGTGAGTTACCTGCTCCAGATTATGCCATGCCAGAAAAAAAAATCTTTTGTAGGTTTAGCATAGAAAGTATTTTACTGGTTGTGCAATCCTACACAATCATGCATTACTGCTATATAATTACTGCACTACAATAGAATCAGCAATTCCCTGAACCATACGATTTAAGGACAAGCTGCAAAGGCCTTCTTACCTTAGATCTAAATGGACAAGTGAAGGACATCTTTCCACCAGTCTCTGAACATCTGAAAACAGGACACTCAGAGTCAGTCCATCTTTCACTAACAAGATGAACGTGCTTTATACAGCCTACTCACTTCCATAAATGTTCATATATACCTTCTCTTACTGGAGCCCCACAACTGAAACACAACTTTTTGTTACAAAGATATGCACTTCAGACTTGCAGTATCCAGTCTGCCTATCAAGATACCTTATGGGCATTTTTTAAAAATCCTCAGCACAACTGACCCATCAAGTCAGAAAATCCCTAAAAGCCACTTGTACCAGCAACTTGGCAAGAGAATAATTCAAATGATATTGCTCTAGAAATCTAAGACATAGTAATGGTGAGATGCCTGAAATTCTTACATAGAGGAAAAAAAATTCCTGCCTGTATTTACGTACCTCTGTGTCAGCCAATGTCCTATTGCCACATTTGCACATTGAGAAAGTTAATTTCTTTTTATCACCTAAACCATTTCACCTTTTACCTATACTTTTGTCCATTTTGTTGAGCTCTCTCCCAAGATCTAGACCTATTTGTATTTTATACAACCCTGCAAACTTACCCAACTTTTCCTCCTAGAACTATTATCAAATAAATAGTTAATATTGATTACTGAGATTATTTGCCTTCTTAATTAGCTGGTAGGCCATCATATCAGTAATAACTATGACTGCTCCCTTTTGGAAGATGTCTTCAGCAGCCACAATAGCAGAATTCTTAAGAAGACTCCAAGTACATTATCTGGAAAGCTAATTCACAGTGGAACATGGGACCCAGTGTATCCCAATTCCATGCCTTACTTCAGAATTAAGGGCTACACCTTTCATTTGAAGATAAAACGAGCTTTCACCTGACTGTTTTTAAACTCAGAAGACACATCATCCCACCCCTCATGGCTAAGCCAGAGACATGAGCAAGATTGTCTGACAGGAAGTACATCAAGTTACACAGAGCATAAAGCCAGTGTTAGTGCATGATTTTTCTGTAGTCACAGAGGACGCCATCCAGAAGAAAACATAAAGCCTCTTGCTTTATATTTTAAAATGGTACAAGAGTTTGCCATGCTGCTATTTACCTTCCATTTGTAGATTCTGTCTGTATCCACTTAAGTTTAACTGGGTTACTTTTGAAGTAATATGATTGACTGCTGCTTTGACATGGGTGTCTGTGAAGTTACACCAGGACAAGTTCAGTTCATCCAACCTACACACAAATGAACAAAGAGTCATTTGGAAGAAAGACTGACACAATATCTGAGTTCTGATATTATCTATTACAGTTGATACTTTTAAAGCAAAAACTTGTAACACACCTACTACCAACTGCACTGTACCTGTGACTACAAATTTTACTATGATAATAATTAAGCACTGCAGCAGGTTGCCCAGCAAGGCTGTGGAGTCTGTCTTTGGAGGTTTTCAAGATCCAGTCAAAGAAAGTCCTGGCCAGTGCTGGATTTTTACCCTGCTGTGGGCAAGGGGTTAAAATAACTTCCCAAGGCTACTTCCAGCTGGAATGACTCAATAGTATCTTAGGAAGATAATGGTTCTTTCCAGGGACCGCCATGAGGAGACACTGTATTTTCAACTTGCTTCTCAGTTTGCCACCTGAATCTGTTACTACTGAACAGATGTTCACATTGAGAGGTAAAAAGGCTACACATTATTAGCATTGCTCAGATGACCAGTTAATCCTCATTAGCATAAAATACTTTACGTTTTTATATAAGCATTAACCACACTGTGACCTTAACTCTCTTTACATCCTCGATTACCTATAGCCTATCACCATCTGGGGCTGGGACAAAGTGTTTGTTTTGTGTACAGGTGTTGAAGATTTAACCAGAGGACAAAGACACCATGGACAGCAGAAGCAGAGCATGTAGCTGCAATCTCTATGTAAATAAGTATAAAAAAAAGCAACAAAAAAAACCCAGTTAAATTGCCACTAGCATTCCTCAGATCAGGTTTGCCATCTGCAATCCACTGTGCACTGTATGGACTGCCATTCTCTAAAGAGCTCATGATCCAAGCAATAGAAAGCATTATCTACCCATGACAGGCAGTGAACGATTAAGGCTTTGTCTGCCCACTCAAACTTTGATTAAAAATGTGCTTTTGCAGAAGCAAAAATTATGTAGATTGTCCAGCATCTTACAGGAAGTCAGCAGAAAGATCAGGGTACAAATCCCAGACAGACTGGGCTTAGCTTGGTGATTTCCTGCCAGTGGATGGTTTAATCACTGGCACCATCAATCTGAGCACAGTGCTTCGTAAAGTCAAAGGTTACTGAAGGATCAGGAATGGAAAAGCACGATGTTTTCTGCCATTCACACTGCACTCTGATTGCAAAAGGAGCTCTGCAACTCCACTTTCCAGCTTCAAAACACACTCTCACTTTGTGAGGATCATGTACTGCTTTTGTCAAGGAAATTGAATTTACATGATACCAAGCAGACTTCCTTTGAGGATGATTAAAGAAATTAATGAAAAACTGCTGAAGTACATCTTTGCTATTAAAGGATAAATTGCTTGATAGAAAGAAGCTATCTGATTATTCAGCTAATAATCAACTGCTCGGCATTTAGGAAGAGAAGCCAGCTCATAAAAAAGGGAAAAAAAAAAAAGAAAAAGATATTAAAGATAAGTACAATTGGGATGCATATGGAAATAATTAAAAAGAATCCTTTTTCTCAGGAAGAGAAGGAAACAGAGATAGCAAAAACTATTTTTGTCTTACATAGAACATCTGCTCAACATCAGCTCCAAGGGCTCTGCAGCAAACCCTGAGCACCCAGAGAGATTTAGTCGCACCAAACTGGAATTCTGAGCAATATTTCTGTAGGGAAGAAAAAAGGTGACAGAATTTTAATATTGGAATGCTGCCTGCATTGTTAGGAAGTGTGATTACTTTTAAGGGCTAAAATCCCAGGCACAGAATTGTTCATTAAATATGTGGCACTGCATCTTTAGTAACCTGACCAACCTGAGAGTCACTAAAGATCTCAACTCTAGCTGCTGCATCACAGCACAACTTTGAGTGGGATACTTGCTTATTTACCTTACATTTCTGACAGGTCTGCATATTTATAACTGCTAAGTTTAAAAGGAAACAGTTCATTTTCACCTTCTATTGTATAACATTAAACACACACCATGGCTTATTACAGATGACTATACCTCTACAAAAGACAAAGCAATCATCCCATTGCTGAAGCCACCCCTCTACAAGATGAAGATTATCTGAGAACAAAACACATGTTCAAACAGCAGTCCCCCTGCATGCACTTGTCTGCAAGGTTATAACAGACATGCAATTGGCAAAACCTGGAAAATCCCTTACATCCAGTATCTAGATTTCACAGAATCATTGAATAATTTGGGTTAGAAAGGACCTTTAGATCATCTAACTCCAACCCCCTGCCATGGTCAGGGTCACCTTGCACTACACCATACCACCCAAGGCTCTGTCCATTCTGGCCTTGAACACTGTCAGGGATAAGGCAATAAAATTCCAACCCTAATTAGTACTAATTTTCAGGCACTTTTTATCTGGCATCAAAAGCCAAATGATACTGGTTTATTTGTGCTCTGGGAATCTGTTAGTTCTGTTTGGGTTTTGTATGTTTGGGTTTTTTTGCATGTTTGGTTTGTTTTGTGTGTTTGCTTTTTGTTTTCTTCTCTGGAGCAAGAAAGGCATCAGAAAGCTCAAGAGTAGAAAACTGGACACCCAGAGTCTCTGCCATCCAAGCTATGGTCCCTGGCACCTGCTGTGATTGAACAGGAGTTTTACTGCATGCCCATTAGTGTCATTCCAGTTTAACCAAGTGACAGTTCATCTCCTTGACAGGCTGTCATTTTTCAGACACTCACAAGTGAAGTTCAATGAAAAAGTGAGAACCAGTCCAGAAGTACGAGCACCTGGTGGGAGAGCTACTGAGACCCCTTAAAACAGAAAAAAAACCTGCAGCACAGAAATGGGGAAATGATAGTAGCTCTGCTGTACAGCTTGGCTGTGGGAACTGCCAACAGACACATAAACCCTAGAGAGATGAGCAGGCTTCTCCTGCTTTGGGGAATGAAAAAGAAGCCCAGCACCAAGAAACACTCTTCCAGAGGGGTATTTGCTCCTCACCTCATCTCTTGGACGATAGAGAAGAATGAGGCAGCTCATCTAGCCTTCCAGCTAGCCCTGTCAGATATCTAAATATGGCAATTTAAGAAGGCTCCCACAACAAACAACTCTCAACTGCATTCTTCTGCTAGCCTGCACAAAATGATAGCACTGATAGGGAGGTATTTACTGAATATTCCCAAACTTATCACTCACTTGATGATGTCATCAGAAAGCACTAGCCCCTCCAAGCTGAGGTTCTGCAGCTTTTCACACAGACTAAGAATACTCTGGAGACTTTCAACAGACACTGTACAGTTTGACAAATCCATACATTGAAGTTTGAGAGGACTAAAACAAACAACAACAAAACAAGAGAAAGGCAGGTTACAAAAACTGCATTAAAGCCTGCTCCACAAATCCCCCAGACCGTAAATATATCCCCTACAATAAAGCTGTGCAAAGCCTGCAGAAAATAATACTTTTGTATTCAGCTGCACACTGAACATACTAATAAGCTCACTGGGCCTACTATTAAGCTACCACCCAAAACTGGAGACCTTTTAACTTCAAGACATTTACAGGATTCATCATAACACCTGAAAGTCTATCCTGCTGGAGTTAAATTTTTTTTTGAGCATTCCATATAAAAACACTGGAGATGCTTGGTTCTACAAGATACAAACTACATTGAACAATGGTTGCTTGATACTTTCAAACACATCACAGTAACTCCATTTTAAACAACTGACAGGTGAATGCAGATCCTCTTACTTCAACACATTTAACTACTGATCAGCTCTTTCACAATCCAGAGACAGCACAAATGCTATTACTGGTAGACACCTTAAAACCAAAAATACAGAGAAATTGTGAATATTAGAGACAACGTTTAAGGATCCAGAACATGCAGAAAAAGCCTTACTTGCTTGTTTTGAACAATGGGCTATCAATAGAAGATCGTGGGCAGCGGAATACAGTAACACCTGCAGGCAGCAACTGTCCAACCACTCCTGGCAGCAAAATTTTACCAGCCAGATCAAGAGTCTGCCAGAGAGATTCATCAAACCTAAGGCATGGAATATTACTTGTTAGTGAGGTAGAAAGGGTCAGAAGTATGAGTAAAACTACTGAAAGTTTTCAGTGTCACAAAAGACTGAGAAAGCTATTTAACATAACTTACTAATGATGAAATATGCAAGCCATCTTTTGATTGTATATACATATAACCCATATACAGCATAAACTGAATTATATATGATTAAACAAGGTAGGAACCAGATCATTTAACAGTCTTTGGAAGAACGGTTTTCTTAGTACTACAAGATGAGAAGTAATACTTACGAAAGACAATGCCACCTCTTGCAAACAACAGAAACCCTTATCAAGTCACTTAGGGGCAAAAATGCAAAGATGGCCAAAAGCAATTCATCTGGAAGCGTATCCCAAGAAACACCTTTAGGGAAAGAGCAAATGTGTTCTAGTTAAAACTCGTTCATTTTTGCCTGCTGATCAGACAGTTAGAAAGCACCCCTGCATCCCTAAGCCATTAGACATCAGCCTGCTACTCATCCCCTTTCATGTCTTTGTTGTAGGAAGATATTTGCGTAGGCACAACTGGCAAATGGAAAGCTTTCCATAACATCAACCTAGTATACATACTAAAGGTATGGAAAGACAAATTCCATGGGAAAAATCACAATAATCTTTGCTCATATACTCATTTTGGAAACAAGAGCATCTCAGTTACTTCCTATGTATTCTAAGGCTTGTATGATCCTTCTTTCCCCCATTCTCTTCTGAAATGCTCATCCTTCCTATGCATGTCAAGCTCCCAGAGGGAAGCCCAAAGTGAGCTATGCTTTTGCATGGTACCTGGGGTAAAGCAGGTACTGCAAACTGCTCCTTAAATTATGCACACTAACAACCACCTCCCGAATTATCTGAAAAGATGTGGTGCAATCTCAGCTTCTCATGAGTAGATACAGAGCTCCAGAAGGTGTTGCCATTCACATTCTGATAGGTTCAAGAACAGCTGCCTTGTTTAAAAGCAGGGTCTGACAGCATTCTGTCATGGTTTAAGCCCAGCAAGTAACTCAGAACCATGCAGATGCTTGCTCATACATCCCCCTCTTTTCTCCCCCTCCAGGTGGGATGGGGAGGAAAACTGAAAAACTCCACAGGTTGAGGTAAGAACAGTCCAGTAACTAAAATATAAATCTACTACTACTAGTAGTAATAATGATAGGGAAATAACAAGGGGAGAGAATTAAAACTAAAAAGGGGAAAAAAACAACAATAAACACAAGTGATGCACAACACAATTGCTCAGCATCTGCAGAACAATGCCCAGCCTGACCCAAGCAGCAATCTGGGCCTTCCAGGTAACTCCCCTCAGTTCATACACTGGGCATGATGTGCTGTAGTATGGAATATCCCTTTGGCCAGTTTGGGTCAGGTGTCCTGTCTCAGCTTCTTGTGCCCTTCCTCACTGGCACAGCACAAGAGATTAAAAAGTCCCTGATCAGCGTAAGTGCTACTGAGCAAGGACTAAACCCTCAGAGTGTTATCAGCATTGTTCTCAGACAAAAGCCCAAACACAGCACTGAACCAAATACTAAGAAGGAGAAAAACAACTGTTACAGCTAAACCAAGGACATGGTTCATATCATGGTCTAGCCAGGTCTGGAGAGAGCTGTAATTTTCTTTTGCATTCTGCATTTTCTGCAGATTGAAAGCCTTTCAACACCAGGGAAAGGAGCCCAGTGTCCTATAACCCCTTTTAGTGCCCCAGGTCTTCAGGTTACAGCCCTGCTCTTTCTCTGCCAGTGCCTTTCTTACACCCTTTGCTGTATCTTCCCTGTAGCTCTCTGGCAGGGTCTTTCACGTTGCTTACAGCTCAGCTCCAAAAGGAGGCTGAGGTATGCCTCGGCATACCAGGGTAATGGTACCTGAATCATGGAGCAGCCGAGGCCGGCGCACAGTGACTAAGAACCTCTGCTTCACCTTCTGCCGTTTGTGAGAACAGGACGATGCCCCCTGCCCATCTTGTAGACTGCTTTCATCGTCCGGCTTCTCCTTAAGGGCAGGCTCTTCCATGCCAGAGAGAGGCCCCGAGGTCCTGCTGGTGTTGCATTCCAAGCCCCACAAGAAGCTGGTGGACACACTGCTGCTGGAAGATGGGACCTCTTTGAAGCACTTTCTACAGACAGCAAAAACCACAGGCTCTAAAGGCACAGCGTATGCACAGAACCATTTCACGGTCACACTGAACTCACATCCCTAGTATTATGAGCACTGGGTCCGCTGGGCCATGAGCTCATCAGGCACACTCACGCCAACACGCCAGGGATCAAGCAAACCCGGTTCCCGGGTCAGGTCCGCGGGCGGAGAAGAGCGCTGGTGAAAGACGGCAGGAAATGCACTACGGGTCGCTCCCCCCCCCGGCTCACTTCTCCCACAAACCGTGCTGCGGAAACCGAGCGCAGCCGGGGGCACTCGAGGAAGGGCCGGGGACGAAGGGACCGTGGAGGGGGAGCGGGGGATACTCCGCTCTGCTCCATCCCGCCAGCGCTGCACGGTCAACGAGAGTGCCACCGCCCCCACGGGCTGCACAGAAGGGGGAGCAGCGGGAGGGGGGCATTCCGGGATACCCGCAACCACGGCCCCATGAACGGCTCACACCCAGGCACAGCAGGACCCACACATTAGTTCCCGCCGCGACCGCCCGGGAGGAATGCGATGCTCCGCGACCCGCGAACTCTCCCGAACCCAAGCTCCCCCGAACCCTCACATCCCGTGCACCAGTGGGCAGAGCGCGGCCCGCTCTCTCCCGTTGCCGAGGCCGCATGCACCTGAACATGTTGGCGGGAGCTGACGAAGACATGCACACACCACACTCCCCTCCCTGTGCACAGCTCTGGTGTGCCGCCCGCGCCGTTATAACCCCGCGCGCGCGCGGGTGGGCGGGTCTCCCGAGGCCGGCCGGAAGCCGGTGGCCGGCCGCCGCAAAGCCTGCCGGGAGTTGTAGTTCATAGTCAGTTAGCCTTACCTCCTCCCACCCGCCCACACACACCCCGCTACCGCGGATGGGCCGTTCCCACAGTGCCTTGCGCCCGTCTCCGGGGCGGGGGGGGGGTTGCCGACGTCAGCGCCGCTGAAGAGCGGCGGTCGGGTGTCGAGGGATAAATGTAGCGGCGGCGGCGGCGGCCGCCATGGTTGCTCTGATACGCAAAGAACCGGGAGCGGCTGCCGCTTTCTGCATCTGAGCCCGCGCGTAAAGGCCGGCGGCAACCGGGATGGAGGGCGGCGGCGCCCCGCGAGTCACCGGCTGCTGATCGAGGCGTTCTGGCTGTGGTGAGGGAGCGGCGCGGCCGGGGGTGCAGTAGCGCCGAGTCACGGCGGGGTGAGGGCCTGCGTGGGGCCGGGCGCGGCGTTGCTGGGAGGATGAGGGCCAGCCGTGTCTCCCCCCACCCCGGCTGAGAGCATGACCCGGGTCCGGGGCGGGGAGACCCTATGTTCGCCCACGGTGTCTTTGACGAGGAAGCGGCTGGGAGGGGACACTGCGGGGACTGCGATGAGGACGGAAGGAACCGGCTCATTGGTCTTTCTGCTCTTAGTCCCTGATTTATTTATTTTTTTCTTCCTTCCTTTAGGGACCTCGAGCAGGGAGGTTTACAGCACGAATGTTGATGTTTATTAAGTGTCTGTCGACTTTAGTTCTGTGCGCCTGACAGGCCAGTGGGCAAACAGTGATCGGCTTTAATGGCTGTAATTTGCAGTGGCTGTTTATGGTTTGTAAGACCGGAATCTCGGTGACAGTGACCTTTTACCGTAAAAAGTTTTCCTGTGCTTCTGGAGGGTCTTCATTGTGAAAGCCTGATACCGAGGGACTATCAGTTTATTCTGGTCTTTTCACACCACGTTTCAGATTCACATCAGGGTTTCTTAAGGCGCTCTTCATTTCCTTCTCTCCAAACTGCTTGTTTTGAAATTGATGGGGTTGGAAAACTAATTCGGAACACACCTACAACTTCGCTCTTAGTCAGCCACTTGCTGGTAGATGCTGTCCTTTGTTTACAGCGTAACGATGGAGAGACCTGCCTGTAAAATTGGAGATGGTAATGGAAAACATGTTACAGCGTATGCAACTGTCAAATCAGATATTGATAGTAGTGTGGCTCAAATTAGCATTCATATAATCTTAAGAAAGAATTTGTGGTGTTTCCAGTGTTAACTGAAGTAATGAACAATTGTTTAAGGGTTACAATGTGGATAGTCAAATGAAAGAGCAGTGGGTTTTTTTCAGTTACAAAAAAAAAAAAATTATTGTATTACCCTGTTCACCAGCCCCTTTTTTCTTTGTTAATCTTTTAACTTTTTTTCTGTTAATGCATCCGAAGTTGAAAGAAGAATTTGCTGAAAAGAATAAAATCCTATTAATTTTTAAAAAGCTCTGAATTACCAGATAGTCTGAGTTTGCCTCAGTGCATGGTTGGCCACATTACTGACACCTGTTCTGTGTTACTCTGGCAGCCCAGGTTGCAATTTCTGTAATTATTTTTTTTAGATTCTTACAGCTTTTGTATCTGATTCTATTTGAGTTCCTCCAAGCTAGTTGGTTTCTTCAGCATATTATTTCCAGAGTACTCCCCTGACCTCTAGGAAATCATCAGCCTCTGTGGTAGTTAATATCCTTTATTAGAGGACATGGCAACGCCATGTAACACAAATAATCTTTGCATGGTTTTGTATCAATGGTCCCTGTGTGCTTTTGAACACAAAAATCTCCATGGTTCTTGATTAAGCATTCTTTTTTTATTTACTGCTTCTGTAGAGAACCTAATGTTCCTCTGAATTGGAGATTACTGCTATTTTGAATGGAGTCAGTGCAGGATTTTATGATTTCTTTTTCTTGTTTTGCTAGCTATTGATACACAATCAGTTAAAAGATAAGTCAATTTAAAACCTTATCTTTGTTGCAATGTAGTTGAAATTACAGGTACTAATAAAATGTCAGTACATAGACTGACTGTTGCTTCATAGAAGAGCAAAGCTATGCAAATTGTGCTTTCTTGATTAATTTCTCCCAAATAGTGCAGTCAGAGAACTTGTCAGTTTTCTCAGGCAGCTTGTGGCTATTTTCTTTCTTTAGATAGTTTCCTTAATGTGCTGAGGTTAAGCAGCTCTTTGTCTGTTACCTGCTTATAAGTGCTTACTGTTTCCCCAATCTGTAAGAGTCAGTGTGTAATAAGGAAGTAAAAAAACCCCAAAACCCAAACCAACCCAACCCCTCTCAAAACCTGAAACCAGGCAAAAAAGGAAACCCCAACAACACACAAAGCAGACTTGGATATGAAAATTGCTGAAGGGATTATTGTTACTGTCATTTGACCTCTTGTTCTTCTCTCTCTCAGATTTTTAAAATGTGTCTTTAGCCCATTTTGTTGTTTAAAGATGCAAGTGTCAAGAACTCTTTAGTCTGGGGCAGTTCTATCAGTCCAAAAGGTTTAATCAGGTCTGTAAAGTGAAGTGTTACGTTAGAATTCTTAACAGCATAGTTTTACAAAGTAGGGCAGGCTTCAGTACCCTGTCCAGGCCCTGAACCTTCAGAATCTATCACAGGTTGTGTCATCTTACTTTTCTTTTCCAAGTGAATGTTCTAGAAAAAGCTCAGACCTCTAGCTGCTTTGTTCTTCAAGTGTTTCAACAGAAACATCCAGGTTTTCTAAAAATCTAACTTTTCTGAATCTGATGTTTACCTGAGAATACTTCAAGAACAATGAAAGAATGCTGTAGTATTCTAGAAATGGCTGAGGTACCAAAGTTAAGAGAACCAAAAGCATTGTGGCTGTCTTTATTACTAATTTTGAAGGACAGGGAGAATTAGCGATGACAGGCCAGTCTGCTTCCTTTTGAATTCCTGAAGAAAATCTGGAACAAAAGCTATTTGTAAGCATCCAAAATATAGTGATTGAGTAAAGGACAGCATCAGTTAAGGACAAATTCCTTAATTCTTGAAGTAATCTGACTTATTTCACTGATAGGCCTACTGTAGATAAGAGGGTCAGTTGATGTCTTACGTTTGGTCTGTAATAGGACAGGACATTATATTCTGTTTTTGTTGGAGAAGAATGGTGGAAACAGCTACTGTTGTGAGTAAGGCCAGCCTCATCAACTACTCTTCATGATATTTGCAAAGAGTTTCCATAATGAAATAATGTGATTGTGATAACTTAAAAAGGCTTGAAGGAATAAAAGCTTGAGGGAATTTCAGACCTTTTTGAGTGTGGTAGTGGAAACCAAAATGCCTTGAAGATTCAGAAGCCTGCAGGAGAGGAAAGGGTACAAATCAGTACAGTTTTGTGCCTGCTCTTAAGTTAGTCTTTCTGATTAACTACAGAAATACTGGATAGAGAACAGTGTGGTGTTTCTTAGAGGGAAATAATTTGGAGGGAATAATAAGCTGAGTACATGAAGGGTGTATCACTCGGGTTATACTTCTTTGATACGTTTCAGTAAGGCATGTGAAGCAATGTTTACCCTCAGTTCAGGCCTTCTCAGGCACTAGCTGGGATGCTGCCTGGGTTCCAGCTCATTTCAGGAGTGGGTGAACTGAGTATCCAGAGCAACAATGAGAAATCTGCAGAAAGTGTGATATTAGACTGACTGGGAAGGATTGAAGCACCAATTACATTAGTTTGCAAAATAAACAATCTGGTGGTAAAATGCTTTCCTTCAAAGTTTGAAAAGAATAAAACTGTGGTACATTCTGATCTCAGATTTCTGATAGCAGGGTATTGGAGAACATTTTAGTGAGACCAGGGTCCCCTGTTCACAGATATGCTGTACTCTGTGTAGCTGTTCTTTAAGAATGTAATATAGGAATGTCTTTGTTGTTAAATTTCATGCTCTATATGAATGCTCAAAGAAAGTGTGGCTTTTTTATTTTCTGCTGCTTCATTTATTAACTTGTTTCTGTACCAGGCAGATTAGTTAGCTCATTTGTAATGTAGATGGTTGTGAGTGGTTAGTCTTGACGTTGGCATGGTAATCCAATATTGTTGATAGTTTGGAGTCTCCAAGGCAATTAAGTGTGAACTGAGCTTGCAAAGAGTTATTGACAGGGTTTGGACTCTAGAGGATTTAATGTCAGAATCTTGAAATGTATGTCCTATATTGGGATAATCAAACTTCCATTAGTGCAGTTAAAAGCTTTCTGATTTTGTATGTGTCTGAAACAAAGTAAGGAAGTCCTAAGCCTGCAAAAGAGTTTTGCCTTTTATTGGTTAAGTTGCACTTCAGTGCCAGTGTTTCAGATTTTGATCTTATATTAATCTGTAGCTGCCTTACTCTCCAGAAACAGAGTGTGCTGATATTCTTCCCCTCAGAATGAGGAATTTTGTAACTTTTTGCCATTGCTTGATGGGAGCATGTTCTATGCAGCGGAAGGTTGTGCAGTATGAGAGAACTCTTCTCAAGTACTTTATTGCTCTCAGGAGAACATTCTTTAGGGGATCAGGAATTTTAGCCAGATGATACTAGCATGCCATGCACTAATAGCGAGAAACCTGCCTAAATAAAACAAAGGAAGAGAGCTATGGGAGAGAAACTTACCTTTCTTTGCAGTACCAACCAAGTTCAGAGGCAAATACTGCTTGCTACAGGAAGGTATGACCTTATACCCTGCAGTAATGTATATTAAGGTCTAATTCTAGTAGCATGGATCCCAGATATATCTGTCCCATTAGGCAGGATTGACTTCACAGTAAGAGCTCCTCTCAAGCATTCCATATATCACCTTGTGGATTTTTTTCAGTTTAAGCTATGTGTGTGGAGAACTAGTTTTAAGTGGTTTCTATCTAAAAATTTTCAAATGTAATTTTGAAAATGTCTGTTTATTATTTCAAAACAACTCTTATTTGTCATCAGTTGCAGTCTGGAAAAAAAAAAATAGGCCTTTCATTTTGTATGTTGAAATTGAAATAGGAACCAGGTCAAGAACAGAAGAATGTAATTTGCACGTGCAAAGTTGCTTTTGCCTTTGAAAGTGAGCTAAGTTTTGGTGGAATTCAATTCCCATCTCTCCATCTCTATTTTTTATCACATTCATTATCTTTTTATGTTCCTTTTGTAAGTTCCCTCATGGTAGTTACAGTATACCATATTACACAAAAACTTTTCACCTTCTGTTTTGATAGCAGCTTTTTAGGAGTGACTATAGTAAAAAATTGTGTAGGTGTGACTAACGGAGGGTATGCTTATCAGGGTTTAAGCCCAGCCAGTAACTCAGAACCATGCAGCTGCTCACTCCCCCATTTCTTCCTCCTCCCCCCCCCCCCCCGAAGGGGTGGGAAGGAGAATTGAAAGAATGTAACTCCCATAGGTTGAGATAAGAACAGCCCAGTAACTAAGGTGTCACACAAAACTATTACTGCTACCACCAATAATAATAATGATAAAGGAAATAACAAGGGAAGAGAATACAACGGCTCACCAGCTGCAGACCTATACCCAGCCCAACCTGAGTAGTGATCTTGCCCTTCCGGGTAACTGCCCCCAGTTTCTATACTGGGCATGATGACGTGCTGTGGTATGGAATACCCCTTTGGCTAGTTTGAGTCAGGGGTTCTATCTCTGCTTCCTCCCAGCTTCCCTTCCTCCCTTTCAGAGCATGAGACTCAGAAAGTCCTTGGTCAGATTAAACATTACTTAGCAACAACTAAAACCAGTGGTGTTCAGTGTTGTTTGCAGGCTGAAACTCAAAAACACAGCACTGCACCAGCTACTAGGAAGGAGAAAAATGACTGCTACTGCTGCACCCAAGACAATGCTGTATTATTTTTTTGTTTACATAGTATAAGGTGTGGGTACAAATGGGCACCTACATATGTCAGAAAGCACTGCCTTCGTAAAGTAATAATATTTATTTTCCATTCATTTTTTGTTGGAATTTGCTATGATAGTATAAATACAAGAGACTGCTTTCTGAGGAAGCAACAATGGTACAACAGAATAGACAAGGAATTGCTTAGAATATGTGATTGAGAAATAGGTTAGCTATCCCAGATTTACAAATGATTTAGCCAAAATGTGGAACAGGCAGATAGCACGGGGGTGCTTTGGCCTAACAGAAATGCTATTTATTTGATAAACATGTTAGATAAAAGACAGAAGATAAAAAGGATGTGCATCTTTGCTAAGAAACAGCAAAGTAACTCCAGATATTTTCAGAATATGGGATGCTTTGTGTATAGCAGCCAATATGGAGTAAACAGACTGCTCTTACTATTCTGAAATTAAATGTGAAAGTAACAAAATTGGAGAGAAAAAAAAAAATAAAATTGTCCTATGTGTCCTAAAAGAAGTACTAGCATCGCAAACTTGGGAATTTTGTAGTGGAAGGAAGACACATCTCACTGCTGAGTGCCGTCATCCATAGCAGATCTCCTTAAGCAGTATACTGAGAGATTAGTAGAAGAATAAGTTTATTCAAACAAATTCTGAAGGGATTTAAAAGTCAACTGAGGAAATCTTTTAGCAATAGCATCTAAAAGAAAAAAAAAATAATCTGTCAAGTTCCAATGAATAGTGAAAGCACTGAAAATACAGCAGTGGGGAAGCCATAGCAAAACATACCCTATTTCCATTAAATCAAACTAGCTATAATGGTAATCCTGATAGAGAAGCAAGTCAGTCTGACCAGAGTAATAAGCTTCTGTTTATTTATAATGTGTGAAGTGCTGTGGTAAAAAGATGCTTATTAAAAAAGGTCAGAAGCAGTTTAATTGACAATGTGACAAGTCAGTAAAGTTTAATAGATTTGTGCAGCTTACTGGCCCTTTGCATAATGGCACTGGTACTAAGTTTGTAGATGCTTCTAGCCATCCTGAATGTAACACAGAGTTAACTAAACCCAGAAGTATAAGCAAACCGACAATGTATCATGGCCAGATTAGTAACAAATTAGTTGAAACTTTTGTTTCTATGAAGAACACCAGTAGGCAGGTGAATTAGCTAGCATGTTACCTTTTACCATATGAAATTTGAAACCTAAAAGAGGTACATCACAAATAGGCACAACATAAACTGTACTGTACTTTTATGCTCTCTTAAGTCTGAGTACAGCATTTAAATGCATAGTTAAGGAACAGTTTATTAAATAATGTTGCTCATTAGCTTTCCAGAAACATTAAATTTAAACATGTAACCCTTTGTCCAAATTTGCTGATTTCTTCTAAAAGAAAAAAAAAATCAGAATAGATGCATGTATGTATGTATGTATTTATTTATTTATTACTGGACTTAAGCATTATGTTTATAATCTTATTTAAGGACAGAGATTTGACTTCTGGATCTATTGTATGTCAGGTAGATGAATGAGAGGTGAGATGAATATGTTGCTAGAAATGACAAAATTGGAATGACATGATATTTTGATTTCTCCAGAGAACTTTAGAACACCTTGCTAAAAATCTTGTTCTTCGTCTGATCAGAACTCTTGTGTGAAGTAAGAAAAGTCTAGTTACGGGTTAACAAATGTTTGTTAAACAACTCCCTTCAGCATAAATTTCTTCCAGAGATTTTAATGTAACTAAATGTCTTTTTGTCTTACAGTTCTGATCTGCCTTTTTAAGTGAGCTGCACTGTGCAGCTGTGGTGAACACTCAATAATGAGTGGGGCAGCATTGGGCCTTGAGATAGTATTTGTCTTCGTTCTGGCCTTATTCCTACTTCATCGGTATGGAGACTTCAAGAAGCAGCATAAGCTGGTGATCATAGCAACATTATTGGCTTGGTATCTCTGCTTTCTTATTGTATTTATACTGCCTCTGGATGTCAGTACGGTAAGAGAGTTGTGAAATTTCCTGCTTAGTTGTGTAAAATGTGTGGGGTTTTTTTAAACACAACAATTTCTTAAACAGCAAATAAATTTCCCAAAAAGTATCTTACTAAAATAAACACTTGTTACCTTTTTGTATGACAGCATCTGTGCTTACAACTAATGTTACTTTTTGTTGATCTCACCAGATAAAAAATATATTTTAGATGCTTTAAAATTTCATTATTTGCTTATTAAAAAAATAAATTATCTCTTTAGGTAACATAAAAACACTTCCAGTGTTTTTACTTACTTGTCCTGCAGATTGCATGTTGTTTTGAGGGTTTATTAGTATATTTGCTCCAAATGTAGTATAGAAAATGACTTTTAAAGTGGGTCTTATTATTTTTAAATAAATGTTATACATTTTTGATCACTGATGTAAAATTAATTGTCTTTTAGACTATTTATAATCGGTGCAAACTTGCTGTGAATTCCAGCCCTGCAGAAAGTAATGGGTCTTATGTTTCTCTTTCTCCAAGGTATGAGCTATATGTTTTCTTCATTAGATAATTTTTCAAGAAGTGTTTTATGATTTTCTTCTTTTAAATGATAGGAGTGCACTCTTGATTTAAAATCTAATAAACAAGGGTTATCTGTGTGGTATGACACCTGAAGATTGTAATGATACAGGAAGGTGAGAGAAGAGGTGAAGAAAAATGCATCTGCATCTACTGGTAGAATTATGCAGTTGTTCTAACTGATTACCTAAATATTCCTTTTATTATTTATTTATATTTTTTAAATCATGCTAGATTTCTTCTGTCGGCTTGTTAAAGCAATAGAACTGTTACTGTGAGGACAGGCCTTGGTGAATGCTCCAGAGTCTTGAAGACTTTAGACCTGAAAGTCTAATTCACATCTTATGAATGTAATTGGTAGACTTGTCTTACATGTAAGCAGTATATCTAATTGCTTATTATAACTGAGTGTGTATATATATATATATATATATATATATATACACACACATAATAATTAGAATTATCTGAAATTTACTGCATTCTACCAGAGTAATGATAGTCTGCTTGCTGTCTTCTGGCAGGTAGGAAGTAATCCCTGAAACATTGTGAATGTAGGCCAGTGTGGGCTCTTTCTGTGGCTGCTCATTCTTTAGCTGTCACTGGCTCTTTCCATACATTGTAGCTGTAGATGTATGCAGTGTAGTTATCTGTAAGACAATTAGAGCATTTGAGGTGTCAGTTGATCCATCCATGCAAAGTATTGCCAGTTCTCTTGCACCACAAATAAGGCTATGTGGTTGTATATTCGTGGAAGAACAGTAAAATGCCAGACTTAGTGACACAACTTTGTACCCTTTATTTAAGACTATGGAGTTTACAATAATTAAGCATACTTAGGTAAATACACAATTTGAAAACTATTCAGTAGCATTTCTATTTACTGACAGTTTCAGAACATGCTGGTGGATGTTGTATTACAGTATATGACTTGAGTATTTCAAATAGCAATATCAGTGTAAGTAATAATTGAGCAGATACTGTGTTGATCCATGTCAGATCTTAAAACTTTAGGTGACACCTGTAGTCACACTATCATTCTATGGTAATTTGATAGTTTTGAAACTAGGCTGTGTACATAAAAACCCATAGCTCAAACTTAACTAGTTCAGCCCTGGAAAACACCAATTATTTCTCAATAAGTAATCTTATTAAATTGAGGGAGTTGCCTCTTGACTCACCATAGCTTTGTTACCCAGGCAGGTGTGGGAATAAAAATGAAGTGCCTTAGAGAGTAGATGTGCACTTTGGGTTTTGCTCTTTCATTTTTTTTTCACTAAAAAGGTTCCTGTGGCTTTTTTGGTCTTCTGAAGCAAGCACAACCTGTCAGAAAACTGTTGGCTCAACAAATCACGGTTGATATAAGCCTGATTAAGAAATAACTAATACACTTTATTTTTCTTTTTTTTAATTGCTAATGCTCTTGGTAGTAGAACTAGGTAATGGGGCCCCTAGATACTTCATAAGAACCTGCTGACTAACTAAAGCTGAGTAGTCTTCTGTCTAAGGAGTTGATTTTTCTTTGCATGAAGAAAGCATTTACTGCCCAAAAAGAAAAAATTATAAGCTTGTATTGCTAATTGTTTATCTCTGTAGACTGTGAGCTACTGGCTTTTTTCTCTAGGAAAGCTGCCTTGTCCACATATATTATGTGTAGTGAGGAGAGCAGTAAGCACTTTAAAGTAGTGATTCAGTTTATTTTCTTCTGAGATGGTTGTTGGTTGACTATGTACTCAAATAGTTGTGTATTCTGTGCTATTTTCAAAGACCTTTCTAGATAGAGGAATTTATAGAAAATGTATTTTATACTTTTGGCCCTAAAACTAACAAGAAGTTTCTATACACTGTTACAGCAAGCAAAAATGCTTCAAACCATGGAGTTACATTCCTAATGGAATTATGCCAGTTTTTTGGCGTGTTGTGTATTGGACATCACAGTTTTTAACATGGTAAGTAAAGCAAAACAACATGGCAAAGACTACAGTATATGTATAGTTTCAAAGTGCAGCTTCTTAACAGTCATAACACATTTTTTAAGAATATATATCACTATTCCACTGACCTGTCTAGTCATGTATTATTTGCTAGCAGTGAAATTTCTCTAATAATTACTGTATTAAATTGAGCATACTTTTTCAGGTGGCAATGTTTTACTCTTGGTTCACTTCTTACAGTTGAAACTGAGAAATTTATACAGAGGTGTTTATGGATAGATTGTCAGAAAAAAATGGGGTTTAGGCAACCAGACAGCAAAATAACTCATTCATAAGTTGATTTTTGAGTAATATTGTAAATAATTTTGTTTTACTGGACATACTCTATAAAGCTATAGATACAGCTGCACCAAACAGGTTGTCTGTGCTTTTGGGTTAGACTGATGTGTGGTTTCATATCAACCTACCATCAAATTATTATTTTTGTAGCTGAGTCAAGAATATCAGAATTGGTAGTGAGTTTTCAATTAACACAGATTTTTCAAAGTAAAGCTAACTGTACTGTTTTTATTTGCAGCATGTTTAAGGTTTGCTGTCAGAGTATTATATCTAGACCAAAACATTGAACTAGTCTGTAATTTAAGCACCCTTATGTCAGTATACAGCCACTGCTAACCTACTGTTTCGTTTTTTTCTTCTTTTTGTCTTTTTTCTTTTTGATTGACTTATGTAATTTGCTTTTGTTTGCTTTCCTCCTAGGATTTTGCTACCTTTCATGCAGTCATATGCTAGATCAGGAGGGTTCTCCATTACTGGAAAGATTAAAACTGCATTGATTGAGAATGCAATCTATTATGGCACTTACTTGCTGATTTTTGGAGCATTTTTAATATATGTGGCTGTAAACCCAAACTTCAATTTACAATGGTAAGAATAATTTTGTAAGGACTGGCATGGGTTCTTACGAAATTGTCATAGGTAATCTCTTCCATATATGAAATGACTGTTTTTATGATAAACAGTTTTAGTTGATCTGATTTTTGCTACTTAGTTGGGAAGTTTTGTTGGCTTTTTTTGTGAAAAGGGGTTTTTTGCCTATTTATAGAAACCTGTTTTGGTTTTCTGATTTTGGCATGTGTGTCAGAGGAGCCCCTTGCATTAGCAGTGGGATATTTTTTTCTCCCTACAAATCCATTTACAAAGTTAGTGCAGAAGCTTCATCAGTGGTGTCAGAATAACATCTTTCAAAAATCCTGTGTCGGTATTTCCTCTGTAGAGCTTCTGTCTACTGTGGATTCTGTTTAAAGGAGATAAAATACTTGGTATTTACAACAGTGCTAATGGCCTTCCATAGTAGACACAATTACCATTATGTAATGTCTCATTGCTTTCAACTTCCTCTTCTGTATACAAATCATGCATTCTGAGACTGTTGCTTATAGTGACTGCCATTTTAGTGTTTCAACCTTTCTTTCAGTAAGTTTGTTAATTTCAGATTGCTTCCTAAAGGAACATACTCCTTGAGAACAAATATTTTCGTTTTCCCTCCAGAGGAGGAAGAAACATGGGAGATACAGAAAAATTGTGGCAGCTTTAAATATGATCAAGTAGCAGACTTGCCCTAGGCAAGAATTACTGGTGATACTAAGCCTGTTGCTTAACCTTGAAATCCCTATTGGTGCATAGATACTTCAGGGTTGCTTTCTTGAGGATGCAGTAGGAGGATGTTTTCTGTTTGGGTGGTTTTTGTTTGGGGGGGGGGTGTTTGAGTTTTGTTGAGGATTTTTGTTGTTTTGTTTTTGCAAAATTTTTTTTTTCCTTAGGAACCAACTTCAGACTATTGGGATAGCTGCTGCAAACACATGGGGTCTCTTTCTTCTTGTGTTGCTTTTGGGTTATGGTTTGGTGGAAATTCCCCGTTCTCACTGGAATGGGGCCAAGAGAGGTTATCTGCTCATGAAGACCTATTTCAAAGCTGCTAAACTGATGACTGAAAAAGCAGATGCAGAGGAGAATTTAGAGGATATTATGGAGGTAAGTAACTAGCTTTCACTATGAAATAAGTGAAGGCTGCTGTTAATCATTTATGAATTTCCTGGTATTGGGCACTTGTAGCACAATGTTCCATTGTGGACTTGAAAACGTGGTGTACATGTTTCAGTAATGTTCATGCAAATTGTGTATGTCTGCTTGTATGTTCTTCTCCTTGCATATTTCTGGAATCTTGAGAAGGGTTTCCAAATTCAGTTTGTGGGACCATGTTATGTGCCTTTGGGAAGAGAATATATAGAATGTTGGGGTTTTTCCAGTCAGTTTATTTTGAGACTGTTTATTGCTATTTGTGAGTGGGCTATAGGATCTAATGCAATTCAAGAACAGAATGAAAATACAACCCATATGAGTAGCTGTTCCCTGTTCTACTGCTATGGTACCGTGGCTTGAAAATAATGCTACTGAAGAGTTTTAGGGTAGGGTAGTAACTGTGGTATATCAACATAAAATAATAGCAGAATCTTCATTCTTTAGTAATAGAAGAAATCTCTATAAACATCTGGGTGGGACATAATCCAAAGCTTACTAGAAAATGAACAAGAAAAACTTGGTTTACAAGGATAGCACTTTGAATAGAATGGAACAGAATAGAATATTTCATTTGGAAGAGACCTACATGATCATCTAATCCAACTGCCTGACTGCTTCTGGGCTGAACAAAAGTTAAAGCAAATTATTATTGTCCAAAACCTGCAGAGGGAGGTACTGATCTCTGCTCCTGGGTATCCAGTAATAGGATGCATTGGAATGGTTCAAAGCTGTGTCTGGGGAGTTTCAAACTGGACAGTAGGAAGCATTTCTCTACTGAAAGGGTGGTCAAAACCTAGAACAGGCTTCCTAGAGAGGTGGTTTATGTTCCAAGCCTGTCAGTGTTTAAAAAGCATTTGGAGAGTGCTCTTAATAACAGGTTTAGCTTTTGGTCAGCCCTGAAGTGGTCAGGCAGCTGGACTAGACGATTGTAGGACCCTTCCAACTGAAAATGTTCTAATCTATTCTGTGTCATTAAATACAACATACTCTGTGCCTTGAGGGCTCTTCTGTGGCTTAAAACCCCAGCATTTTGATGGAGGCACCAGTGCTGGAGCCAGGTGTTGACATTATTGGCTCGCCTGTTTTTTCCCAAGTCTCCTGCCCATTAGTGGGAGAATTGAGGGAGTGGCTGCCTGTGCTCCTCAGTTTTCTAGCATTCTTGCCAGGGCTGTGAAATCTGTTTTAATCAACCTCAGACTTTTTGTGTCTTAGTGCCCCTATGAAAGAGCAGGAATGGATTGCACTCAGAAGGTTGTACCTGTCAGTCTTGTAGTGATAACTCTGATTTGGGCTTAGGGGGGCAGCAAACTTCCCTGAGAAGAGGGTCTTGTACTAGACTGCTGTCTTGTGATAGATTGTCCTTTAAGTCAGGTATGGTAACTGACAGATTCTGAGGTTATGTCATATACAACATAAAACATACTGTGTTGTTAATATATGATAAAACCTTCTTTCAGTGTTTGGCACTTTTTTTTCCCAACTTCTTTTTCTTTCTGTCTAGAAACAATTATACTATAGATTGCACTGTACCTTAGAATTTCTGGCCAATATTTCATTTTCAACCTTCACAGGAAGACTGAACTATGTGAAAATATGTAAGAAATTTTAAGAATGTTGGTGATGACTCTGAGAACTTGATTGCTAATAGTATGAACTGCTGCTGCATCAAATAAATCACAAGATTTTAGCTCTCACCCAGTTTAATTCAGGCTTTTGTTTTTTTCCTTTATCAGGGATTATGAAAACGCAAGAAACTGTAGTGCTAGATGATACTTCAAATTTATTTTTTTTTTATGCTTTTTCCAGTCCAGTGCTCTACTTGATGGGACTGAATATGTTAGGATTGGCTCTTACAGACACTCTTGAGGGATTTTGCTTGTTTTTTATAATCCCACTACATAGTAAGAAATCCTTTTGCCATAGACTGATCATATCTCTTGTGAGACGCAGAGGGAATCCAGATTTACTGAGAGGCATCTGTTAGAACAGCATTTTATATGTGGAAGGACTGTCTATATCTGTTTAGCCTCCTTTGGCACACTAAACAAATACAGTTCTTTTGTCTGCTTGCTCATCCTATTTGACAGTATCTCTAAGCCTTTCCAATTATTCTGTCCTCTAGACTCTATAACTTTTTTGTTGTTGTTGGTTTGGTTTGGTTTGGTTTTTAAAGTGTCATTTGTAACAAGAAACCATCAAAACATTATCCCTAGATTGCCAATAGGATGAAGAATAAAATCTGTTTCTCACTAAGCCTGATAAACTGCCAGAGCCAGTTCTGACACAACTTTTCTAGCTGTTAGGTAGCATCTTTTTATTACCAATAAATGCCAAATGGTTGCAGAATTAAGCTATGTGGAGATAATGTGAGGAAGATATAAAATGAAGAAGTGTAAAATTATATTCATCAAGCTCCTTAATGTAGTAAAACGAAACTAAACCAGGCAAGACAAACTCCTCCTCTTTACCTACAACTAAAACAAGAAAGTATTTTCCACTTCAGCATTCATATGTAGAAACTAGTCCTCCACACATTCACAGAGTATTGTTTGCACACTGGCATAGGTTTATATATATATATTCTTTATAAATACTTCAGTTATCTTTTATTAGATGTCTAGTAAAGCATGGCTTTTAGGAAGCACTTTTGTTTTTAAGCTCTGATGGTTATCTTTTCCATTGAAAGTGCTAGAACTCTTATCTGATCCTGTAAAATGTTTTAATCTATTTAGCAGAATGAAACAAATCTGTATTTTTTTTTTCTTCAACAGGAAGTTCGTAAAGTAAGTGAGAGTATCAAGTATAACCACCCTTTGAGAAAATGTGTTGATACAATACTGAAAAAGGTAACAAATTTCTCATCTCCAGTCATAATTGTTCAATTGGGAGGGGGTGTTCCTGCACCTGGTGAATACTTGTTCATTATTTTCTTTTCCCCTAATATAAAATCTGTAATTGGCATCTTGTGAGTTTCTGACTGGAATTTGAACTTAAATTCTTTGTAAAATGCTTTCTTTTGATGTATTTTGACATATGCAGTATTGAAACAGAAAAATCTACACTTTAAGTGAGCCTTTTGGTTGCATGAAATGCACCAAACATTTACTCATAATTAATAAAGAGTACTTGCTATTCCTTTATCTTCCAGTTAACTTTCACTTGTCTTTCCCAGTGTCCTACTGAGTACCAGGAAAGAATGGGTAGGAATATGGATGATTATGAAGATTTTGATGAAAGACAGAACAGTTATCCAACTGAAAAAAGTTTGGTCAAACTTCACAAGCAGGTATATTAATAAATGAGAGAATGCCTCACTTACGCTTGCATAATGACAATAAATGCTAGTCAAACAAAAAATTTCAATGCACTTTACCTGAATTGCTGAGTACAGTGGGTTTTGAGCTTAACAAAAACTTCTTTCAGTGAAAGAAAGCACAGAAGTTTAATACCCTAGTGATGTCCAGATCAAATTTCTGCATGTATAAAAAATGTTCTCACTCCATTATCTCTTGACATTGTTTTAACTGTGGGTAAGCCTTGTAATGATTGATTGACAGTGTATTCTATAAAAGAAATTGTAGTAAGAGATTGATATTCGGTAGGATGCAGAAAATAAAATGGTATGTTGGAAAAAGTAGACTGTCATTGCTACAGATGGATTGTGGTGAAAATGTTACCATAAAAGTCAGTTATAGGAACTCTCTTAAGACTCAATTTGGAGTTTTAGAAAGCAGGCATTCTTTATTGCAGTGCTGGGCTCACATGCAAATCATTTTGTAGAAGTGAGTGCACCCGTTACTTGCCAGTAGCAGCTATATATTTAGCATATCATGTATATTTATAGAGTTTCCAGGTAATAGTTATAATATTTGCATCCTAATTAAGCATGCTCTTTGTTGCTTGGTGGGGGTCTGGTGGTCACTGATAGTCTTCCTCACTATGTTTATTAAATGACCTCAGTGCGTCTGCACACTCACAAAGTTCTGCTGCTGAGTTGGCACTTGGTATGTCCTTGCTTCTGTTTTCTTTCAGTCTCGCTTCACTTTGGGAGCCACTCAGCTATCTTGAAGGCTAGCATCCTTGGTCTTATTTACTGTCTCCTTAGTTGTTATCAGTCCTGTGATGTTCCTTCATGCATCAGCCGAACATTTCTTTCTGTCTAAATGTTAGTAAGTTAGAACAGTTTGGTCTGTTCTACTATGTTAAAGGCAAACACAATATTGTTAGTTTAAGCCTACAAAAGAACTTCAAAACACAGGAAGCATGTAGGTACTCCTTTTATGATTTATGTGTTTGGATAGTTAATTACTGGCTTCTGTTAATATACAGAAGTAATGTTTGCAATCCTGCAAAATAGACATCTGTAAGGGATTTTGCAAGGCTTTTCTCGCATTTCTTGAAACAAGTATGTTGTAACCATAATTTCTTGGAATTTATTGTAGGTAATCTATTCAGTACAGAGACATCGTCGTACACAGGTCCAGTGGCAAATTCTTTTAGAACAAGCATTTTACCTAGAAGATGTGGCAAAAAATGAAACCAGTGCAACTCGACAGTTTGTTCATACATTTCATTCCCAGGAACCAGAGAATAAAATCACTCAGTATTTCTACACACCAACAGTTGGTAAGTGCTGTAATGCAGATTTTGAATATGTAGAGGAGTAAATGGTACTGTTCCATAAGAAGAATTTATTTTTTTATGTAAAAGGTTCAGTTGCAGTAGAGGGAAACAAATATGCATCTTAATGCATTTCTGTAATGGAATAGGTATCAGTTACTGATCATAGAATCACAGAATAGTTAGGGTTGGAAAGGACCTCAAGATCATCTAGTTCCAACACCCCTGCCACGAACAGGGACATCTCACACTAAACCATGTCACCCAAGGCTCTGTCTGACCCGGCCTTGAACACTGCCAGGGATAGAGCATTCACAATTTCCCTGGGAAACCCATTCCAGTGCCTCAGCACCCCTACAGTAAAGAACTTCTTCCTTATATCCAATATAAATTGCTCCTGTTTAACTTTTAACCTGTTACCCTTGTCCTATCACTACAGTCCCTAATGAAGAGTCCCTCCCCAGCATCCTTATAACCCCCCTTCAGATACTGGAATGCTGCTATGAGATCTCCATGCAGCCTTCTCTTCTCCAGGCTGAACAGCCACAACTTTCTCAGCCTGTCTTCATACGGGAGGTGCTCCAGTCCCCTGATCATCCTCGTGGCCTTCCTCTGGACTTGCTCCAACAGTTCCATGTCCTTTTTATGCTGAGGACACCAGAACTGTATGCAATACTCCAAGTGGGGTCTCACAAGAGCAGAGTAGAGGGGCAGGATCACCTCCTTTGACCTGCTGGTCACCCTCCTTTTGATGCAGCCCAGGATATGGTTGGCTTTCTGGGCTGCAAGCATACACTGAAGCCAGCTCATGTTCATTTTCTCGTCTACCAACACCCCCAAGTTCTTCTTCGCAGGGCTGCTCTGAATCTCTTCTCTGCCCAACCTGTAGCTATGCGTGGGACTGCTCCAAACCAGGTTTAGGACTTTGCACTCAGCATGGTTAAACTTCATAAAGCTGGCATCAGCGCACCTCACAAGCGTGTCAAGGTCCCTCTGGATGGCATTCCTTCACTCCAGCGTATCAACCGAACCACACAGCTTGGTGTCATCGGCAAACTTGCTGAGGGCGCACTCAATCCCACTGTCCATGTCAGCGACAAAGATGTTGAACAAGATTGGTCCCAACACCGATCCCTGAGGGACACCACTCATTACTGGTCTCCAGGCGGACATTGAGCCATTGACCACAACTCTTTGTGTGCAGCCATCCAGCCAGTTCTTTATCCACTGAGTGGTCCACCTATCAAATTATGTCTCCAATTTAGAAACAAGGATGTCATGCGGGACAGTGTCAAATGCTTTGCACAAGACCACATAGATGACGTCAACTGCTCTACCCCTGTCCATCAGTTCTGTAGCCCTATCATGGAAAGCCACCAAATTGGTCAGGCAGGATTTCCCCTTAGTGAAGCCATGCTGGCTGTCACCAAGCACCTTGTTGTTTTTCATGTGCCTTAGCATACCTTCCAGGAGAATCTGCTCCAAGATTTTTCCAGGCACAGAAGTGAGACTGACTGGTCTGTAATTTCCTGCGTCATCCATCTTCCCCTTCTTGAAAATGGGGGTTATATTTCCCTTTTTCCAGTTGTCAGGAACTTCACCTGGCTGCCATGATTTTTTAAATGTGATGGCCAGTGGCTTAGCGTCTTAATTCGCCAAGTCCTTCAGGATCCGCAGCTGGATTTCGTCAGGTCCCATGGACTTGTGCACTTTCAGGTTCTTAAGATGGTCTCAAACCAGATCCACTCCTATAGTGGGCCCAAGGTCTTCACTCTCACAGTTCCTGCATCTGCCTTCCAAGCCTTGGATGGTGTGGTCAAAGCATTTGCCAGTGCAGACTGAGGCAAAGAAGTCCTTAAGAACCTCAGCCTTCTCCAAATCCAGGGTAGCCAATTCTCCTGAGAGCTTCCTGAGGAGCCCACGTTCTCCCTAGTCTGTTTTTTATTTGCTATGTACCTGTAGAATCCCTTCCTGTTATCCTTAATATCCCTAGCCAAGTTTAAATCTAACTGGGCCTTAGCTTTCCTAACCTGGTCCTTAGCTTCCCAGACAACACCCCTGTATTCTTCCCAGGCTGCCTGTCCTTGCTTCCACCTTTTATAAGCTGCTTTTTTCCTTCTAAGTTTCCTCAGCAACTCCTTATCCATCCATGGAGGTCTGCTGGCCCTCCTGCTGCACTTCTTTCTAGTTGGGATGCAACATCCATGAGCTTGTAGCATGTGATCCTGAAATATTAGACAACAGTTTTGAGCCCCCCTGCCGTCTAGGGCTATATCCCATGGAACCTCACTAAGCAGGTTCCTGAAGAGGCCAAAGTCTGCTCTTTTGAAGTCTAGGGCAGTGAGCTTGCTGCACACTCTTCTCACTGTCCTGAGGATCTCTAAGTCGACTACCTCATGATGGCTACAACCAAGGCTGCCCTGGAGTGTCGCATTTCCAACGAGCCCTTCCCTGTTGGTGAGCACAAGGTCAAGCATGGCACCTCTCCTTGTCGGCTCCTCTGTTACTTGCAGAAGGAAGTTGTCTTCCACACAATCGTGGAACCTCCTGGATTGCTTGTGTCAGGCTGTACCGTCCTTCTAACAGATATCAGGGTGGTTCAAGTCCCCCATGAGGACAAGGGCCTGCGAGCATGAGGCTGTTGCTGTCTGTCTATAGAGAGCTTCATCCACAGAGTCCTCTTGATCAGGTGGTCTGTAACAGATCCCCACAGTAATGTCCCCCGTACCTGTTCTTCCTCTGACCCTGACCCACAAACTCTGTTAATTGATCACCTGTCCCCAGACAGAGTTCCATACTCTCCAGCCTATCCCTAATATAAATAGCAACTCCCCCTCCCCGTCTGCCAGGCCTGTCTTTTCTAAAGATCCTGTAACCTTCCATTTCAACACTGCCGTCATAGGAGCCATCCCAATGTGTTTCTGTAATACCAGTGATACCATATCCTCATTGACATGCACACGTCTCTAATTCCTCTTGTTTGTTCCCCATACTACAGGCGTTTGTATAGAGGTGTCTGAGCTGAGCTCCAAATGAAGCCAGGTCATTGGCTGGAGCAGCTGAAATATCTTTACATCGCTCTGAGCATTTATTATAGGTGCTGGCAACTGACTGGGTGTGTTGGGATGGAATGATGCCCTGCATCCCCCAACACATCTAGTTGAAAGCTTTCTTGACCAGCCTGGCAAGCCTCCTACCAAATCAGCTTCACCAGCTTCCAGTAGACCTGGCCATCGAGTCCAATGTTCTAAATACCCAAACCCCTGACTATGGCACCATTGTTCTAATCAGTTATTAACCTGCCAAATCCACCTGGCCTTTTTAAGGTACTCCCCTTTATCCTGGGGAATTGATGAAAAGACTGAGCTCCAGAGTCCCTAACCACCTCTCCCAGGGCTCTGTAGTACTTAATGGTCTCCAGACTACTGCTATCTGTATCTAGCACCCACTCAGTAGGACTTATTAGACCAGGCAACCTCTCTGCAACATAAATATTGTTTTTATATATAATATATGTATACATATATGTATATAAAGAGTCTAAACTTAAAAGCAGTTGCATGTTGTAATAGCAAACTTTGAAGCCTTAGAAGAAAGAAAACAAATAATTAAGTTAGCATCTGAAATTACTGGATCACATGTTTGGAACATTACTGAGATGGCACCACTCTTCCAGTAAAGCAAAAAGAGAAAGATTCTCTGTCCGTCATGTACTGAACATAAGGAGTTGCAGTTGCTTGTTAATCTTTTTGGAAAGTGCCTTTTCCCAGTCATGGTTCATCTTCTAATTTGTTGTGCAGTAGCAATGGTTATTTCCCGGGTAGGACAGCATTGTTTTAAAGTCTAAGCTTTGTTTCTGAGAGGGTAACAGATGAACAAACAAAAAGTGGATCACTTGTAGTATCTGTGCCAAACGTGAAGAGCTCTGTTCTGCACACCCCACTCTTCCCAGTCCATTTGCAAAATTTGCCTCCCAGATTCCACCCTGTTTCCTCCTGTTTTGCACATGATTATTTAGGGCTGAGCCAGATCTCTAGGCTTTGGAAGACCCCTAAAATTAAGTGTGTGACCCTGTAGATTCTGGTCTTCATTTTAAAGGCGTGTGTCCAAAAATTTCGTGACATTTTTTGTGAGGGAGTTCAGTTTCTGATAGTGTAATTTTTATTAACCCTTTCTGGTTGTATGTGTGTTGTTTTTTCCAGAGTGGTACTGGGAATGTCTTCTACGACCATGGTTTTACAGGGTGCTTGCTGTTGTTCTGGCCACATTCTCTGTCATTGTTGTGTGGTCAGAGTGCACCTTTTTCAGCACAAAACCAGTTTTATCACTGTTTGCAGTTTTCATACAGCTGGCAGAAAAGACATATAATTATATATACATAGAGGTAAGTTTGAAATAATCAGTCAATAAAAATCTTTCACGTAATTTGTTACCGCAACATTAGACCAGATTTATTTAAAAATAAGCCTCTAAATAATCTGTCAACTCTTAGAAGGTCTCTAAAACATGTATCACCATTGTTTCTGTGGTGTGAGTCAGCCTTTTGCCACTTTCTTAAAACTCTCCAATGCAGGATGAGGGTGTGATCCAGTTGAGCTGAATCTCATGTGTGGAGTAATGCAGGAAACCTTAACTTGAAGCTTTGTGTTAAATCAGCTGTGTGTGACCTGTCTTTCCTAACCAGGAATTTGCTGCTGACCAGAAATACAGCCTCAGGTGTAGCTAGCATACACATGTACAAATTTATCAGTAAAGGAACTTGTCCTGGGTTCAGCAGTAGCAGTCATTTTTCTCCTTCTTGGTAGCTGGGGCAGTGCTGTGTTTTGACGTTCGGCCTGGGAACAGAGCTGATAATGGTGATGTTTTGGTTTGGCCAAGGACTTTGTGAGCCTCATGCTCACAGAACTGAGCTGAAAAATTCCGGTATACTAACAAAATAGGTCGAATTGAGAACACTCATTTTTATCCCTTTTTGTGGGAGGAAATGCCAAATTATCATAGTAATTATCAAGGTAATTACAGCAATTTCATTTACACAACAAGAAGTAGAATTAATATTCCTAGTGTTAGTTGCCATTATGTGAAATGCAGGATGTTGCAAATATAATTCTTAATTTAAATTGGTGAAAAAAACTCGTGAAGTTTCTTAGAGCAGGTGAGAGCTGGTGTTACTGTCCCATCTCAAAATAAAAAATTAGACTGCAGTCAACCTATTGCCTGCACAGACTATGTGCTGAATGCATTAAAACCTTTAGTAGAGTTCTACATTCAAGTGACTTTTATTTATTTTTTTTCCCAGATGGCCTGTTTTCTTACCATCTTTTTCTTAAGTATCTGTGTTTATTCTACTGTCTTCAGGATCCGTGTATTTAACTACTATTACTTAGCTTCACATCATCAGACAGATGCATATAGTCTCCTTTTCAGTGGCATGTGAGTATGTGGCATATATTTTGCAGATTTTCTGTCAGATACTCAATTGAAGGTGTCCATGAAAGTTTAGTTTGTATTCTTTCATTTATAAACATATAGGTATAAATCCTAATGATCTATACATCATTATTCTGTGAAATATCAAGTTATAATTTGTGAATATCATTAGTCCAGTAAATTGTTTTAAATGCTGTTGCTTCTTGTATTTGTGCAGGTTATTTTGCCGTCTTACTCCACCATTATGCTTGAACTTTTTGGGCTTGACCCACATGGATGCAACAATCTCTCACAAAAATACTCAGCCAACTGCTTATACATCTGTAAGTACAGAAAATGTGGGTTTGAGCCATCTATGTGATTTGGAAACTAGGCACAATATTTTAAAATATTTCTTATATTGAGATATTAAAGTATTTTCATTGCTATTACACAGGTAGACATACTTATAGTTCAGTAGTGATTGCTAGGAGTCATCAATAGTTCCATTTTTCTGTTTAGGTCTCTTTATTCTAAGAAAGTAAAGTTTTATTGTGAAGAGTTCAGACTGTTCTTCACTTCTTCAGAGCTCTAGCTTCCTCTGGTTTTAGCATATGGGGCATTTTTATAGACTAGGAGCGAACCTAACTTGCCACTAAAAAGTGAGTTTGGGATAACTGAACCACAGTTTCCGCAGGACAGCAGGTTACATCTCACATCTTTGTTGTTAGCAAGTGGATTCTTAGTGTTGCCCAGAGATACCTTTCACAGCAGATGAAGAAAGATTCACCAGATTTGAACTGGTTCTGGATTAGGTGAGACAAGATCAAGCATCTTGGAAACCTCGGAAGTGGATACACTGCTAGAGGCAGCCTTTATATCTGCTTATTCTGGGTCAAGTGTCTGAAGCAGATCTGTGATAATGATATTGACTGATTTTCAGTAAGTGTAAAGGATTCTGTGTTTGTGTGTTGTGGACTGAAAACAGGAAGATGGGACAGTCTTTATGGATATATGTAGAAAAAACTTGATTAGAGCTTGTTTTTGGAATTTTTTTTTCCAGATAATGGGATCCATGAGGGTGCTGTCCTTCATTGCAGATGGATTTTATATATATTACCCAATGCTTGTTGTCATTCTCTGTATTGCCACATACTTCAGGTAAGTGATGTGCAAGACAGATCCTCTGTGTTTCTTTACATTAATAATACTAGTTTCAGTGATCAGTGAGATATTCTCTTCTCCTTTTCCAGCAGTTATGAAATAACGAAAATGCAAAACCTAAGCCAATACCTAGCTATTTATATATGTGAAATGTACACATTTCAAGAACATTTATTATATTAACTCGTAACTGAGTTGTGGGGGCTTTTTCCCCATTAAACTTCATTCTTAGATTTTGAGGTCAGATCTGTTCAGACTTTGGAGCCTGCAGACATTTAGATTCTGCTTTTGAGATTCATTAGGGACTGTAGTGACAGGACAAGGGGTAAGGGGGATTGGATATAAGGAGGAAGTTATTTCCTGTTAGGGTGGTGAGGCACTGGAATGGGTTGCCCATAGAAGCTGTGAATGCTCCATCCCTGGCAGTGGTCAAGGCCAGGTTGGATGAAGCCTTGAAGCCTTGGGTGAGATGGTTTAGTGTGAGGTGTCCCTGCCCATGGCAGGGGGTTGGAACTAGATCTTCAGGTCCTTTCCAGCCCTAACTATTCTATGATTCTATGATTAAAATTACCATGAGCAAACTGTGTTTTCAGCAAGGTTTTCTAATATATTAAGTAGCATTAGCTGAAACTGTAGTTAATAAACTTTCTAATTGGTACAACGGTTTTCTGATTCATACCAGACTTCAGTTTGAAAATACAGTGGTTTAAATCATTTGATCTTGTTTCCCAAAGGCACAATTTCTTGGCAGCTGTAAGGGTAGTTACAGAAAATACTGTTATATGTATTATGTTGTATGTTTGCTTTTTCAAACAAAAAAAAAAATTTTCAAAATGTTTGCTTTTGAGCTCTGTAATGGTTGAGATACTTTAGGTTTGCCCAGCTGTGTTTATGTTCACTTCCTCAATTTTGCGTGACTCATGTAGATTGTAGCGAAACACCTTGATCTGTCCATAAAACCCTACTTGCATCCATATGTAATAAGACAACAAGGATCCTGTCCTTATTTTTGCATGCTTACTTTTAGGTTAGGTTACAAAAATGGTGGTGGAGGGAAAAAAAAAAAACCCAACAAGCAAAAAAGCCCCCCAAAAACCAGTGTAGCCAACAAGAAGAAAATTTGTGTGACTTGTTGTCTGTGACCCTGGGTCTTGAATGCCATAGTGAAAAGGAAGAGAAGAAACCAAGGAGAGGAGCTTGCTTTGCGAGGACTTTACTGCCCTCTAATAATTCAGATGCATGCAAAACACTAAGTAAAATCTATCAAGGAAAGCTGTTTAATGCAGCAGTCTTAAAGTTCAGGTAGTATAGGAAAAAAAAGCTTTTAAGCATAAATATACAATGAAGCCAACTTTGAACATGATACTGATACACCAGTTTGGAGAAAAGCAACAACAAAACCAGCAGTTGTGTTCTCAAGTGTAAAGTTGAAAAGGTGAAAGTGGTTTAATGCTGTCAAATTCAAGGACAAGGTTAAAAAAAATGGAGCAGGCTTTTTATCTGACTGCTGCCTAATGTGTATTCAGCCAGCATCCCTGCAGCGTAAGAATATGCCACATGTTTCTGCTGAGTGAAGCCTGAAATAAAGGTGGCTTTCCTGTTACTATTGTTTCAAAACCACAGATATCTTAATAGGCGGAATTTTTGTAGTAATTGTCTTCTGGCAAAGAAGAGTCAATGAGATATCATGGGTATAAATTTTGTTATATCTGAGAACATTTCAAGCAATTGTCTTATCTTAAATCACTACTCTCAAGACTATAGACAGTGTTATTCCTCAGTCTGAATAAGAGTATTCCATCACTTTCAGTTGGATATATGAACATGTCACTGTTGTGAATTTTCTGATTTCTCAATATAATAATGTGTCTTTTCTTCTATATTGCTTTATTCTCAAATTGTCCATAAATTTCTGAGCAATTTGTTTTACATTTTGCATTGTAATATCTCTTCATTGTAAGTTAACAAACAAAATTGCTTCTCCTGCTTTACCAGTTTAGGAACTCGTTGTTTGAATCTTTTGGGATTTCAGCAGTTCATGGGGGATAACGAAATGACCTCTGATTTGATTGATGAAGGGAAAGAGCTGATCAGAAGAGGTAAGTTGGGTCGTCTATCCTAGTATTCCTATGAAGTATGCTATGTTGTTGCATGAAACTTACTTGAAATGTTGCACAAACTCATTTTAATCTTGCTTTGTGTGGTATGTTAATTGAGCTGCACAAACTCTGTGGTCTCCTTTACAATTTTTTGCTGTTTCAGCTGTCTTTTATCATAGAAAACATGTTGTTCTGTAGAGCTAGAATTATCTGCTGGTTTTGAAAGCTTTTTATTTTTTAATGTAATTCTTATTGAAAGTGTTTTGTGAAAGTTGTTAAAAGCTATGTTTAGAAATTAAAATATTTGGATACAGTTTTATATCATGGAATAATTTTATACTTCTTTCACAGTTATAAAAAAAAAACCTAGATTTTCTTAGAGTGAGTTTCTTTGTGGATTTGGGTTTGGTTTGGTTTTGTTTTTTCTTTTTGAGAGAGATGCATGTCTCTCCTTCCCTTAAACAAGAGGTTACTATGATGCTGGGATGTTACATTTACAGGTGAATAGTAGACACAAACTATTTGGGTCATACTTTGGGCCTCACAGAACTTCAGCAAGATTTTGATTTGATAATGCTCAAGTTCGTTCTTAACATCATATTTTTTCCAACTACTTTTTTTTTTTTTGTTAGCTAGTATCCACACGTCATGCCTTGACCTAAGATACCATCATGATTAATTAATTCTAACAGGAAACTCCATAATTATAGACAAGCAGCTTTGTCTTTTGTTTTCATTTAATGGTATGTGCTATTTATTTCTATATAAGTAAGAATCTTGGCAAGTTAACTTTGGGTTTTCACTGTTTGTTAAAAAATATCGGTAATGATTTTTCTTGTATGGAGCTCAGCTGGTTCTTTTTTTTTCTTATATAGAGAAAAGAAAACGTCAAAGACAAGAAGAAGGTGAAAACAGAAGAAGGGTATGTGTTTGTTTTAGCTAATTACAATATTAATATACTGCAATATCTGATAGGATTTGCCATTGCTGTTTAATTCAGCATGTTCTATGTCACAAAATGTAAGTCGCCAGTAATTGATGGAATCAGTTGAATCTTGGAGAGTAGTCTTGGCTAGGAATGGGGGGGGAATAATTTACATTTTACTTTTAAAGGATAAGAGAGAGACTCTGGTCACACGACTTGGACACTTGTTACTTACTGGGCTGTGAGAGCAGTATATGCCAATAGGTATAATAAGCATTAAAAACAATCCTGATTGCTAGGATGCAGAATAATCTGAAATGGCTTATTATCAGTCTCATGTTGATACTGCTCTGCTTGAAATAACTGCAGTTGCACTGTCATCGTGTTCACCGAAATAGGGACTGTATACTCCTCCCAAACGTACCTGTTGCTTTGTATGTCCTTTGGAAAAGTAATTGACACAGATTTTTGTTTGTTTGCTTGTTTTCAGAGGAGGAAATTACATTTAAGACAAAATTAATACTTTTATCACTGAGTAACAAACAGAATATTTGATGCAAATCAGACTTTCAGTGCATACTGAGTTGAAAAATCTGTGAAGGCAGTCAATATGGATAAAAATAATTCAGCTTCATTTTAAGGAGCGTCAGTTAACTATGGCTTTAGTTTTCCATTTGTTTATAACATTTGGAATTTAGTATAGAAAGTCATGAAGAGATAAATCAAAAGATTCATGTAAAAAATGAACGGACTAAAGGAAGGGAAAAAATGTTATCTGCAGAAAGGTAGGATAATATTGGACTAAAACCTCTTGGCTTTTCAAGCTCAGGAATACTTTAATTCTGGATGACAGCCAGTATAACCAGGACAGACAGGCCTTTCTTCTGATCTAATTCCCATCTCATAATTTTAGTACTTGAACTTACTGTTAAAGAAAATAGTAGCAAAGGCATGATGCATTTAGTATACACTGAAATGATCTGACATTAAGAAACAATTTTGGTTCAACAGCAAACTCGGTTTCAGATGTTACCTGGTTTTTGAGTTTACATTAAATACTGTAGTGCTTTAATTCTTGAAATTCTTTGGGCTTTTGAGAGTATTATCTTTTACTGGATCATGATTAAATGTTTGATCCTTCTGCAGTTTAGAACTAGCATGGCATAAATTAGCACAAAAAACTTTGACTATAGAGTTCTTACCAGCCCATAATCTGGAATCTAGATATGAAACAGAAAGTTATTGGAGCAATTTTCTGGAAAAGTTGCTTTGGAGGAAAAGTTTCTGTTGAGATATGAAGTTGTTTCCTAATAAAAGTATGAGATGTCTAATTCTTTAATATTTCATTACACTTGATACTAAAATGTTTTCATACTAAAACATGATGGAATGGAAACACAACAGGATAAGCTAAGTAAAAACACAGCTTGTTCAAATATTTTTGTGCTGCTTCTGTTTATTTTTCTATTCTACCACTAGATGGAAGTAGAACTTAAAAAAAGCAGCCTTCCCACCATAATTTGGAGCAGTGTAGTGAACTTTGAATGCAGATTTAATATGTAGCTTGTTTTCTGCAAGCCTTTTTTCTAAAGAACTATTACAGTAACTGTTTTAGTGAAGGGATATATCGACTTTAAAATACATACCAAAATTCTCCCTGTATAAAGATACTGAACAGGAACACTTTTAAAGTGTTGGTTTCATAGTCTGATGTAATTGACCAATTAGCTCTACATTGCAGATCTGGAATATATCTTGACCCTCCATAGGCTTTTGTTGTGTTGCTTTTTCCTCACCACTTACATTTCCTTATTTTATCTTTTTTTCCAGGAGTGGAAAGAGCGATATGGAAATAGAGATGATTCCACTAGAAACAGAGTTGTCCACACAGACCAAAAAGAATCCAGTTTCTCAGAGGCCAATGCCAATAGACGTAAGCTTTATGGAGTTTGTGGGGAGTTTGATTTGGTTTATTATTCTAATGTCTTGCCTGCACCACACTGGCTGTGTGAGCAGCTTCAAATACATTCCTTTTTGTCTTAGTTGATGTGGCCATCTTGCCCATTGAAGTCACCTGAAAAGAGTACTGTGTTGCTTCCCATCTTCTGTGCTCCCTCTAGTTGACGTTGGAGATTCTGGCTAGTTTCAACACTTTGGTCTTCTTATGGGACATATAATGGCTGCAATGAGAGTAGCAGTTCTCAACAAAGAGGTTATATTTAGGGTATATCTTGAAGTTTGCAATTTTAAATATTAAATTTACCTCTTGTAGTTGCGAATTAACTCTTCAGATGGGAATAATTAAATTATCAGATGGATGGCCAATGAATGTAAAATCAATAACATATCACATGAGTGTATACATACTCGTTTAATGTCTGTTAGCACAAAACTTTTTTGTGGATGCTTCATACTTCCAAAAAGTTTATTTGTCACAGTCTTAATGTTTTTATATGTATTTTATGTGCTTTTGTAAGCTAATGGCAAATAAGAAATGAAAGTAAAAAAAAAAACAAGGGAAAAGGTGGTGGAGAAAGCAAGCTCTGAACATGCTTCTGAGACAACTCTGGTAGATTTCGCCTCCTCTTTACAGAGTTGCAAACTCATATTTTCAGAGGTAGCCTAACTGTGAGATTATATTAAATTATTAGTATATTCTATACTTTAATGTAACTAAAGGAATATGTAGCATTTCAATACTGAAAAAGCTGTAGGTACTGGCCTAATGAAATGGCAGAGTGAACTGCAAAACCACTGTATTTCATTAGTTCATAAGGTTGCCTTTTCAAAAACAAACAAAACCAAAAAAAAACCACCCAACCCTTGAGCCATCTTAATTAAAGTGGGAGGTTGGGAAGATGAATGGTTGATTGTTCATCCATCTAATTTAAAATTTTTTAAAAAGTTTGCATATAACTTCATAATTTTTTTTCATTCTTACAGAATCATAGAACAGCTAAGGTTGGAAAAGACCTTAAGATCATCAAGTTCCAACCCCCCTGCCATGGGCAGGGACACCTCACACTAAACCATGTCACCCAAGGCTCTGTCCAACCTGGCCTTGAGCACTGCCAGGGATGGAGCATTCACATCTTGCATGGGCAACCCATTCCAGTGCCTCACCACCCTAACAGGAAAGAGTTTCCTCTTTATATCCAGTCTAAACTTCCCCTGTTTAAGTTTTAACCCATTACCCCTTGTCCCACCACTACAGTCCCTAATGAAGAGTCCATCCCCAGCATCCCTATATGCCTCCTTCAGATACTGGAAGGCTGCTATGAGGTCTCCACGCAGCCTTCTCTTCTCCAGGCTGAACAGTCCCAACTTTCTCAGCCTGTCTTCAGGTGAGGTGCTCCAGTCCCCTGATCATCCTCCTGGCCTTCCTCTGGACTTGTTCCAACAGCTTCATGTCCTTTTTATGTTGAGGACACCAGAACTGTATGTAATACTCCCATGTGTGGTCTCACAAGAGCAGAGTAGAGGGGCAGGATCACCTCTTTTGACCTACGTGTCATGCTGCTTTTGATGCAGCGCAAGATACAGTTGGTTTTCTGGGCTATGAGTGCACACAGCTAGCTCATGTTCATTTTCACATAAACCAACACCCCCAAATCCTTATTAGCTATTTATTTACTTAGCACCATTTTAGCCACCAAGGGCACCCAGGTGTCTGCACAGAGCTACACAGGCCTTATGTGTGCTCTCCTTGGAGAGGAGCTGAAGGGATGGCAGAATGCCTAAAGGTTCCAGACAGGCAACTTAACTACACTAAAGCTGTCCCTCCCATAGAATTACAGCATTGTAAGAACATTCGAAGTAAAAAAACCCTGTTTGGGTCATCTCAAATGCCTGCTGGTCCAGTCTTTTAATAGCCACAGCGGCCAGGAGCCCCCACTGGGTTTGTCTGTACAGTTCTTCCTGCTCTGCCCTCCAGCAAGCAGCCATTTCCTAGCTTCCTGAGCTGGAAGTTGCACGTATAGTTATTCTCCCTGAGTTTTGCTAGCCCCTCTTTGAACCCATTAATGCATCTCACATCTCACAATAACAAGCACTGAGATGTCATATTCTGCAGGTCATATGTAGTGCTGCAAGCAGCTGTTCAGATTCTGGGGCATCCTCTTTGCTGGCTGATGACTGCAGGGCAAGAGGGGATGTGGTTGGCAAAGTCCAGCAAGACTGTCTCTGCAAGTGGGTTTGCCAACATTGTGAGCAGGGCTTTAAGGGGATTTGCTGGGACTCATGACCAAAGCCTGAAGAGAAAAAGAGGCATGGGGTGGCCCTAACCCTTTGCATCTGATAGCAGCACTGCTGGCAAACAAGTCGAGTTCCTGCAGAGCACAGACACAAATGCACAAGAAGAACAGAAGGAATTAAGAGTCTGAACACATTCCTCCTTATCCTGGGTTCAGCAGTAGCAGTCATTTTTCTCCTCCTTGGTAGCTGGTGCAGTGCTGTGTTTTTGACTTTCAGCCTGGAAACAACGTTGGTAACACCAATGTTTTTAGTTGTTGCTAAGTAAGGACTTTCTCAGTCTAATGCTCTGACAGTGAGGAGGGGCACGGGAAGCCAGGAGGAAGCAGAGAGAGGACACCTGACCCAGACTAGCCAAAGGGGTATTCCATACCACAGCAAGTCATGCCCGGTATAAAAACTGGGGGCAGTTACCCAGAAGGGTTAGATCACTGCTCAGGTTGGGCTGGGTGTTGGTCGATGGGTGGTGAGCAGTTGTATTCTCTTCTCTTGTGATTTCTCTTATTATTATTGGTGGTAGCAGCAGTGGTTTGTGTTACACCTTAGTTACTGGACTGTTCTTATCTCAAGCTATGGGAGTTAACATTCTTTCCATTCTCCTCCCCATCCCTCCAGGAGTGGGGGAAGAAAGAAGGGATGGAGTGAGCGAGTGGCTGCATGGTTCTGAGTTGCTGGCTGGGCTTAAACCACAACTCTCCTTTACTAGTTTCTCTCTGTATGCCTGGTGTAGGAGTCAGACTTCCAGGATCGTAATTCCAGGCTAGGCCATCAGCCACAGCTTTCTGATGATGATGCTTTTTAGCCTTGGTGCAATTAAATCTGTGTAGCGGGTAGTCTACCTTCATAAGCCCTTAAATTTTAAGTGCCTGGGAAAGTGACTCTCTTAAACAAAGTTCATGTATTCCATTGCTAAACAGTGGAAACATGTAGGTACCTTTGGCATCCACAAGGTAAGCCCCGGGGAGTTTGATGTGCATTTCTCCTTAAGCTGTCAAGGAAGCGAGGCTCTCACAGACATTCATAACACTCAGCAGAGAGATATGGGGCATCTGCCATCACAGCCTGGAGTTCTGATCTAGGGTTGGGAGGGACCTCAAGATCATCTAGTTTCAACTCCCCTGCCATGGGCAGGGACACCTCACACTAAACCATGTCACCCAAGGCTCTTGTCGAACCTGCCCTTGCACACTGCCAGGGATGGAACATTCACAACTTCCTGGGCAACCCATTCCAGTGCCTCACCACCCTAACAGGAAAGAGTTTCCTTCTTATATCCAATCTAAACTTCCTCTGTTTAAGTTTTAACCTGTTACCCCTTGTCCTATCACTGCAGTCCCTAATGAAGAGTCCCTCCCCAGCATCCCGATAGGCCCCCTTCAGATACTGGAGGGCTGGTATGAGGTCTCCACGCAGCCTTCTCTTCTCCAGGCTGAACAGCTCCAACTTTCTCAGCCTATCTTCATATGGGAGGTGCTCCAGTCCCCTGATCATCCTCGTGGCCTCCTCTGGACTTGTTCCAACAGTTCCATCTCATTTTTATGCTGAGGACACCAGAACTGGACACAATACTGTAAGTGAGGTCTCACGAGAGCAGAGTAGAAGGGGCAGGATCATCTCCTTTGACCTTCTGGTCACGCTCCTTTTGATGCAGCACAAGATACAGTTGGTTTTCTGGGCTGCGAGCGCACACTGCCAGCTCATGTTCATTTTCTCGTCAACCAACACTCCCAAGTCCTTCTCTGCAGGGCTGCTCTGAATCTCTTCTCTGCCCAACCTGTAGGTGTGCCTGGGATTGCTCCGACTCAGTTGTAGGACCTTGCACTTGGCATGGTTAAACTTCGGGAGGTTGGCATCAGCCCATTCTTTGCAAAGTATATCTCATCTTACTTGAGGGGCAAAATGATAATTGTAGTTTCCATGGACATACGAAAATGAATACAATGAATTTGAGCATGTAGTTGGTTAGTTTAATATCTAATTTACTCTAAATCATTATAGCTAAACTTTGGATTACTTAATAGCAATTTGTTATTCTGGTATTTAAAGTCTGATGATTTCACATTCTCCAAGGTGTTCATAAAGCAAATGAATGTCTTTCCCTCCTTTTACCTATTCAGCTCTATCAAAGTATACCCGATCAAATGGTAGGACTGAAAGAGATAGAATAGAACTTCTTCAGGATGCAGAACCTTTGGATTTTAATGCAGACTCAATTAATGATGACCCTCTTGAATCGGACTCTGGAAGGTGAGGAATCTTCTGTCTTTATTTACAGTGTATTCTGACTTATGACACCTGTATCAGATGTTTTCCTAGTAGTTTTTGTAAACAAAAATTAGCACTTTACCTATCTCTTTTCCTTTCTTCCTTCTCCCCCATGATACAGTAATTGTTTCAAAACCAGTTGAAACCTGAAGCTTTTTCATTTTTTTTTACAAATATCTCAGTAGAATTTGAGTTAAATATAATTTTATATGTTGGCATAATCTGAAAAAAACTGCATATATGCATATACTGCATATAAAAACAGAAACCTGGCAAATGACCTGCATGATATAGGTTTTCTGTAATTTCCTAAAAGACTTTAGAAAGTTCATTTGATTTCCATGTATAAAAACCATCACAATATCATAGAATCATAGAATAGTTACGGTTGGAAAGGACCTTAAGATCTTCAAGTTCAAATCCCCCTGCCATGGTCAGGGACACCTCGCTCTAAACCGTATCACCCAAGGCCTCAAGGGCTGCAAGAAAGAAAACTGAATATTACAAGACCAGTAATTTCAGTAACACACTGGGGATCAGATCTTGGAATGACTGGCCTAAAAAATTAAATCTGAAATTACTGAACAGAAAGTTCCCAGCTGAACAGTGTAGCTCTGTCTGTAATAGAGAATTCTGTGATCGGTGGTGGTGGCCGCAACAGCAAATTTCCTTAGTCACACCATAGAGTATTTTTAATGACTGCTAAGCTCTGCTCATATTTAAGAAACAAATAATACATTTTATGGGTGCTTTTTTATCCAGGTAGTTATGATGTAGAATCATTTAATGGTAAATAATTTTAAATTCCTATATAAAAGTTATAGTTTACATTATGTTTTAGCTAAAACTAGCATGCCCAGTTCAATTAAAATAATCATGAATGGTTGCAGCTGACTCATATTTATAATGTCAAAAAATAAATGCCAAAATCATGCTATTGAATGACAATGCCAGTTTTTCAGATCATGTCAGCAATGTTAGTTTACATCAACAACTAACTTGTCTAGTCCAGTGTTACCACATTTCAAAAGCTGGTTCTTTTTAAGGACAAAATTCAGAGAAGATCTAGCCTAACATTTTTGTCAGTTGTTGATTTCTGTACGGTGTGAAACGGGTAATAGTCTACAAAAACAGGAATATACATATATAATTCTTTCGGAGCAAATACTTTTCAGGTACAGTATCTGAAGTCTTCTGGCATCTATACAGATTTTGCAGAGTGGAACATTCTGAACTTCTTTTTTCTTAAGAAAATCTGGAGCCACAGAGCTTAGTTGAGTTCTTTTTTAGTAACCTGCATTGATTTCATAGAAGTAATGAATCAAGAATAATTGTGTATGACATTTCATTTCACTTAAAAATAGCTCATTATAGTAACATTGATTTTTTTTTTTATTATTTTTTTTTTCAAACTGGAACTCCTGTGGTAGTTACAAGTGTTCTAGGACAGTAAGAGCATTAGGAACACTAGGTTCTGGCATGAAGTTTATTCAGGTTTTGGGAAGTACTGCAGAGAGGAATTACATTGTGCTTTCACTGAGACTTGTGTGTGCTTTTAAAATAGATTTGACCAACAGTTTGTGAGGCTTTTTTCCCACTAAGAGTGGAGCTATTTGTTCTCATTATCTTTGAAACTCTGTTTCTCATAGGAATACCCACTGAGATATACCGTTAATCATCCAAACTACTTTTGGATGCTGTTGTTTGGTTTGGGGTTTTTGTTTGGTGATTGGGGGGGGGGGGGGAGTGTGTTTCTGGGGGGGTTGTAGGTTTTGTTGGGTTTTAGTTTTTTTGTTTTGTTTGGTTTGGGGGTTTGTTGGTTTGATTTGGTTTATTTTTTTAGGAAAAAGTTCTATTCAACAAAAACATTCAACTTCTTTTCTTTGTATGAGTAAACAAAGTTCTTTCAAGACTCCCAGTGTTCATATCACTGCTTTTTTTGGTCACATGAGATCTAATTTAATGACTGCCTATGAAATCCTCATGGAAACAGTAATTCAGTAGAGCTTTAGGTCATGTAATTCATTGAGAGTGAAGGAGTCAGAGTTCAGTGAGAGTTACATGATTTCTTGGGTCTTTATTTTTCTATTTCACTTGATACATTTTTCATATTTAAAATCGATTCTGCAGGTACCAGCCTGGTGGAAGATACCTGTCGATGTCTCGGAGCAAAATATTTGATGATGTCTAAACTCCTCAAAGCTAAAGAAAATTCAGTGGAAATCTATTCCCTGCTCATCGCTTGGAAAATACTGTATTTATGATATATCACTGAACCAGAGAAGATTTCTTTAAAATATGAATATGAAGGAACAACTATTTTGGAAATGCACCTGTATATGACAAGAATATGCTGCTTCTATTGTAGATATTGTTGTCCATCAGTGTGGGCATTTGTGTCATGACCAAAAGGAGAAAAATATTAATTGAGTGTAAACTTCATAAATATATCTGGGGCTTAATTTGCTTTAACATTTTAAGTTTTAGGAAAATGATTTTTTGGAAGGAATCTTTTTGTATCTCAATAGATGCTGTGAGAGCATTTTAATGCATCCAAACTGCAGTTTTGTCAATTACTATAATAAACACTTCCTATATTTTTTCTGTTATAACTTAATGCCTAGTCCAAAATCTACTGAATGAAATTAAGGCTTCTTTTGGTTTCAGTGGTCTTTGAATAGTAGAATCATAGAATCAACTAGGTTGGAAAAGACCTTTTAAGATCATCAAGTCCAACCATTACCCAGGACCAAGACTGCCACTATACTGTGTCACTGAGGGCCTCATCTGCGTGGTTTTTGAACACTTCAGCTTTCCTGGGCAGCCTGTTCCAATGGCTGATTACCCACACTGTGAAGAATTTTTTCCTAATATCATAGAATCATAGAATAGTTAGGGTTGGAAAGGACCTTAAGATCATCAAGTTCCAACCCCCCCTGCCATGGGCAGGGACACCTCTCACTAAACCATATCACCCAAGGCCTCGTCCAACCTGGCCTTGAACACTGCCAGGGATGGAGCATTCACAAACTCCCTGGGGAACCTATTCCAGTGCCTCACCACCCTAACAGGAAAGAGTTTCCTCCTTATATCCACTCTAAACTTCCCCTGTTTAAGTTTGAACCCATTACCCCTTGTCCTATCACTACAGTCCCTAATGAAGAGTCCCTCCCCAGCATCCCTATAGGCCCCCTTCAGATACTGGAAGGCTGCTATGAGGTCTCCACGCAGCCTGCTCTTCTCCAGGCTGAACAGCCCCAACTTTTTCAGCCTATCTTCATGTGGGAGGTGCTCCAGTCCCCTGATCATCCTCGTGGCCCTCCTCTGGACTTGTTCCAACAGTTCCATGTGCTTTTTATATTGAGGAGACCATTTCCTCTTGTCCTACCACTTGTTACTTGGGAGAAGAGACTGACCCCCACCTCACTACAACCTCCTTTCAGGTAGCTGTAGAGAGGCATAAGATCCCCCCTGAGCCTTCTCCAGATTAAACCCCTGCAGTTCCCTCAGTTGTTTCTCATCAAGCTTGTGCTCCTAACCCTTCACCAGCCCCATTGCCCTTCTCTAGACCCGCTCCAGCACCTCAATGTCTCTCTTGTAGTGAGGAGCCCAGAACAACACACTTGAGGTACAGACTCCTTAGTGCTGAGTTCAGGGATATGATCACTGCCCTGGTCCTGCTGGCCACACTATTGCTGATACAGACCAGGATGATGTTGGCCTTCTTGGCTGCTTGGGCACAAACTGGCTCATGTTCAGCCGGCCATCAGTCAGCACCCCCAGGTCATGTATCAGACCATGTTTAAGCGGAAAGATTGAATGGCAGGCTGTCTTCACAAAGTCATAAACTATATGTTCCATTATTTAATGGGTGGCTGCAAAGAAGATGGAGATTCCCTTTCTACATGGAGTCACATGGAAAAGATGAAGGCTAGTGGGCACAGGTTACTCTTCGGGAGAAAAAAATTTCACAGAACAGTCATTACAGTAACCTCCCCAGGGAAGTGGTGGATTCCCTGGCATGGGACACCTTTAAGATTTAGCCAGACAGGATGCTGGGACCTTGTCTAGACTTTTGCCAGGAAAGGTGGGACCAGACGATCCTTGCAGTCCCTTCCAACCTGGTATTTTCTGATTCTCTGAAATTTGGTGACATAATTTTTGAAGCAAGCTGTATTTGTCAAGGAAGGCTGTATTTTTTCTTTTCCAACATTATATGCAGATAAATAATTTTAGCATGTGTAAATATTTGAAATCAACTGACCATAGTTTCACTGTCATATGAGCTATGTGCAATAGGAGGAATACATTGTCAAAGATATAAATCTGATTCAAGATTTTTGCAGTTGTAATGGTTGAAAATCTTGGCACAATAGCATTTTTGTAACTGTAAAAGAAATATAATGTGAAAATTGATTTAAATGCTGAAACTTTATAATTTGCACACAACTTGGGCACGGCTTCAAATTGTAGCGTATTCCTTTAAAAGAAGGGAAATACGTAGCATGACCAGATAATGGTAAACACTTTTAATGTCCCAAATACCCTGGTTGCATTACGTATCTGTTTTTAAGGTGCCTGTATTTTGCAGTAACTTGTTGCAAAAAGAACAATGCTTATTCATTTGAATGCCATTCAAAAATGCCAATTACTAACAGTGTAAAAAAACTTCACATGAATTTCATTGGTGTAGATATATTTTTAAAGTGTAGCTAGTTGAAAGAATTCTCAACTGTAATCATAAGGTAAAAGATGTGGTCAAATTCATTATATCTTTGGAAATTTGCTTTATTTAAAATGTTGCATTATTGCAGTTTGTCTTTACCACTTGGGGATTTTCTTACATTCTTATTGCAAAGTTATGTTGAAAACTGAAAGAGAACATGTTTTTATTGTAAGTTCTTTATCATGCTTAAAAAACAGACATCCCTTAAAATAGTTAGGAATGAGTTCTTGTGAAAAGAAATTTTTTATGAATGAGGTGTTCTACTGATTTTTAAAAGTAGTCTTTGTTTCTGAAGTAATTGTTAATGGGGATCTAACTACCTCTTGTGATTTAGTAGATCATGTGTTCTAACAGTAGTGGTATGTGTAATATATTGTTCTGCCTGTTTTAAAACACTTAATTGTTATTATGAAGGAGAAAAAAAATATTTGTATAGAAATACTTATATTAATAAATTAGCAGACATGAAGTAATTGTCAATTCCTTTTTTAGGTGAATACACTGAAGGACAGTCATGTCCACATGTATTCAAGGGCATACAATTTCCAAATTACCTGTAAGAGGACACTTTCTTAGTTTTGGTATTTTTCATACTGTAAAAGCTTGATTAAAACCTTATGGTGGTATCAGGGACTTGTAGTTAAGAAAATGAGACTTTTTATTCAGATTGTTCTTCAGCAATTTTGTGTTAGCAGCTATATAATTTAATTTAGATCTATTCTGAATTCAGCCTTATATGAAGGGGATTGTATATATTCATGGACTTTCATCCACATGAATGTTCTTAGACTTGATATTTCTATTTTTAAAACTTGTGTCTCATTTAATTGCCAAAATGTTTATTTGTAAAAAAAAAAAAAAAATCTTTGGATGAAATAAGATTCAGGTTCTTGGTTTAACTTTTTAAAATGTCACTACAAAGGGATCTAATTCAGTGCTAATTGAAAAATTATGGAAGGAATGTTTGTTATTCTGAGTTCTTGTGAAGTATCCTTACCTAGCCCCTGCTGACTTCAGAGAATTGGATCAGGCTTTCTTGGGCTTGGTTTGTTTGGGTCTCAGAAATCAGTGGAATGGCTACAAACAGAATTTTCAGTGGAAACTTGATATGGGCTTTATACATGAAAGCTAACTAGTCTTTGGTGTAAGCCCTCTGTGCAGTTTTCATTGGGATACAGTAATTTAGGGAGTTGACTGTGCAAGTTAATGGCAGTGGGATTTCAGTTGCTAACAGAAAGCCTGAGTTTATTGAGGTGGGAATCCAGTGACCTTTTTTTGATGTTGCAGTGGAGTAATGGAGTTACCAACGGCTGCTTTGAGCTCTGAAAGTCTCTCAAGAGTTCTCTGGATTGTGCTTACAGATTTCTGATATATATAATGTGCTCCCTGGATATACTGGGTGTTTAAGTAGGGAGTTAATAGTTGCTGACCAACAGTTACTCTTGTCCTAATTATATGCAATTTTTAGGCAAATTAATCTGAAGTGTGTTTAGAAAATTAGGAAGACTTCCAACAAAGAAATAGAGAGTACAACTATAAAAGAACACTGTGGAAATAAGGGATATTCCTAAACATCATTTGCTGTGTGCTTGGGCTACTTTTAAACTAGCTTGGTTACTGGTAGTACAAATAATGCAGAACTTGGGGGCGATGTGCAACTTGATGGGGCTCTGAGCAACCTGATCTTGTTGAAAATGTCCCTGCCTATGGTTGGAACTAGATAATCTTTAAAGGTCCCTTCTAACCCAAACCCTTCTATGATTCTGTGATGATTCCCAGCCAGACTGTGGCAACTCTTGACAAATTCTTTGCTACTATAGCTCTAATCCTAACAGCACCACAACTAAAATAATTTAAAACTAGCTTTCGTATGTTTAAGCAGTCAATATATTGTAGGCTAATAGTGCTCTTGCATTGTATTTGATGTTCCAGATTAGGTGATTTAAAATATAACTGCCTTGCAAACTGTACTTTAGGGAACTAAACATATTGGCATATATGTCAGTATATAGCTGTATTTATTTGCAGCTAAGGAATGTCACATCCTCTATTTATTATTTCTCTTTTTTAATTAGTGAGCAGTTAGCGTGTACTTACATTTCATCACAATTCATTTGTGAGCACCAAAACCAACACAAAACACCAAAAAGCCCACCGAAGTTAAGTGCAAGTGTTTGAATATTTTCATGTCAAAGATTTAAACCAGTGAAAAGAATCCATGTGAGTTGTAATGAACTTTGAAAAGTAAGAATGAAAACAGTAGATACTTCAATACTGGGTCAGTGTTGGATTTCGCAAAAAGTATAGATAGCAAAAATCTCTAGTCAAATTTACTGCTCCTACTGGATTTGTAGTTCTTTCAGGCATTTAAAGCTACAAATATCTGTACTGGGAAATGAGTCCTGTGCACTCTTCTTAAGAAAGGTGCATCCCTTAGCTGTGAAGTGAGTCTTTTTGTGAGGGAAAGTGAAGGATATGCAAATTCTAGTCTGTGCTAATAGTGACACTTTGGGAAAAAAAAAAAAAAGTTTTATTATTTAGGTATGATAGCATGTTAAGAAACAACAAACTTTATACTGCTGTAACTTACACTACTGGAAAAAGCATGGTATATAATCTGCCTTTGCAATCAAACACTTGTAAGATAGTCATTAACAGTATTAATGAAGTGGCAGAAATCTGCTATCTTTTCAGTATTTATTCTTGCTATCTTAAAACATAACCATGACAATAATTTGTATATATGAAGTATTTAAAAAGTGATTACTCTGATTTTCTGTAATTATAATGGTTTATATTTTATTAAATTCATCTTCAAATACTTTAAATGTTGCAGGAAAAATACAGTATTTTCTTCAAATTTTCATTATTGCTGTAATTACGTGCAATCTGGGGGGCATTTACAATACAAATAGAGATAACTATGACAGAAAACTTATTATGGGACTTCTTAAAGAAATCAGACCTATAATTACAGACAAATATGTACATCTTAATTATTAACAAAAATACTACTTAGGGTATATATTGTCTCCAGCAATTTTTCTTTAAAGTTCAGAAAATTATTAAATTTTCTTTCAGAGCAATTTATTTGTGAATCTTGTAAACTTTCTGAAACTTTTACATTCCTCTTCCCTAATAGGCTCTGCAGGAGTATGTACTGCTTTATGGCAGTTCTGTAATACTAGCTGTGCCTCAAATTAAGTAGTCTAATCTGAAGCTGAGACACTCCTACACCATTTGATTACATTTACAGAAACTCAGCATTGCTAGCAAAAAAGCACCTTGAACTAGATCCCTTTCTAATACATTAAATGCTGTCATTGACTATATTGATTATATTTGGCATCTTCCATTTCAGTGATATGGTAAGCCCAATCAGGTTTATTCTTTGTTCTATTAAAATGCACTGGAATGTCTTCCTCAGCTTGCTTTGGTGTGAGTATGTGTGTTTTAGTTGTAATTGACAGGCAACAATAATACGGAACTTCAGTTATTTCTTAAGGATAATGTTATATTTGACATATTCCTGTGAATTGTAAGTTTCAGAGTGACAGCTTAGTTACCACTGTAGAAACTTAAGTATTTTTAATAGAAATAGCTTATATTTCTGAAGGGGTGTCTGGAAGATAAGGGAGTTCCTCTGTAAATATAGGTTTAGTGGTAGAAGATACTCATTCTCCAGTGTGTGTGTTAATATAGGCTGTAGGAGTGCAGCTTATGGATAGACTATCTTCATTTGCCTTATGATACACGTATGTATGCATAACACCTTGTTTTGAAATTCAAATTATAATTTTTTTCTCTGTAGTCTTCTAAATTATGGTTGTACTGGATACATTTTTGCAATGTGTGTTAAAATATATAGTCAAAGGATTGGCATGAAATAAATAATTTCTGCAATACATTTTCCCTGGTGTATGTTAGATATTCATACTTCTCTGAAGTGTTTTTAATAGCGATCTTAAAGAGAAACTTGACCCATTTCTTTTTTCGAGGTAGTAGTTAAGTTTTCTTTAGAAGATAATCCAGCCTTGGTTTAGTTGTCTTTTTGCATTTTCTTTACAGCAGGTTAAAAAGGGAAATAGAGAGGAACCTTGCATACCTGGACATGTCATTGTTGGAGTCTGGGGAAGAGAATTGGACCTACTTTTCAGGCTGGTATCTTTACTGATAGCTTGCCCCAGCTTCAGAAGCTCAAAGAGCTTCTGCAAATGCAGGGATACAGTGAACTGCAGCAAAGGCTAGCTGGAGATGTAAGCTTCCCGCAGTGCCTGGAGGAAGCATGTGAGGACTTTGCTCCTGAGGCTGATTGGGCACTTGGTATTTTCATGAAGCCTAAGGTGGGATGGAAGTAAGGGTTCCTACACCTCTCCCTCTTTTCCATACACAGTCAAAACAGGTCATAATTCCTTCTAGATGTTATTGGCCACTGGTGGTCACAGAGATGAGATTTTTCACTGCAGCTGTGAGGAGACAGGCACAGTGAAGGTGGAGTTAACTCACTTCTTTCACTGCTTGCATATTTAGCAGTTTTGTCTAACCTGCCTTAGTAAAAAAACCAAAAAAAAACAAAAAACCAAAAACCAACCAACCAAACCTTAAGGAAGAAGAGGGAAATTTTTTTTAATTGAAATATTTCTCTTTTCAGCTACAGTGACAGGGTATGTTTTTAGGGTTTGAGGTTTTTTTTTTCCTTTTCATAAAGTGGATTTTTTATTGAGTGGTAAAGAAGTATCTTCTGGTATCGTAAATCAAAAAACAATTCATATTTTAACACCTCATAATAAATACTTATAACTACTACCAGGCGTTTCCTGCATTTCATTATTTATTCTCTCCTATGGTTGATCTACAGCTGCTCTTTTAAGTGAGTTGCAGGGTAGCATTTTGCACACTCAGTACTAGTCTGTGCCACCACTGCAGTAGGAATATCTTCGCACAGCTAGTAAAGTCCCCTTCTGGGACTGTCATCTCTCTCTGTTCTGCTGGAATACTGGGTGTTTTTTCTGCATCTTTTTCTTAGGCATTTCTAATATACATGAGTTCAGAATAATTACTAAATGAATGATGCATGCAGATGCTAAAGATCAGTAGCAGAATGTTCAGTGGACCATACTGAGCCATTGGTCATAATCCAGTGGATGGCATTTTCTCTGTTGATGGGGGAACAGATAGGAGTAGCAGAATGTGTATGAAGGGACAGAGGGCCCTGAAGAGAAGGGCTTGGAGGTGTTGGTTGATGGGAAGCTTAACATGACCTGGCAGTGTGCGCTCGCAGCCCAGAAAGACAACTGTACCTGGGCTGCATCAAAAGTACCGTGACCAGCAGGTCGAGGGTGGCGATTCTGCCCCTTTGCTCTGATGAGATCTCACCTGCAGTACTGGAGTCCCCAGCATACAAAGGACATGGAGCTGTTGGAGTGAGGATATTGGAGAGTTGGAACATGAAGACGATCAGAGGGCTGGAGCACCGTTCCTATAAGGACAGGCTGAGAGAGCTGGGCTTGTTCATCCTGGAGAAAAGAAGGCTCTGGGGAGACCTTATAGCAGCCTTCCAGTACCTAAACAGGGGCTACAAGAAAGATTAGACATTTTACTAAGGCCTGCAGCAACAGAACAGGGAAGTGGTTTTAAACTAAAAGAGGATAGATTTAGACTATATATGAAGAAAGCAGTTTTTACAGTGAAGGAGCTGAAACACTGGAGCAGGTTCCCCAGAGAGGTGGTAGATGCCTCATCTTTGGAAGTGTTCGAAACCAGGTTGGGCAAGGCTCTGATCAACCAAGTCTATTGGAAGATGTCCCTGGCCATGGTGGGGGGTTGGAATTGCATAACCATTAACGGTCCCTTCCAAACCAAAACATTCTGTAGATCTATGATTCTATGAATGATCATCTGTGCACGTTTTTATTTTTACTCCGGCGATGGTTTGGATATTGAAGTGAATCACTCTCAGTGTAGTTAACTGGTATTGAGGTGAATCACTCTCAGTGTAGCTAGCCAGCCACACTCCTCCAGACTTACTGTGGTAAGTAGCTACTATATGGCTATATAGTTCAGAGGATGGTAGTTGTCCCTTATTAAATACTGACTTTTCATTACTCATTGTCAGATTTTTATTTGCTCAGAGAGCAGTATACATTCTGTTTAATTGTCATGTTGCTAATGAATCTACCTTGCCTGCTCAGTAAATTTTAAGTCTTCTAAAATAGCATTTGACAGACTGTGAATTACCAGAGTTGTGAATTAATCTTGCTCTGCCCTTCTGCTTCACCTCTGCCTGCACAGTGGCATGGTGTTCCTGTCAGTATATTGCTTGTTCATCCTAGTCTCTGCTCTGTACACTGTGATAAGGATCTTAATGCTTTCTCTTCATAAGCATCCAGTCTTTTGCATCATCTTGTTGTGTGTTAAGTCATTGCACACCATTGCCTTCAGGATTTTTTTTGGTTTTGCGAGCTCTTTCAGGAAGCCAAGGCCAAAGTCAGGGCCCAACCTGGACAGAAGACACTATTTTTTCTTCCCTCCTTGGGGAATATGATCTGAGCTGAGATTAAGCTTATAGATAAGGTCAGGTATTGGAGTAGTTTAGGAATGTGGGTTATGCACAAAGACAAGAAAAGGTCTCGGGTTCCTTCCACAGAAACAGCTTATCTGGTTAAAGGTATGTGCTTTGAGTCGCTCAGTCAACATCAAAGCAAAGGTGCAGCTGTGGCAGTGCCTAGGTGTGCTCTGTGGAAATCTGCTACATCTCTGAAGTCCAAGTGAACACTTAGGGCTAAACAATCCACTGTCAAACAAAATAATTTCCAAAGCTTAGGAAAGGTCATGTATTCTAAGTAAACTTTACAAAGGCCGGATGCTTCTGGGAATTTTGTTTGTTCTCTGTTCCTCTTGTTCCCCAGAGACTGTCTCCTGCCACAAGTACTAGTACTCCTGTAAAAACATCATGCTTTTTGGAAGGTGCTGCTGGTTTTAAATCTCTGGGAATCAAGAAGAAAATACAAAAGCAGTATACTACTGTGATACGTTTCAGTGAGCCAGCAACATCTTTAAAGCCCAGGTTTCACAAATCCCTAGCAAGTCTATCAGAAGATGCTGGCACTTGTGGCCAGCGTGACAGTGTATCGCCTCCCTTAAGTGGTGGCTTGCGTGTGTCACACAGCGTGTGGAAAGGAATGAGCAAAGTGAACCCAGGGCAGAGAGATGGTGTGGGACAGAGGAAGTGGGTTGAGAGGCAAGGCGTGGGAGAGTGTTTGAGTGGTGGTGACAGGGAAGGTGTGGGCTCTGCCTGCTTCTGGGGTTCATGGCTTGACTTCGCGAACGAAGATTTGGGAAGGGCATTTACCCACGCTTACTACAGGCGCGCTGATGGCTAAGAAGGCCAATGTGGGATAGGCAAATCCGGCTACAAAAAGCACAGCAGAAGGTCTCCTTGGGTGGAACAGGTGGGACACGATTCTTCCTGCGTTGTCTTTTCTCCTCGAGACTAGTTCTTCGTGAACTCTCAAAGGAGTCAGCGGCATTATGTATGGTGTGCCTCCAGGTCTCCCGATTGGAGGCCAAGGTGGACCACTGATGGTAGTCAATATGGCCAAGGCTAAGGCATTGTTTCAGGGAGTCCTTGTATCTCTTCTTTGGGGCACCTCTCTTGCGGCTACCGGTGGCAAGTTCACCGTAAAACACGATCTTGGGGAGGCGGTGATCCTTCATTCTAGAGACGTGCCCTGCCCAGCGCAGCTGCAGTTTCAGCAATGTGGCCTCGATGCTGGTGACCCCTGCCTGTTCGAGGACAGTGACATTAGACACATAGTCAGTCCATCGGATGTTTAGAATTGTACGGAGGCAGCGCTGATGAAAGCGTTCCAGGAGTCGCAGGTGATGACGGTAGATGACCCATGATTCAGACCCATATAAAAGAGTAGACAATACAATGGCTCTGTAGACACTGATCTTTGTACTTTTCTTCAGGTGTTTATTGCACCAGACTCTTTTATGGAGTTTTCCAAAGGCTGTATATGCCTTTGCTATTCTGTTGTCTATCTCTTTGTCGATCGTGGCATCCGAGGAAATGATGCTTCCCAGATAGCTGAACTGCTGAACTGTCTTAAGCTCTGACTCGCCGATGGTAATATGGGGATGGCGATAATCTTCTTGGGGTGCAGGTTGGTAGAGAACTACTGTCTTCTTCAAGCTGACTTCCAGCCCAAAAACCTCAGCCGCCTCCGCAAAGCAAGATGTTAAACGCTGCAGAGCTGCTTCTGTGTGGGCGACAAGGGCAGCATCATCAGCAAAGAGCAGTTCGCGGACAAGATGGTTTAGGGTCTTAGTGTGGGCCTTCAGTCGCCTTAGATTGAATAGGCTACCATCGGTACGATATCGAATATAAATGCCGTCTTGTTCGTCGAGGTCTGCTGTAGCCCTTTGGAGCATCATGCTGAAGAAGATTGTGAATAAGGTCGGTGCGAGAACGCAACCTTGTTTCACACCATTGGTTATTGGGAAAGGCTCAGAGAGTGCATCACCATACCTGACTTGGCCTTGCTGATCCTCATGTAACAGAATAATCATTTTCAGGAACCTGGGGGGACAACCTAATCGTTCTAAGATCAGCCACAAGCCTTTCCTGCTCACAGTGTCAAAGGCTTTGGTGAGGTCAACGAAAGTTACGTATAACCCCTTATTCTGTTCTCTACACTTTTCTTGCAATTGTCTGAGAACAAATACCATGTCTGTGGTACTTCTATTAGCCCTGAAACCACACTGACTTTCAGGTAGAAGTTCTTCTGCGATGGCAGGTACTAGTCCGTTCAATAGTATTCTTGCAAGAATTTTACCAGCAATGGAGAGCAGAGTTATACCACGGTAGTTTGAGCAGTCTGACTTGGCACCTTTTTTCTTATACAGAGTGACGATGATTGCGTCACGAAAGTCTGACGGTATTTTGCCTTGTTCCCAACAGCACACAACTAGCTCATGAAATTTAGCGTGGAGTGCTTGGCCTCCATGCTTCCATATTTCAGGTGGGACTCCGTCAACCCCAGCTGCCTTGCCAGTTTTCACCTGCTGTATGGCCTTAAGAGTCTCTCCCATGGTAGGGGCTAAATCCAATTCGTTTTTCACCGGATGTTGTGGAATGTGCTGGATTCCTTCACCTTGGACTACACGATTAGCACTAAAGAGGGTTTGAAAATGTTCAGACCAACGATTCAGGATGGAGATTTTATCTGTAAGAAGCGTTTGGCCATCTGCACCAAGTAAGGGGCTTTGAACCTGGAATGTGGGTCCATACACTGCCTTCAGAGCCTCATAGAATCCTCTGTGGTCACCCAAATCTGCACATAGTTGAGTCTTTTCTGCTAGGTTGACCCACCACTTGTTCTGGATGTCTCTAAGTTTCTGTTGGAGTTTG